CAACATCAGAAGTTCGTCGTTACTGTGCCTGTCGTTGAATTAGAGAGATGTAATGCCAACCAGCCCAACTCCTGGTCAGCTAAAAGATGTCTCCCAGATCTCTTCCGCAGCAGAAGGGCCGAAAGTGAATCAAGGGGTCCATCTTAGCCAGCTCCCCCTGGAAAACCTAACCGGTTCTCTCCGCCAAAAGTGAGACGAGCTTCGAGCCAAGGTCGTAACAGGGAGGTTGGAGTCATCCGAAGTAAATTGCGCGTGCATGTCTCAGCGAAGAAATAACCTTGCGATTTCAAGTTGTCAGATCGGTTTGACATTCAAGGAAGTCCAGTCTACTGGGATCTTGTTTCGAAAGTGTGAACGAAATGCTACCATGCTCATTCCCACATTGACAGGACTGACTCCCTGTTAGCCTGCCGGAAAAGCCATGTGGTCGCGTCAAACATTATTCCGCGGTACAGCGTTTTCCCAGCTAACATCACACATGCTGCTCCTGCAGGATTGCAGCTATGCTTTGAGAGAAAAGTATGCAATTAAGAATATGCTTAACCAGAACTGAAGCCTACGGCATCTTCATTTTTGATGATGTGAATATTGGCACCTTGGTAAGATCAGATGCCCTGAACTGGGTTTCGGAAGATTTTCCGCACTTTTCTCTTACAAGGATACCTAGATGTAGTACATCAACGGCCCCCATCTCGCGCGCTACTGCCAGGTGCATCAATAAGATTAGTGGGTGGGTAGCTACAGTATAAGGCCATAGAGTAGTGGAAAGGAGGCGGATGCGGCTTAAGTGGGTGGCTCGGAAATCTGCTTCCCATCTTCAATATCCAAGGGATTGGTTATGTTTTGTCAATCTGTCAATCATACGTTGGGCAGTAAGAAGTAACTGACATGGAATCAAATGCTATTTGTTCAAACACTGCGTAACCGTAAATTACTCCGTATTTCGTGTCAACGTTACAGTTGATCTTGGAGAAGTTCCCCTGTGCTAGTCGCGGAGACAACTGCCGCGTACGGAGTACAGTCCTAGTCCTAGCGATCGGGACAGCCCCAGCTGCGCTTCTCTCCCGGCGATGTGGTCCTTGAAGCATGGACTCGACCCCAAGTCTCAGTCATGTTTCTCGGCGCGGGGCTTGCGGGGGGAGCTGGCCAGGCTTTCTCCCACCGGCAACCTACGGGAGCTTTGCCTCATTTGATGAACGTGGATCATGATCGAAACACCTTGAAGTCTGTTCAGTTAGATGTCGGAGGGTGTGATGAGCTGATTACCTCGCCGAGTTGCTCATATCAACTTCACCTTCGGTTGCTTGTACAGGCGGTGGCAGTCTTGAACCGACTCATCCTCCAAAGAGGAACCACAAAATTGGCAGTTTCCAGAATAGATTTTAAGTGCCATGATTACAAGGACTATCCTGTCATGAGTAAGGAGCTTGCAGATTGTCGCTATCACATGGTTGCGCACAGATAGAAGTCTCTGCTGCCGATATTCCACGGCAATTCAAAAAAGACGAAAAAAAGAAGATCTGCTTCGCTCTCGGTAATTTCAGGGAAACATGAAGTCAAGGTCCCCTTTCGACGATACCAAAGCCAAGAATAGTCCCGGAGTTGCAGTGGTTCGTGTTGCAAGCTTTACATTTTCAGCTATTGAAATTACGTCTAGGCAGCAGTTTAGCCAGTTATGCGGAGGCTTTAGGCACAGGGCACTGTTAGAACAGAGAAATTCGAGAATCGGATGAGATCGATCTATGACACACGATAGTAATGTTCATGGCCTCCACGTTCTCATCTCATCTACCGTCAACTGTCGCAACTACAACACCAGACACTACGAGACTCACACAAGGAGAATGATGTCTCGGCGATGCTACTTCGGAGACTCTTGAGACTCAAACAGGGGTCTTCGTTGTGGAGTGCTTGAGCCAACGGTCCAAAACAGGGGCTGAATCATTTTCAGCTAGCGGTAGTTGTCTGGCTTCTTTTCGAGAAAGTGTACACGCCAATAGGATGAGCAACCCTAATTCATGCCATCTTATCAACGCACGATGGCCCGGTAGGGCTGAAAGAAGCACTTCTTGTCGGTGTCGCCGAATGAATCATTCAGGTCTGGGCGAGTTTCTTTGTCAAGTTCAGACAATTTTGCGGGAACTTCGAACGGTCTCATCCTCGGGACCCCCATATTTCATGATTAAGAATGCGTGCCGAAGATTTCCTATTGGCTGCGTCGTAAAATACTAAATCTTAGCGTTCAAACGCATGTCGTCCCTGACTCCAGAGCTTACGTCGCAGGGCAAACCAGGGGCCGGCTATGCATTGTCGGCGGCCGAGGGGCGCGAGCACGCGGAATTGATCAACTTGGCTTTATATAGTGGACGTTGCCCAAAATCGACATTGCTTGGCGCGTACCCTGTCTCAGTCCCCGCGAAATCCGTTTCCCGAGAGTCAAATCCCACAACCCGATGCTTCGCTTCAGCCAGCTGCCACCAACTCCGTTCGTCCTCATAATTTGATTTGTCTGCTAGGTGTCCGCCTGCGTTCGATATCCAGTATGCCATTGGACTCCCATATTCCGGGGACGGGAGTTTTCTCGGTGGGCCCTGTGCTCAAGAAGCCCAAGCGGACTAGGGCGAGCGCGTCAAAGGTTAGGACTGGATGCGTTACATGGTTGGTGACAACACTGATACCACTTTAGTTGGTTCAAGACTGGTTCGACTGACTCCGAGTTTCCTTTTGACACAGCAAGTAAGGCCTTTTCTGCCTCTTCTCACAGTTCGCCACATAGCCCTCGTTCGCTTCGACAAACCTCATCTTCAGAAACTGACCCGTTGCCAGAATCCGCCATGTCAAATGTGACGAAGAGAAGCCTACCTGCAAGAGGTGCAGGAAGGATAAGCACAAATGCGATGGGTACCCGGATCTGAATACGCCTCAGTCCAAGAGATCGCCAAGCACCAATTCTTCCATATCCTCCATGTCATCATGCATGTTGGCGCGGCAGATTCGGAATACTTCGGTAATTCATCTCACAGCACCAGTCGACTGGGACATCTCGGGATCCAGCATCGAGAGGTTGATGTTTCACCATGTTCACAACTGTACGGTTCCGGACTTCGGGGCGTCAACACCACTAGCAAAACTCTGGAGCAATTACATCCTACCTCTAGGCTACTACTCCGACTCCGTCAGGCATGCCGTTATTGCGCTTGGGTCAGCTCACAGGGCTTATCTAGACAATCCATCTCACGACGTCCACATAGCCGAAGGTTCCCTGGAAGCGAGCGACTTGGCGACGAGACACTACCGAAAGGCAGTTGCCGAAGCGATCCAGATCATGGCCGACCCATCTCCAGTCAACATCCGCATCACCCTAATCAGCTGTCTGGTTTTTGTCTGTTACGAAATAATTCGAGGCCAGTACGACAAGGCCGTGCAGCATCTGAGATCCGGGGCAAAAGTGCTAGACTCCATCCATCAGGCAGCACTTGCTTATCGGAGAGACCCAGCTTCGGTTTCATCGTACGACAAGTGTCTTGCCGAGACCGTCGATAAACACTTTACTCAGCTCTGCGATATTGCTGGCATGTTTAGTTGCATGGGCATGGATGCGTCTATGCTCATCGAGGAGGACGTCGTACCCGATCTATCCTTCTTTGTCGAGGCCGAAGGGAAAGACGAAAACAAACCGTTTGCCAATGTTTCCGAGGCCCGGTACCAACTCCATCTCGTCGAGGTCGCGTTCTCCGAGGCATTCGACGAGTCCTGGCTTTCTTGCAGCGATGGGTCGGAGTGCAAATCATGCCCGCCCACGCCCGACAGCAACGACAAGGGGTCGCCGGACTCGAACGCTTCCACTAAGAGTTCGAAACAAGCAGAGTGGGATAAGGCCGACGCACAGTTCAAGATCTGGGGCGCGCGCTTCGACGCTTTTCAAGAGGGTCTCTCGGAGAACGCGCTGTCACTCGCGGATCAAGAGGAACTCAAATCGCTCCGTTTTTCGAAGAAGAGTTGGGAAATCTTTAATGCTCACGATACACCATGCGACATGAAGCATTCAGATATGACGGAGCTATATGATTTGGTCGACATGGCCGAAGAACTCATCCTCGGCAAGACGAGCGGCTCGAGACCGACTTTTTCGCTGGCAGCGGACGTTGTCCCGTCAGTGTCCTACATCTGCGCGTTTTGCGAGAACGACGCTTTGGAGCGCCGGTGTATTGACCTTCTGAGGAGGATGAAGAGAAGAGAGGGCATGTGGGACAGCGGGGAGATGGCGAATCTTTATGAGTTCATCCTGCAGGCGAAGCAGGAGAATGCCTGGAAGCACGAGTACAACTGGGAAAGTCTCCCGGCCATTGCAAGAAGGATGAATAACCTGTCAATCTCTGGGCCACAGCGGTCTTTGGCACCTTCTCCGCTGAGTTTGCTCTGAAAGATGATAATGGCATCACGGCCGTAGCGCGGAGTAGGGTGTTTAGGGTTTGGGGGTTTGGGTTATGAGGGTTGGTTAAAAGTCGGAACTCTCCAAGCGTCAGAGAAGGCAGACATTGGATGCCAATTGTATCAATACTCAGAGTCTCAATCAACTCTTCATTCATGAGAAAGCATACTCGAAGCTCTATCAGGTTCTCCTCCGGTTCGTACGTTGTCGAACACGCGTAATTTGACGTCCATGCACGTCATTATCAGACTCATCGCGACGTAATACAACCGTAGATAAACATCAACAACACGACGTCGTTCGTAGTAAACCAGCTTGCGAGCTTTTCTTATTGTCTGCGACAACGTAATATGTACATGAATTTTTAAAGTAAATGCGTTCCCAAGTAGTGACAAGTCCTCATTGCCTCAATAACTCATAACCCATTCAACCGCATTTGGAAAGTTCCCAATGGGCTCCAAATTTGCGGTACAACATAACCGCATACCCTTGCAACGAATTTCCGGAAACTTTTGACAAGCAAAGTTGTCTTTGGAATTTCAGACGCTCAACCGAGAGATCCAGCTTCCTATGCGCACACCAAGTCGCCGAACTTGTTCGTCACCTTGGTCTTGTCTATAAGGATGTGTCAGCAACTGCATTTAATTCTCACAACCACAAGCTCTACGCTGAACCAAGTTGCAAAGTCATAACGTTGCTTACCAAGGTTGATTGTGCTCTCTGTTGGTGAGCCGCAAGTGCAGTTCATCCAGACTCTGAAGACACCAAAGACCTCATAGATAGGGTCAGGCAGACGGTACGCAAAACAATCACTGCAGACGTCGCCGAAGTGACCCTGGTTGACGGCCTGTTGAGGAACAGTCAGCAACCTAGGTAAGCAGAGAACCGGGAAGTGGGTGGCGTCGCATCCGTGATCAAGCATCGCGCCGCCCATGTGAATGTTTAAGTCCTGAGAGCAGTCGATACGTACCTGAATCTTGTTGTCACGGTATCCGAAGCAGTCATTCAGGTTGAGGGATGTGTCTTTGAGAGTGCCCTTTCCATCTCCAGTGTCGCATCTCGCTGACAGAACCTCGGTGGCAGCGTCGATGTGTTCATCTCTGCAAGTCTTGCCAAAGTCAGCGGCGATGGCTGATGTCGCGAAGAGAGCGAAAACTGTAGCGAACTTCATTGTGTGATATCAGGTAGATGATGCCGAGGTGGTTCTGCTGATTCTAAGCGTTGACGGAGACGATACATCAAGGGACATCCCCGGGAACTCCTGGCCTCTTTAATAGAATTAACTCTAAGAGCAAAGTCAACTTCTTCTCGGGAGCTTTTTGATCCCGTGGCATCTTCGCGGCCGGCAGCATACCAGGTTAGACCACTTTCAGGTGCCGGCGTAGCCGCCAGATTCCTCAAACGGAGAATTAAACGATATAAACGAACCAACCAACGCTCAAGATGGCAGGTGCGGAGGATCGCCGTCCAGATTACAATCTTCCGACACCAATCAGGTAGGTGAGGTGCGTCACGGCGAAAGATGACAAGGACCATCATCCCGGTAAGCAAGCTATGTGACGGACAAACTAGGAAGGCTTCGAGCGAGACAATGTTTCTTCCTGTGACCACAATTTACCAAAAGTTTTGAAATCAGCTGTTATCGCGCGCGCAAACATCGCGATTTGCTTACAGATTGGGTTGCAGCCGATGTCACCCTGTATCGGTATATCATGCAGGGCTCTAAGGAGGTGGATTCGAACCCCCTCGTCAACCGCGAAATCTAGAACACAAATCCCGCAGTGCGGTCCATACAAACATGCGGTGAGGTGCATGTTTGTGGGATCATCGGTGCATGACCGGCGTTAGTTGCCTTGGTCTCTGCAGTTCTTTCATGCAGGTGACTTGCTTCAACCAACGACATGCGCCAACTCTACCTTTACGTCAGGCTACTAAGGTGAGGGGGATCTTCTTCAACTGGAAAACCTCCGACTTTGTTGCCATCGTAAGGTGGATAATCGTCGAAATCCCGGGTTGTCATTGGAGTCATTGATCCGGTCGTCGGAGGAATGAGGACTGGAAAAACCGACAGATCTTCTCAGTCGCCAGACTTCTCATGTCGTCACCGCCGAATCCAACTTCTTCAAGGGAGATGACAAAGTGTTAGTAATGTTTGCGGTTACGGGCGAAAGGTCAAATGACAGGGTGTGGAAAAGAAGCGGCATGTTTGCGGTTGACCATCTGTGGAGTGGCGGCCATCCAATGTTTGTTTGACACCGCGGGTTCGGGAACGTCAACCCCCACACATCCGTGCGGCGGGAAGCACGAACGACGCAAGGGGTCGGCCAAGGAGGCTATTTTATATTACTTGCAGCTTCAAGACACACGGAAGTGGTTTCAAATCATGCAGATGTATTGGTGATCAAGCTTATGCTTAAAACATCTTGGCTTGTGCTGCTCAAGTACTTTGCAAGAGGCGCTGAAAGGTGCCATTGAGATTTTACACAGAGCAGAAATCGGGGCGATCTAAGCCAAGAAAAGTAATTCAAGTGCACTCATGCATATGGTGTAATAAACTATTGGTCAGCGTCTTATTTTGGGGACTGGGGATCAAACTCGACTCCAACATCTAACCTAAAGTCTGGGGATTCGTTGCTCGTACCAGACAAGAAGATGAAGAAGGTCTTCTTCCCGCGTTTTGATAAACATTATATCAGGTTGTCAGCTCAAACCTCACTTTTCACGAATTACAAATAATTCACGGCTATTCCACATCTAGTATTGACTGTCGCATTATCGTGCATCACAAATTCATAAAGCTCTCCTGAATTGGTCTTCTAGTTTTCATAGAAAGGTTTCTTCTTACCTACGTCCGATATGTTGACTCTCTGAGGCAGTTTCTGCGTAATCCCAGAAACAACCTCTTTATACTCTTACGTTTCTACTGAATCCAAGTCCGGTCGACAGGAGGCAAGATGGCGAAAGTCGGACGCGGCTGTAGTTGAGGGTTAAGGCGCACGGAATGAAGATGACATGGCAGTCTGGTTTTCTTAGATGATTTTGATGTCATCAAAGCAACCATGTTCATCCACGTGGAGACTAAACATAGATAGTCTCGCCTTTATTTACCGGAGGTTGTCTTGCATTTGTTTCGGCTGAAGCACGAGTTGTTGGACCCATTATCGGTGCATCTGGTATTGGGTTTTATAAAGCTGCCTGCACGCACTCATTGGCCCGACTACACATAGCTCATCATCCAATTACTAACATCTTGTTCTTCTGTAGAAAGGCAAAAGCACATCCGATGAATGAAGAAAAAAAAAGGTTCCTCAATCAATGCAAGCCAGGCCTGTTCGGTCGAGCTCGGCGCGGCTCGGCGTTCGCTTCTGGATTGATGATACTTGACCCTTGCCTGAGCACCACGCCAAAAAGAATCACGTTGAAGACAAAAATGGCCTGTCATACTTGTTTATATTCTTCAATGGCACCGTCGCCGAGAAGTCGACTTCAAGATTGAAGAGACAGGGGGTGATGTCGTCATCGCGGCAGGAATCCCAGTGAGATCTCGACCCGCTCAGATCGAAGACGCCATATGTGACTGACTCGTTCGATGGCGCGCGCCGCAGATTCAGAGTTGAAAGCGAGTATGCGGTGAGCATTCGGGGGGTTCAGGGTCTTTTATCACCGAGCAATCAATAACATCTCACCGTGGCTCTGACCCATGTTCTCCGCCCTTAACACCGAGGAAGTCTGGAGTTCCGATGCGTTCGGTTCAGCTTGCAAGTCGCGGCCGAACAACCATAAGCCCCGAGACAAACGTAAACGGAATCTTGTTTGATTTTCTTTTCTTTTTTTGGACAGGCGAAGACCTACACACACGTACATACCTGCGTTTTCAACGTCCACCATGTCTCCAGCCGGCCGTCTGCAGCAACTCTTGTCACGCGCAACATGCGGTCTCCTTCCGTCTTCAGCGTCGAAGCCCACTTCTCAACGTTACATCACGACGGACTCCGTTGCCGCTGATGGTGCAAGCGACTTATTGGAGCTAATGAAAGCGCGTCGGTCGCATTACGAACTATCGAAGCGAATCCCACTGTCGACCAGCCGCATTGACGACATCGTGAAGACCGCATTAGCCGAAGTGCCTTCGGCGTTCAATTCCCAGTCGAACCGAGTAATCGTTCTTCACGGCGCACAACACGAGAGGCTATGGAACATCACAGAGGACATTCTGAAGGCCAAAGTGCCGGAAGAAAAATGGGGACGAACTCATGCGAAGATGGCAATGTTCAAACGCGCAGCAGGAACAATATTGTTTTTCGTGGATGAAGAGGTCGTAGAAGATTTGCAGGAAACTTACAAGACCTATGCCGATACTGTTCCGTTCTGGGCGGCGCAGAGTGACGGCATGCTGCAATACGCTCTGTGGACACTGCTAGCAGGGGAAGGCATCGGTGCCAACTTGCAACACTACAATCCTCTGATTGATGAACAGGTTGAGAGGGTTTGGAATGTGCCAAAAGAATGGAAGTTGAGCGGCCAGCTGGTGTTCGGCGGAATCACCGGGAAGCCCGGCTCCAAAGGATACATGCCGATGGAAGATCGATTCAAGTCATATGCATAGGAACAATGTAGCAGCGGAGACGTTGAAGACGGATAAAAAAGAAGAACACGGTTTACTTTTACAATGCCTGACGCCGAGTACGGCTACAGTAAAGCCACATATTTCAAATGATTCGTCCTTGGTGTTTCCTGATTCATGAGACCCTACCTAATTAGGCATTTAAATTTTCTTGGTCTGTTCCACACTGACGCTGAAGACGTCGGTTCTCATAATCTTTCCACTGAAGTTGTGTTTGTCGAGTATACTCTCCTGGCTATTCTTTGCAATTGCTGTCGTAGTTGTGTTATCGTCAAAACTGATCTCATCGGCTTGCCGGATCGCTCGCTTTCGGGCTTCCCGGGAGCGTGAAAGCTCAATGTTATCGGACCTCATATGCCCACTCGGTCCAGATGGGCCAGACGGGCCAGAACCGTAGTTTTCGTATGTGTACTTCCCGCCTCCGGAGCTGAACATGCGCTTGCCGAAGATGAGCTCGCCCAAAGGCTGCAGAACTGGGATGCAAGCGGCTATGATCATGGTACTGCCTTCCACACTGCACACGATACTTAGCGTCTGGTCACCCTGAAAAGAGCCCGTTCATTTCTTACATCGTCCAAATGATCAAATCCGCAGTGTCATCTATCAGCACAGTTAGTAGAGGATCCATCCATCGGGTCCGGCAACATCAAATCATTTGAAGACTGGACTAGACATACATGAAAAGTCTGCGCTAGCAAGACTTGGCAACCTCGTGCACTTATATATGGCGACAATGGATGAACTGTCAAGTGGTCAGTTACAATGCCCCTTCACGTACTAGACCAAGCCAGACTCATACATAGATCCAATACCGAGGGCGATGCTCAGAGCAACTTTCTTTCGGATGCTCATTTGTAACTTCGCCAACACGACAGCAGGGTAGACGGCAAGATAGATGTCGACGAAGGCACAGAACCCTTTGATCAATCATGTTAGCGATACGAACCCAACATCATCAACTCCTGATGCCGAATCGGGTACTTACCTCCTGAGTATATGGCAAAGTACACCAGAAGCCATTTATCCCAGCACGTTTTCTCAGTGACCGAAAAGTCCCATTGAGAGTGTGAAGGCTGGCATTGAGCAAACAGAATGATGACGCAACCAATGAGGTTTGCTAAGCAAAATAAAGCCAGTGACCAGAGGAATATCTTGTGTGCCTTGCTCGGGTTCATGATTCGGGTGAGGAGTGCGACGACGGCGAGTTTGGGCAAACCAAACGACATAACTCCAGCGGGAAATCCGGCAATAGTCCAGAGGATCGAGCCTTGCTTTTGTTCGAGATCGAGTAAATCAAAATGGCGACCGTTGCCATGTGCCACGGCAGCAATGGCAGTTCCGACGTTAACCCATCCGCATATCTGACAGTCGTGGGGCACAGTCAGCACTTTGTTTGCTTCCAAGGGTGTCATGAAGAATTCTTGGCTGCATATGCAGATGACTTACGACAGATGCAATGATCAAGTAATCGTCCAAGTGAGTTTTTCCCAAGATCTTGCCTCTCACGAACAACCGACCTGCCGTGAAGAGAGTGCTTAGGATCGAGACGGATACGACTATGCCGAGGGCACTCGGGCCCTTGTTCTCGGCGTCTCGCTCTGGGAAAGATTGCGTCGACATTGGAACAACTTTATCAATCCAAGAGGCAGACACAGGAAACAAACAAACGACCCATGTGGGATTTGAAAGAGAGAAGGCAGCAAAACAGAAAGACGCCAGAGCACCCCTCAGAAAGTAAATGAATGTCCGGAGAGATAAATGCAAACTGGAGGAGGGAGAGCCAAGAGATACCCAACATTCGATCGTGCGGAGGCGGGACTGGGAAGCGGGAGTGAGCTCCGTAGCTGTCTGGATATTTCACGCGCTTCAAGTATTTCATTGCCCGAAATGGCGCTGATAACGACATTTCCAGGTTCCCAGAATGCTCCTGTCGCCGCCGACTGACTAGTCTATGAAACAGACAAGGGGACTGCGAAAGGAATGCCCAACGGTCATGCCATCCACCGCGCGCAGGAACATGAACCAACGAGAAATATTCGTGTTGCATGGGTCGAGCCAAGAGACGTTGAACCAACAAGCTGGTCTCATTCGCCAACCGGAACCAACCCCCCGGGGAGAGGACATCGTCCCTCGTCTGAGGTGGACTTTCCGGTGGACACTCCGTTCCATCCGCGCCCCACAGACTTGGGTCGCGACAACGATCTATCACCGAAAGCATCGAGCAGTGTTGAAGAACCAACGTGTTGTTGGTGCTATGTTGCAGAATTGGCCTGCAGCTGCATGCAAGTCCCTGACGATTGTTATGAGACTTCCCTTTCCAGGCCTTGGCGATCATGGGACGGCATGTGTTGACGCCGACTTGCGGCGGCGACCCCTTCCGGCACGTGTGGTGAGCAGATAACGAGTGGCCTAAAAAGCATATATACCTCGTCTTGTGTGGTAAACAGACATTGTTTCCTTTGATTCCGCAGATCTTTTCTCGTAGCTCGCTTGAGTGCCGTTCTTCCCCCTTGTACATCTTGTCTCCAACGTCTTAATTTGTCTCGTAAACATGGGTTCCATTCCCGAAAGAGTTCCCTTGGACGCCTCCGTGGCCATTCAAGCCAATGATGCCAAGAGTGTGGCAGACCTGTCGTCTACGATCGGAAACCTCGGCGCTTCTTGGTCTCCAAGTGACGACGATGCCCGCCAGAAGCTTCTGAAGCAAGCTCGTTCGTTGGTGTTGGCATTGGAGACACCCAGGGAAACCATGATCAGACACTGCTGGGCCCAGGTAAGCATGATGGCTGGTTATCGAGGAACAATCTAACTCGCATCTCCAGCCGAATGTAAATGTCAACATCGTCGTGGGAATCTTCTCCGGTCTCTGGAAGCACATGGTTGAGAACCCTGGGCCTAAGAAGGTCCAGGACTTGGCGTCTGCCCTGAAGTTCGACGCCGATGTTCTTGCACGCCTGATGCGTCACCTCGGAGCAATGGGATACATCAAGGAGACTGGTGAAGATGAATATGAACTCACCAACTTCTCAAAATCGCTCAGCCTCCCCATGATTGCTGGCGGATACCCAGTCACGTAAGTGGTTTTAACGTGCAACTCGCTCTCAGAAAGAGCTGCTTGACTGACACTTTGAACAGTGTTGGTGGATGCTGGCCGACGTTGGCCAACTTCCCCGACTACCTGAAGAAGAACGGATGGAAGATCCACGAAGACCCAAAGAAGGGGCCCATGCAAGACGTCATTGGCGAAGACAGTGCTTTCTTCCAGCACATGATGACCTACTATCCCGACGGAGAGTTCCAGAATCACATGGCTGGCTACAGACAAGGCCGACCGTCATGGATGGACGATGGTTTCTTCCCCGTGGCCGAGCACCTGATCAAAGGAGCCAACACTTCCAGCGACGCTGCGTTCCTTGTCGACATCGGCGGCAGCACTGGTCATGACATTGATGAGTTCTGCCGTAAGCATCCAAGTGCACCCGGTCGCCATATCCTCCAAGATCTTCCCTATGTGCTCGCACAAATTCAGAAGATTGACCCAAAGATTGAGCCAATGGAATACGACTTCCACACCGAACAGCCCATCAAGGGTGCGAGGGCTTACTACATGCACTCCGTCCTGCACGACTGGACGGATGAGGTTGGCAAGAGCATCTTGTCCCGCATAACGGCTGCGATGAAGCCTGGATACAGCAAGCTCCTGATTAATGAGAACGTGCTGCCTCCAACAGGCGCGAACTGGCAGACCACCGCACTGGATATGATGATGATCACCCTGTTCGCTTCAAGGGAGCGAACGGAGGCGCACTGGCGCAACTTGTTGGAGCCGGCGGGTCTGAAGATTGTTAAGATTTGGTCCAAGGGTGATGGAGTTGAGAGCCTCATTGAGTGCGAGTTGGCGTAGACAGCAGAGGCTTGCGAGAGGTGAGGTCGGGGAGGCTGTCTGTTGGTACCGGGTAGATCTTCGCCCTCAAATTCAGGTGGCGTGGAGAATGTCAGCACTTTGTTGGAAGGATGCGCCATCGATCCACATTTCATCCGTTGAAGAGAGCTTTTGCGCTTGTGATTTGCCTGTTGGTTCGACGTCGTATGTTGGCACCAACGAGTAGGTCCCCCAAATAGGAAAGTAATTTACCATCCCGGTTCCCCGAACCATGGAAAGAGCAGTGATATCCGCGGTACGGAGTAGCTTCCGGTGGATCCGTTACGCAACGGCCCGTTGTGAGTCTCCTCGATTCGGAACGCAGCTCATCAGTTCCGCGGGAAGTGGCAGCTCTTGCCGGTTGCTCGGTGCGCGCATGCCGGGTATAGCTTCCTCCTACTTTTCGCATGATTGAGGCCTTGCCGTGGTACCCGAAACACAACTCAGCTTCTCGGTAAACCTTAACTCAGTGAAAGATTCCGGGAAATCTCGATCTATTCGTGAGTATTGTCAATGAAATTTCTGAGAGGACAGAGTAGTAAGTTATGTTCTTACCAAATTGAACAAAACGATGGTGGGGAGTCGAGATCCTCAAAATCCTCTGTATGCTAAGCGCGGGAGATGCGTTGAGTGAAATGGCATATGCCTCGGTTCCAAGCCGGGTTTTAATTACTGCCAAATACCTCTGGGGCCTATTCCTGATACGGCCCCACTGTGGTGTACAACGACGGTGGACTGCCGCATGTGGGTAAGGAGGACGGCGAGGTAGACCGGGAGCCGACCGTGAGGCGGTGGGGCCGTGCGGCCACCCGTGTGGCTGCCGATGTGGATACACGCATCTGCGAGAGCCCGGAGGTCCGGACCGTGTGGTGGGGACATCCTTTCCGAAAGTGGATAATCGGCTCAATAGATTCATGCTGATGTCCGACTTTCCGCATTGCCGTGTGCTCCAACTTTACTCGAAGATTTTTCTGTGGGAATCTTCGCCCGCCTCCGACGCGACACCACGTGTACGAATGAAGTTGTGCCGAACGTAATTAGGGGCCTCTTGGTGGCCGAGAGAAGTCCGGGGGTCCACCTTGTCGATGTGGGTGCTCATGGGTGCAATCTTCAGGGGCCTTCATTCTTCAGCCAACCATGGCATCGGTTCTTCAGAAGAAATCTCCTTGACCCCCGTTTCGCGGGCCGTTTGACACCTCCGGCGACTAGACTAAGCCACCAAAAAGCACGAAGCCGGAGCACCTTATCTTAGGGACATATAGCGTAGGTTTCCCCTTTTGCTGTCATCGAAAAATACGACGTTGCAATGAGAGCTTGTTGGTCTCTCGATAATCAATCACCCTATGCCGCCCTCCGTCGCTGGCATCATCGTGTCTGCACAACCCCGGGCAACCCAGCATATCTGCCGGCAAATGAGAGACTCTTCAATCCTTCTAGGCCGCTGGTCTGCGCGTCTTGTTGATCCCTCACGCCACGAGCCCTTGTCTCGACGTTGCAAAACCTCGGTCCTGTGGCTCTATCGGGCGTAGACCCTATGCAGGGTATGTGGAGAACTCACTTGGCCATCGTGACCCCCGGACTCTCCACCAAAGCCTGATGACATGGTCACCGTCGAGAGAAAACGATAATGCCCTCTCTTCTGCCGTCAGATTTCAGTTTGGCATTCTTCATTCCTTCTTCTCGGCAATCGCAGCAATGTCTACGATCGAGACTGGACCGACGTCCGTCGACGTTTCAGCGTCGTACTTGAGCGCCCGCACCGTATTCGTCCTCTTCGGCTTCTGGGCGGCGTACCAGGTCTTCAAGGCCTTGTACAACATCTCGCCTCTGCACCCTCTGAGCCACATTCCCGGCCCGAAGTTGGCTGCCGCAACCTACATCCCGGAATTCTACCACGATGTAATCAGATTCGGACGGTATACCAGGGAGATTCAGCGCATGCACCGGGTCTATGGTGAGTCGAGAAGACATACACTGATACGTCGCTGGCAACGAGCAGAAATTCTGACAACCAACAGGCCCCATTGTTCGCATCAACCCCAATGAGGTGCACTGCAACGATGCCAACTTCTCCGACGAGATCTACGCCGTCAGTGGTCGCAAGCGTGACAAGCCTGTTCACCAGATCAACGGCTCGGCGTAAGCAAATTCAGTCATGGACTATCATCCTGCGGAGGTTCGCTAATTCTTCTTCCTTCCGCAGTCTGGGCGAGTCTGGATTTGGAACTGTCGACCACGACCTGCACCGCGGTCGCCGTGGCCCCCTCGCCAAGTTCTTCTCCCGCGGCATGATTGCTCGCCTCGAGAGCGATGTTCACGCCTTGGTCCAGAATCTTTGCGACAAGTTGCTGAACGAATCCGGAAAGGAGGCATTCGATGTCACCATGGCCTACAGCTGCTTCACTTCCGATGCGATTTCCGGTTACTGCTTTGGCGAGAGCTTCGGATTCTTGCAGCAGGAAGGCTGGTACCCCAACTTCCGTGCCCCGACTGCTTCCATTCTCCGACCTGTCTTCATCTTCCGTTTCTTCCCCTGGACCAAGTCTATGGCTGTTCTTGGAGAGTGGTAAGCCACGGAAAGAACCGCCCATGAAAGACAACAGCAGGCGTGCTAACGATAATAAAGGTTCATCAACTTCTTGCCCGAGGATATTGCTCTTCTTATCCAGACTCTCAAGATCGATATCCCGAACAAGGTCAAGAAGACCAAGAGCGAGCTCGATGCCGGTATCCGACATGAGCGCCCCACAGTCTTTGGATCCCTTCTGGAGTCGGACTTGACCTTGCTCGAAAAGCAGCCCCAGCGATTGGCCGACGAGGCCGCCGCGGTCGTTGGAGCCGGAACCGAGACGACCAGCTGGGCTCTGTCTGTCATCACCTACCACCTCTTGACTAAGCCCGAACTTTTGACGAAGCTCCGCAACGAGCTTAACGAGGTTGTCGACGATCCCCAGCACTTGCCTTCCTGGACCTCCCTCGAAAACCTCCCGTACCTCGGTGCCGTCCTCCAGGAGGGTCTCCGCCTTTCCTACGGTGTCTCTGCCCGTACCGCCAGAATTCCCACCCAGGAAAACCTGGTTTACCGCGGCGAGTTCAACAAGAAGCGTGTCGAATATGTGATCCCTTGCGGCTACGCCGTCGGAATGTCTGCCGCTATCACTCACCACGAGGAGGGCGTCTTCCCCGACTCCTACGAGTTCATTCCCGAGAGATGGCTGGACGAGAACAACAACCGCAGGAAGGACGTTGAGAAGGGAATGCTGGCTTTCTCCAAGGGTAGCAGAGGTTGTCTCGGCATGAAGTGAGTTGCGATTCCCCTGAGATTTGTGAAAAAAAAGTACCGGATTGCTGACATGCATAATCTCTAGCCTCGCATTGTGCGAGATGAACTTGTGCCTGACAGCACTGGTTCTGCGCGTTCTCCCCAAGATGCAACTTTTCGATACCGAAGACGAGGATCTCGCGTACGACCATGACATGTTCGTGCCCGAGCCGGCCAAGGGCACGACTGGAGTCCGGGTCAAGATCGCCTAGTAGCCCTACAATGTTTCCGCAATTTGCACGGGCAAGTGTCACATCAATTCCGAATTTCCGATACCAATTAGCTCCAAAACTTAATTCGAATCACTGAACGATCATGTCAAGTGGGTGCACTTCTCGCCTCGCTTGAGACTGTAACGGATATGACCCAGGTGATATACCCGAGACCGTCCACGTCGTTCGTCCTCTCGTCCCATTCCGGCCGTTTTCCTGTGCATACAGCGTCGTAACGGGCTTCTTTGGGACTATTTCAGCTCGTCTTACTTCTCGTACGAGATCTAGATGCGGAGTATGGTTGCCTTGCTCCTACATAGAATTGGCACCGATGATCGCAATTGTGGCTCTCTCGCGGGTCGTTGGGATCAGCGTGTTTCAACCCCCAATATTGACATGGCCCGAATGGACTCTTGGTCAAAAGTTGTTCCTCCTAGTGTGGGATGCTATGCAAGTTCCCAACCGCCGCGATTGGACGGCTTCCGGAGGAATTCTTCGCATTCTTCGACCAGGCTCGGTCGCCGTCGATGTGTTCTGCCTAGTGTGGTGGAGTTGGCTCGTAGACCTGCAACGGACCCCTGGGCTTAACTAGCGTGCCGAGAGAACGCGGCCGACGACCCAAGGTCCGCCTTGGTTCGACCAACTCCGCTTCTCAACTATCGGCATCTTCATTGGTCTCGGGAAAGTGGGCAGCTGGGTTCAGATCCAGGACCAGAACCTCTTGCTCGTTCTTCCAGACTTTCCGGTTGCCCCCTTTGGCCACCGTGCTGGGGCCCGGGGCGAGATGTTGTTGATGCTGGTTCCAGGCCATGGACTCCATGGAATACGGGCCCTGTTGGTAATTCTCCATTGACAGCTCTTGACAGGCTTGACAGTCCCAACGAGCAATGTCTGGGGTTACATCCATGAAACCTATCCCGGTTCTGATCTTTTCTGTTCTCCGAGCGACGTACCGCCGCCACCTACGTGCCACGGCTCCTCTTCCCCTGCAGATGAATAGGAACTGCCGCACCTGCGGCCCCCAAAGTTGATAATTACTGGCGGCTTAAAAGTCCACGGGACGCCTCTTTGCAGATTCCGTCTAGATCTTCCCCCCCGTGACGGCGTATTCGACGAAGGACTGATCAACACGTGCCCGACGACAAGATGTGGTCAACGACTGTCGACCCCGAACTGCGAATGCTGACGCCAGATGGACTCTCGCTCGCCATCATTATCGTATCATGCGTGTTCCTCGTATTCTCGGTGATTTGCGTCGGACTACGAACCCGGATCCGTCTGATCGAGCGCACCTTCGGCCTTGACGATGGCCTCATGTTAGCAGGAACGGTATGGCAACCTCCAAATCAACAGATCTTCCACGGGGAACGCAGGCTTATGACAACTAGATCGTGTACATGGCGTGTGCAGGACTCGCAATCTACGGCTGCTTCGTCGGTCTCGGCAGGCTCGAAGAACACTTAAACGCCTGGCTCTGGGCTGAGGCTCTCAAGATTTATGTCGTCTGGATTCTGGTCTACGTTGGCGCGTTGGCGTTGGTCAAGTCATCGGTCTGCCTTACGATTCAACGCATCGTCACGACGGACAGAGCCCTTAGGATTACCGTCTGGGTTCTTCTGGGACTCACGTGGGCGTCCTTCTTCATCACCTTTATCGGAACTCTGCTCTACTGCCAACCGGTCGAGGCTTTGTGGACACCAACAATGATTCTGGCGGGTACGGGAAGCTGCGCGAATGTCGACGTCCTCATCGCCATCGGTCACGTTGCCACTAGTTCCGCCATCGTTACGGACTTGGCTCTCGTCGTCGTCCCTGCGGTGATGCTTTGGGGAACTCAGATGAAGACCCAGACCAAGCTCCAGGTGTTTGGATTGTTGTCCTTTGCTTCTGTGTAAGTTCATATCCTGCACTCTGAGCTCTGTGCGGAGCATAGTTGCTAATTCCTTGACTACAGAGCCGGAATCATCACGATGATCCGTATTCCCTATGTCAACCACTTCAAGGCGCAAACAAACCTCCAGTGTAAGTCGTCCACGTCATACAAACCCCGTTTCATCAAGTTGACACCACGCTAGTCTGGGTTGCCCACACCGTCCTCTGCTCCAACGTCGAGACTGGCATCGGCTGCATCGCTTCTTCGGTCCCGTCCCTCCGCCGCTTCATCGCTCGCACCCGCGGAACCACAGCGGAAAACTCAGCACCCAGCGGCAACAACCACAGCGCGGGACTCTTCACGTTCGGCAGCAAGCCGGTCGAGAGAAGCCGCGACCCGTACCGCAACCCAACAGATGTGGGCTTCAGTCTGGCCACCGTGCACGGCAGGGGCGACGACAGCTGGGAACGCCTCCAGGATGGCGACTCCGACAAAGGGGACCTGATCCCGAACAGCCAGAAGAACGGTATCCACAAGCAGTTCACCTACACGGTCGACGTCGAGACGGACTCGAGCGTGAAGACTTCAAGGTCTGGACACAGCCGGTAGGGAACCGTGGTCGAGCAGACGTCCGTTCGCCGCTCAGATTAGAGCACTAATGTATAAAATCTTGTACAACATCCACGAGTGATGCAACATTTCCCCATGTCCTTTTGCGCGTTTTCCAGGATAATCAATCAAAATAAGGCATTGACCACACGACATAAAAGAAGAGAATCCTTCTTCCGGGCCAATTGTGTGACCAGAAAGCAACGCATTAGTCTTGCTGTGGACTCTCGAGGAACACCCTCCACATGGTCAAGGGGGCAGAAAACCCGCCATCCGCCATCCGCGGTCGATATGGATCTCTGCTCAACACGTGCAAAACCCTGTCCTGGCCCCTGGCGCTTTGACATTTGTGAGAAAATATTCAACACCGCCCCATTGTCATCGGGAATGTGGGTTACCTCGATCGTGAGTCCGCGACTCGTATTTCCACCAAAATCACACGCAAAGACGCAAATGGACACCCGATTAACTCGGACCATCGTTGCTTTTTGTCAGTGCGATACAGTGCAGATCCGATTACCGACCCAAGAATTTGCACGGCAGCGGAAAGCCCTTGCCCAGTAGCCTTTAGGGGTTATGAATCATGACATTGACGACCGATTTGGGTACCGTAGCCATCGTGCCATTCGAAGCGGGAAGAAGGGCAAATGAGCCCTTCTTGCGGCGTTATTGATGCCAGGGGGTCAAAACTCGGAAAGCGTGAGAGAGATCATGCTTAGACGACATTGAGCTGAGACAACTCATCCCACCGTTTCCGAGGAGTTTCTTCGTTCGCTAGGGGCTTTTGACATAAACCTCTCAAGACTTGGCGGTTAAACGAGGCCTTCATCTCCTGTGAACCCTAGCCAGACCAATTTTGACGGGAAAAATGACGGCAACGTGCATCGCCCCCATCCCGAAAACAGCAAGTCTCTCACTCGTTGGTGGGGGAGACAACATGCCTAGCGGATGGGTTTCCGCCGCAATGTGCTAGAGAGAAAGGAGAAATAGTCAATGAGGGCCCTGGGTATTTATAAAATTCCTTCATATCGGCTCATAAATCTGCCGAAATTCTACTTCAAGCCGGGATGCTCACCGTCTCTTTTTCCTTTTCTCTCATCACAGAGGTTATCACGAGTATATGATGACTTCGGAGGTCGGTATGCCATCTTTGCCGAGCTCAGTCAAGCAACTGTCGCGGCGAATGAGGAACCCCGGGAACCCCACGTGAAGTCGGCCGGCTCCGAACTTGGGGGAAACGTGCGTGAAAGTTGTTGATCGAATGGTAGATGAAGAAGGATGTGCAGAACATGCATAGGCGAGGAACGATGTGACGATCTCTGCGTGATTGAGAGAATGTTGGCAGAACAGGTTCTGCGCGCAAGTTCCCCTCACCTGATAGCTGATGTCACAATACCAAGATTTTAAAGGGAAATAAATACGGTCGCAGAGAGATGTCTTGAGGCAGCCGGAGTTGTGACACAGTTACATAGTAAACGTTTCCTGATATTGAATTATCGACACAAATCTATTCGGGATGAAGTCCGCTGCTGCTGCTTCCGTACTGCTTGGAGTCCTCGGCGTCCATGCACAATCTGCCGATCTCTTCGTCCGGTTTATGACCTACAACATCCGCTGGGCCACTCCGATCCCCGGCATCAATGAAGCCCCGTGGTCCGACCGCCGGCCCCGTCTGACGGCCCAGCTCAACTACGAAACCGCCGCCCGACCGGAGTCCTTGATCTGCATGCAGGAAGTTGTCGAGGAGCAACTGCTCGACATCGCCGAAGATCTCGGATCCGCGTGGACCCACATCGGCGTCGGCCGCGATGACGGCGTCGCTGCCGGAGAGTTTTCGCCGATTTTCTACCAGCCGGGCGCTTGGGACCTCGTGGAGAATAAGACTTACTGGCTGAGCGAGACGCCCAGTGTGGTCGGATCGGTCGGCTGGGACGCCGCTCTCCCACGCATCGTCACGGTCGCCTCCTTCACCCATGTGGAGTCGGGGTTTCCGCTGGTCTACATGTGCACGCATTTCGATCACGTCGGTCAGACTGCGCGCGAGAACAGCGCCGAGCTTCTTGTTGGACTCGCGAAAGAGTGGGAATCGTCTGCAGGGGAAGTCAAACCGGTGTTTCTTGGGGGCGACTTGAACATCGAGCCCGACAACCCAGCTTACCAACTGTTGATCGCGGAAGGCAACATGCACGACACGCTCGATGTCACCCCTGAGGCGCGCCGCACGGGGAACTCCAAAACGTACACGGCTTTCACGGATGACAAGGCGGATGACACGCTCATCGACCACTTGTTCGTGCGGGATCCGACGATTAGAGGCATGGAGTTCCTGGCGCATGCCGTGCTCGCGAATCGGTTTGATGATGGAGTGTTTATCTCTGATCACCGTCCTGTTGTTTCCGATGTCAAGTTTCGAACCGGCTGAAAGGCCAGGCAGTGACTTCAGATTGGCCTTTTGATTCTTGAATACAACTCACATTCAATTGATGTCTGACCATAGTATCCTAAGCATGCCGTATGGCCATAATATCGCAATTGCAGACTCCACATTCAGTTCCAATTGCTTATCAATCGACATCAATCTTGGCAAACTGAGGTAACGGACGTCGGCACTTGTGTCTCCCGGCCCCCGCGTTCACGGTCCGGGGAGAGCCGCTCGGTTTCGCTCTCAGCCTGTACGTGTATGTGATTTCGGAACTGGAAACCGTCTCAGACGAGCGCCGACCACACGGAATTCATTTTACTTTGAAATCCAGGAAAAGTACCATACTGGTCCACGATGCTTATTTATCTTCGTCTTTGGGGTTGCTTCAACTGAATAACTTGTAGGAATCAAGACATTGGCTAGATTCGTGTGCAATCAAGTCTCTTCGTCTAATTATCGCTCTGGCAAGAGAGACAATAGCCGCTTACAGTACATTTTACGGAACGACTTGGATTCTTCTTCATTGTGGGCTGAAGCATCGGTCCCGGAATTTATCGAGGCCGGGGCAGATCGGCCGAATTGCTTCAATGTCCGCCATTATTAAGCCGTGCCAAACTTTCATGGACTTCTATTCTTAACCTCATGCTGGATTGAATACTTGATTTATAAGCTTGGAAGAGTAAATAAACGTAGAAAATTTGATAAATACGCAACCGTGAGCGACGGGTGCTTATGTTGCGTTATTGTTGGAAGACACCACCTCATCGCCTTTCTACGCTTTTCAATCTGAGCCCCTTTCACCATGAGCCTTAAACTTTACGGTCATCCCATCTCGCTTTGCACGAGACGTGCTCTGATAGTGCTCGCGGAGAAGAATGTCGACTTTGAGTTTGTAAATGTCGACTTCATGTCTGCGGAGCAAAAGGTTTGCCGCCGAACACTGCATCTGTATTGTGTTGTCACTAATCTGTGTGCTAGCAACCTCATTACAAGGACAGACTCCCCTTCGGACAGATTCCACTGCTCGAAGATGGATCTTTCGGTCTTTATGGTAAGACCGACGTGGTCGAGCATTGAGACATATCATTCTGACGATTATTCCCACAGAATCGAGAGCTATTGCCCGTTACATCGCTGCTCGATACGCCGGTCGGGGTACCCGCTTGCTTCCTGCTCAAGACGACATCCAAGCTCTGGGTCTCTTCGAGCAAGCAGCTTCTATCGAATACTCTCAGTTTTACGATGTGGCGTTGCAAGTCTTGGTGCAGAAGTTCTTCAACCCGTTAGTCTTCTTTCTTGCCTTCGTCCGACTTTCACTAACTGAAGCCTTCAGATCGAAAGGCATTGCTACTGATGAAGTCGCGTGTGAAGCTGCCGTGAAAAGGCTCCATAGTATCCTGGACATTTTGAACAAGATTCTGGACAGCCAAGATTACTTTGCCGGCGACTATTTCTCCCTCGTCGACACCTTTTACATGCCAACCGTTGGCCATCTGTTCCACGCCGGGGAAGGCGCTGCTTTCGAGAGCCTTCCCAATCTGAAAGCTTGGTGGGACAGGGTTTCGGCCAGGGAATCGTGGAAGAAGGTTGCTCAGCATTGAAAGTATTATAGCTGAAGGGGGGGGGGATGCCTGTAATAATGAACTTCAGCTTATCGCCTCACTGTGCGTCAGATTAGGACATCTTTTCACGGCTCGCTGCCTTCTTCGAGCTCATGAATTGTGATGCATATTGGGCAATAAGGCTGTTTTCCAATCCGCTTGAGTTTGCTGAGACAATCACACATCCTTGACGTAGACGGCTCAAGTCAAATCTCATGTCGAACATGTGCTGTCCATATTTCAGGTTACACACCCGAAGAGGGGATGTGTTGATTTTGTACATCGCTTTGGCGGCCGAATAACCAGACATCATTGATCGTTCTGAGCAAACATGCCAGCTTAAGCCCAGGTGAGTATTTCATCAGTTTGGATAACTAGCGATCGCGTCAGCCGTCACTGCATTATCAACAACTGGGGTTGACTACGTGTAGTCAGCGGCCCGGCCCGATGCCCGACTCCGTCCGGGTTGTAGTCTAGCGAGGCTTCGATCCGCCTTTATCTTGTCCGCAATGCATGGTTATCTAATTCGTAGAAAGCATCTTGCTATTTTCTAAGTGGAACGCGCCTTATCGCCGCGAAACATTCAAGCCATTGACTCAGGGCGGTGCGGCGTTTGCCAAGGTGGGATGTCCATGGGTCCATAACAAGCGGACTTTCGGCCCTTTGACGCCCGAATGTGCATGAGTAGAGATCGTCAGGAACCACAAAAAGTCGCCGTGTAACACTTCCTACCAGTTGAGTTGCATCAAATACATCAGAAACCCCATGTATGCCATGTGAGCGATGTCTCACCGAACGGCTTGGCTGCAGGGCTTAGGAACCCGCGGACGCCCATGCCATTCGATGCTCGACATCCGAACCAAAGAACTTAAATATCATCAGATCCAAGTAGACCAGGTGAACACGGTACGTTGACTTTCACCTCGCCAAGTCACCAACACACAACATGGAGGCTAACAAAGACATGCGCATTTTAATAGCCGGCGGCAGCGTCGCTGGGTTGTCCCTGGCGATCATGTTGGAGAAGTTCGGAATCGACTATCTCATCCTCGAAGCCTACTCCGAAATGGCTCCTCAACTCGGCGCCAGTATCGGAATGCTCCCCAACGGACTCCAGATTCTCGACCAGCTGGGTTGCTACGACCGGCTTCGAGAGATCGGTGGGGACGTCTACTACAAGTCTTCAATGAGGGCTTCGGACGGAAGGATCTTGACCGAGACTAAGGGCACTAGCCTCTCTGAGCGCGTTGAAGAGAAGTATGGACTTCAGTATCAGTATTGAAGACACGGAAAACTAACGCGTAGACTAGGACCGGGTATCCATGCGTGTTTATTGATAGACAGATGCTTCTGCAAGTTCTGTATGAGAAGATTCAGCACAAAGAGCGTGTCCTGACTGGAAAGCGAGTGGTTCACGTGGAGTTTGATGAGGCTGGTGTCACCGTCAAGACCAAAGATGGGAGTACTTACAGCGGCGATATCCTTGTTGGCGCCGACGGTGTTCGTAGCACCGTGAGGCAAGAGATGTGGCGCCTTGCTGCCGACGAAAGTCCTGGGGCTTTCCCCCCGAATGAAGCTGAAAGTGAGCGTTCTTCCCAGATGATTTGATTCCGACATTTCTAACGTCATGGCGTCCCTCAGGCCTAAACTCAAGGACGAAATGCATCTTTGGCATTTCAAACCAACCAAAAGGTTGGCGTGGAATGCAGCACTCAGTTTTCTACGACGGTAGGAGCTATCTCTTAGTACCTGGGCCGGAAGGTCGTGTGTACTGGTTCTTCTTCCACGTCATGGACCGCGACTATTACGGGAAAGATATTCCGAGGTTCTCCAAGGAGGACGAAGCAAAGTTGGCCTTCAAGCATCTTGACGACGCCATCTCAGACACCATCAAATTCAGAGATATTTACGAAGGACGCCGCTTTTCCACACTTGTGGCCTTGGAAGAACACGTCTTCTCACGCTGGCATTATCGACGAATCGTACTCATTGGAGATTCTGCGCACAAGGTATGTCAAGTTGAGGCTATTATAGACATACATGATATACATTGAGAATGACACTGACGTGTATCTTTTAGCTTCATCCAATCACCGCTCAAGGCGGAAACGGTGCATTGGAGACGGCGGCGGTCCTGACCAACGCCCTCATAGCAAAGCTGCGATCATCTCAACACAAACTCTCAGAAGATGAGATTGAGAGCGTCTTGGCGGAAGTACAAGCCGGCCGAATTGACAACATCACTGCCGCAATGAAAGAAGGACGGTGGTCGAACGCTATTGTTTGCCAGCAACTGCCCCTGGCCGAGCTTCTCATTCGCATTGTAATTCCTTGGCTTGGAGACGGCCTTATGTTCAACAGTTGGGTGAAAGCCTTCGAAAAAGGAACCCGAGTCAAGGCGCTCGACGTGCCGCAAAGGGTTGTTGGGAAGCTGTCACATGGCAAGGCGGACTCGCAGAGTCAAGCACGGAACTGGGCCAAGTGGGTTTCTGGAGCTGCTATTTCTGGACTTGCTGCGTTTATGATCATGAGATTGCGGAAGATATAACCAATTCTGGGACTATGGTAGGAGAAGAGACTGACACTAGACTGAAATACTTACATATACAACATCTAATAGGACTACGTTGGCGTGAAGGGCCGTCATTCTCTATGACCTCGGCCCAGAGAGTACTCTCTGAGGTGACCACATTTCAAAAGCTTCAGAGCAGCATGTGCTTGTACATGACACAGGTGCCGTGCTCACTTTATCAATCCATGCTTTGGCAATGACTTGAAGCATATACCATGTGATAAGATCTCGATTTTACTATCTATAAGGTTCCCTAGCCTAGGAGTTTCACTCGCCTCGTAGCTAGCGGAACTCCTGTCCATTGCCACCTCCCCTTCCATGCCGCCTCTGGGTATCTCACCGGCCCTAATTCGTTGACTTCCACCTCTTGTCCCGAGCATACTGTTACCCTCCCCCAGGCTTCTGTCCATAGACGACATGAAACGTCAAATACGAGTGTATTGACGTGTTCATCAAACTCTTTCGCACATCGATCAAGAACAGCTCAACCTCGTTGGCGCTCCACTTCAGCCCTCTCGTCAAAGGCGCCATGCTAACCGCCTGCAACGCATCGATGAGCATGCTTCGGTTGTACAGCCCAATAGTCTTCAACTTCGGATCCCTCGGCCACACCCCAATCGGCACCTTCCACACCTTCTCGACAACGTTCTCGAACCCGCTGCTCCGGAGAAGCTCGGCATTACGCTCCATCGATAACGGCTCGATGCCGAAGCTGCGGAAACCGGCCATGCAGAGGTCCACGAATTTGCCGTACCCATAACTTTCGGGCCCCGGCATGCTGCCGTCGTCGCACTGTAGGTGGAAGCGTAACTCCTGTAACTCGATCCATGCGCCGGGCTTGAGCGACGTGTAGGCTTGAGACAGGAGGGAAGGCCAGTTTTTGATCGCCATGCACATGTGCCGTGCGTGCACAAAGTCGAGAGAGTTTGCTGGCCATACCCAGTCCGCTTCGGCGTCGTCCACCATGAACTGGACGTTGGGAGGCACCCAATCTGGTTGAATCGGTGAGAGGTCGATGCCAATGACTTCTGCTTCAGGATATTCATCGCCAACTGATGAATAAGAGTTAGCTTTGGCTCGGCTTCTTCATATGACTCAGTTTAAACAGGTGCTCAAATGTAAGGAAACGATTCAATGACCACTGACCAACGTTCATAGCGATCGTGCATATGGGTTTATCAACAATAACAGAGAGGGAGCAACAGAAAGGGCGATGAGACGCCCAGATGATGGCAGAAAGATAGACATGAAATGGAAGAGAAACTTACTGTCAATGGCCCAAATACCCGTACCCGTCCCGATATCAATGATCTTTTGCGGGTTCTTCAACGGCGCGCTGTGCAGCTTTCCATCCATGACATTCACGCACATGGCATGCTTCATGTCCTCGCGCTCCTGTTCAGGCTCATCGTTCGGCAGTAGATACCTTCCCTCCATGTACTTGTGGTACCGTCGAGTATTCTCAAAGACGTAGTCTCGCACGCTGTTTGAAAGCGATGTGGACGTGGACCTAGAGCTGTTCGATTCGAAGCCTTCATCCCAGCCGTCGTCCACTCGTGCCGATGCGCCATCATCTGAGTCGGGTTCTACCGTGTTTTCGGTCTCCAGAAGGCGCGGTGATTGTCGGCCGGGTTGAGAGTGCTCATGCGGCGGAGGCGCTCGTGATGGCTCTGTTACTGAAGGTTGTCCTTCTGCCGTGTCTGCCATGGTTGTGTGAGGGCGACCAAGTGCTGATTCGAGATCCCGCGTTGAGATTCGCGCAGTGCTCAACGAGATGTCACTCTTCTACGTGTCGTTTGGCACCGTTGAGACCTTATGCGCTGGATCAGGGTACACCACACCGTTCACAGTGGACGTTGATCGTCGGGAAGCTTCCGTTGGAGATCGGAGACAATTCTACCAGAACGGAGGGTGGTTCGGTGTAATAAATGCCAAATAGAAACTCTAAAACAGCCCTTTGGTTTCCTGACGCGCAATCCGAACGGACCAATGCCCGTCAATTCCGTCGAGTCAGTGTATGGACGATTCTGTCAGTAACCGTCGAAGCTATTCGACAAAAAAAAGCATTGAAGCGAGAAGAAATCGAACAAGGAAAAGCCGTTGGACTGGTTTAAACTGCGCTGCGTCCCGTGTCCGTGTCCGTGTCAGAATAACATCAGCCATCGAGGAAGGATGAGCACGGAAGACCCAGGGGCATGATAAGCAGTCCTCCGACCCTTCGTATCAATGACACCACCATACTAATTTACCCCCGCGCTCAAAGGCACACGGCACAGCCTATCATGCCTCGTCGCTTGACGTGTTAGCCGGCTTTGGTCGGAGACGCGGCGGCGAACGAGCTGCTACCAGCCAGCCAACATGTTGCTAGTTGCGGCAGGATTCGTCTCCGGTCGAGGACGCTTGGGGAGGCGGGCATGGCCTAGAGGAGAATGGTCGGGGCGCCGGCGGTGGTGTAAAAGGACGGATCTAGAATCGTTGGCATGTGGTGGCGTTGGCTGTGTCTCTGGTTTGATGCGAAATGCTCCGACCTCCGTTCAGCTTCTCCCCCTCATACTCCCCTCATTTTGCCCTGTTCTCCTCATTGTTCCAGTCTAGCTCGGGGAGCTGAGCTTTGAAATTTCTTGCAAATCACTAACGGGCTTTCACCAATAGCGGGAGTATAGACGTGGTCGGCACGTTGCCGTCGATCTCTAAGATGGGTGCTCACCGAGCAGCCGGATCGAGCTAACGCTGCTTTCGCTGAAGGTCGCGTCGCCGCATTGGAAAAGGGGACTTTGGTAAGAAGGGGAGGGGATATTGGCAGGATAACTGAGCTTGGTCGTTCTTTGTTAGGTCATTTCTTCATTCTGCCCTCTCTCGCACTTGACTCTGCCCTCACTCTTACGACTTTGTTCTCATGTTACCCGGGGAATTGTAGTCTGATTCCAGCGCAGACAACCCTTGCAATACTGCCCGCATTCTGTGTTTCCCTCCGCGAGCCGTTCCGTGTCCGATTCCCGTGTGACATTCGGCGTATGCAATCTGACCGTTTGATCGGCAGACTCGCAGCAATTCTCACAACCCAAGAGGTGTCGTGTAACAAGCCACCTGAGTTTCCACTCAGCCATCGCAAACTCTCACCTATAAATCGGACTACACGGGTTATAAGTTTGTCCCATGTCGACAGACGTCGGCGATCAGATCCGGGCGGAAGCCTCCGCCGCAGCGGACGAGGTCAACACGGCCCTGCAGACGTTCCTGAAGGAGCCCGGGACGGCCGGAAGTGATCTCGATAAAGGTCAAAGACGGCGCATAGTGGATGCCGCCAATAAATTGATCGCTACGGTCAAGGATCCGGGCGATGAGTGGTTTGATGCGACGGCGCAGGTTGCGCAGTTGGGCGCGAACCGGTTGTTCTGGGAGTGGAAGGCTTATGATCACATCCCGTCGGAAGGAAGCATTTCGTATGGCGATCTGGCGGAAAAGGTCCAGGCTGAGACGTCCTTGATAAGTGAGTTCGAGAACCGCAGGTGAGTGTGAATAGAGTATGCTCAATTGACACTTGCCAGGGCGGATCGGAGGTGTTCTCACTTCCTTGGGTATCTTGCAACAAGTCGGCGACGACTCCGTCGCTCACACCAGACGTTCACGCATCTATATTGAGGGTCATCCGGCTGGCCAAATCGTCGGCATGGCGTACGTGCAATCCCAAACTTCTCTCTTCAACATAGCTAACACCAAACAGCTGGGAGAACGGCATGGTACCATACGTGCACATGCCGGCGTACTTTGAAAAGTACGGCCGCAAAGAACCGCAGACCCTCAACCGTGTGCCGGGGACCTACGCCTACGGAACGCCGGAGTACGGATGGTACGAGATGCTGCAGCACGACCCGCCGCGCATGCAGCGCTTCCTCCGGGCCATGGGGCCGATCGAGGAGAAGATGCCCATTTCCGGGATCTACGACTTCGGATGGGTTACCGAGTACGCCAGGACGAACCCGACGGACCGGGCGGTGCTTGTGGACGTCGGCGCCGGCCGGGGCCAGGCCATCAAGGCCATCCACCGCGAGAACCCGGAGCTGCCGCTTGGCCGCTGCGTGCTGCAGGACCGGCCTGAGGTGATCGAGGCCGTTACGCAGCTGGCTGATGAGGACATGAGACTTGTGAAGAAGCAAGTGATCGATTTCCACAAGGAGCAGCCCGAGAGAGGTAACAGAGATCCCCCTCCTGCGCTGGCGATCGGGGTGTGTGAGACAATGCTGACCCGGTGCAGGTGCCCTCGTCTACTGGATCAGACGGTGTCTGCATAACTACGGCGACGAGCTCGCGGTGAACATGCTCCGCATCATCGCCGATGCCATGGCGAACGACAGCCGGCTCCTGATCCAGGAGGACGTCATGGGAAACCCGCCGCACTACACCTCGACGATGCTGGACTTCATGATGCTGACCTTTGGCGGCAAGCAGCGCTCGCTTGAGTGCTGGACCGACGTCCTCGGGCGCGCCGGGCTGGAGATCCGGAGCGTGTCGAGGGGCCAAGGACCGTGGCGTCACTTGGCCGTGATTGAGTGCGTCAAAGTAGGGCACAAATGAGGAGAAACGTTCAGTGTGTATCGGCTAGGGAGCCGAGATTGTGGGCGTCAGGCCGGTACGAGAGAATCGGTTGAGTTCGCGGCTTGCATGTATTCCCATTGCGGCGGTGCTTGTGCAGATGTCTGTCTGGCCGCTGTCAACGAGCGGTGAAGGTGTCGTCAGAATTGTTCGAAGGCCAAGCCGCGTTGGTTAAGCGGAGCGAACTGGTGGGACGGGGGGGCCAGATCGACAGGAGGCATTTCCACCTTCATCAGGTCCACCGCTCGCCAAGGGCATTTGACATGTTGAGGTGGAGTTGTTGTGCGTCTTCGGATGGATCTTGTCGTGCTCGGCGCACAACACCAAAATATCTGGAATACTCACGATATCTATACTCACAACGAACACATGTGTACATTTCCGTAATAGCTCACAAAGACTGACTCGTCGTACATCTCACGCGAAGACCTTTGTGTAATCATATGACCTTCCCGCCCTCACCGCTTCTTCGCCGGGACACCGGCCAATGCGGCCCGGTCCGCCCTCCGTGCGCCGGGCGCCGGATCCAGAGGAAGGGCCGGGCTTCACTGTTGATCAAGACACCGCCTTTCGTTCCACCTGAATAAGTCCGGGGCCTAGCGGTGTCCACCGCGCTATTGATTGATGTTCGCAGTAGGTTTGTTGAACGGCGTCGGTGAGCCTGGATGCAGATCAGACGGAAAACCAGCTTTCATTTCACTACCATCACGATCATCAAAGCGAGAGAAGTCATGTGTGAACTGTATCAGTAATATTGTGTACTACTAACAACTCTCAACCCGTAAACGAGTCTCTGGTCACAGAGACGTTCATTCTCCTCCTCCAAGTGACTTGCGACAGCTTTCATCGCGTCGTTCTATCATCTATGCTTCGCTATGCCAGTCTGATGCTCAATCGAGCCTGCTCAATCGAGCCTGCTCAATCGAGCCTGCTCATGCCTCATCTCTCATCTCGGAAAGACAGCTCAACAAAACATTACAAAAAATGAGTTACGCAACAAGGAACAAAACGAATAGTAGTAGAAAAGCCAACAATACCAAAATGCTGGGTATAGAACGCCAGTGCAGCTTGCCGAGCCGCGTGTGCAAATGCCAACAATATGCTCGGGATCCGTTTCCCACCAACCATGTTTCGAACACCGGCATTAAAGCAATTAAAAGAAATCCCAAAATAGTCGAATTTTGCCGGGAGCAAAAAAAACAACAACAGAATAGCACTGCGTTTTCGTGTCGTGTATTACGCCGTCTTGGAGCGGCGCCATCCGAACCAACTCCTCTTTCTCGAGCAGTAGTCTCCCTTCTCCGGGGTCTCCTCGTCGAGCTCGAGCCGGTATCGTCGCACACTGCCCGTGTCGTCGTCGAAGGCGACGTGCTTCTCCTTCGGGACGAAGCAGTCCGGGACGAGGTGCCTCTTGCACCAGCCCTTGACGCCGCGGCTGGCGGCATCGATGGCCGCGTACTCGAGGCGCCGCGTCCGGTCGCTCGTCCAGTAGTGCGTCGCCTGCGGCGGGAGCGGCGCGACCTCGGTGCACTCGCTGCCGTCGGGCTGCTGCTGCTGCGTGGGCGAGAGCAGACCGCGCTGGTCGAGCTCGAGTTCCTCGCCGCCGCCGCCGCGGGGGGCGGCTGCTCGGCGGTTGGCGAGCTCGAGATCCGTCGGGTGCGCGGGGAAGTGGAAAAAGGTCGCCTGCTGGGTGTGCGTGGCGTGCGAAGAGTGGTGGCCTCGCGAGGACGGGTGGTAGAGGCTGCTTCCGCTCGTTCGCGCGGCGTTGGGATACGGGCTGGTCTTTGGTGCGCGGCGGATCGTGGGGCGGCCTCGGGATCGGGGGTGCGGTTGCTGCTGGGGGGACGACTGCGACGAGGAGGTGGTCGAGGTGCGGCGGGGGTGTGATGATGAGTTGCGAGGTGGGAGGGACTCGTAGCCCGAGTCCTGGCGGCGCATTTCTGTTGGTTCGGGCTCCTTGTCCTTGGTGATGTGAGTGTTGTGGTGTGCGGAGGGCGGTGCCGGTGCCGGAGCGGGAGCTCTCGAGGGAGGGGAGCTCGGGGCGTAGAGCTCGACGTCGTGGAAGGACTGGTATGCGCAGGTGTAGTAGGTCGTGTCGGAGGCGGCGACACTTGCGCGAGATTCGGTGCGGAAGGTCATGTTGGATGGGAAGGGTGAGAGGCGAGACATGGTTGCGGTGTATAAGTGGTGTTGCGGTCGTGTAGATGTTTGTATGGTGGTGTTTATGCTCTCTCTGTATTGGAGGCACTTGCGAAAGGTTGGCTCATAAAAAGGCGTGTAAGTCAAAGGCGAGTATTGCAGAACGTAAGCAGTAGAGTTTTGAATCCTCGCTATAATGCCATTGGAGGATTTCCCCCCTCCACTCGATAAGCTTGGAAGCGTAGATCGATGAATGAGAAGCGGAGTGGACGACGATGACCGACGACCGAGCTTTTAGTAACCAAGCTGCGAGCTGCGAAGATTGGATGGAAGAACGTCTGGAGAAAGGGGTCGGTTCGTGCGGGCGGTAGGCCTCCCGGGGTAGATATGTATTAACGAAATCGTAGACGAGATTTTCTTTGATGAAAAGGCGGAGATGAGGACGGAGTGGTATCAGAAGTTGCGGTCTGCAGGAGAAAAAAATACACAGAGACCCCTCTCCGGTAAGAGGGTCCTGGTTTCCGAATTCGCGTTGATCTGACGACAAAAAGTGTGTCGTAGTGGATTCTTGCGATTTTCGTCGATTTTCGCAAATCCCTGGCCTGTGGCTTTCTCTCGAGTGGAGGAGGACGTTGAAGACAGAAAAGGGGATTGGGTATCGAGCCTTTTGGAAGCAAAGCCGCGAGAACGAGAACGGTACGGCGGCAGGGGTTTTGTTAGGCCTTGCAGGGCCAGACGGGGAAAGCAACTTAAAAAGGGACGATGAAATCGAGAAATCGAAGTCAGACCTCCACTATCGGTGCCAGGGGCCTGCGTCGTGTGTTTGCTCGAGTTGATACCCCCGTTCGCGGGTGGCAGGGGAGGATGTCGTCGTGGGCGGGCTGGACAGGCGTGATTGGGTCAGGATGTTGCGGTGAGGCGCCTCGATGGGGGGTCTCGTGGTGTTGCTGCAGCTAGGACCTGGGATGTCTTGCTGAGGAATGGGGGGAATATCGGAGTCGAGGCGGGGGGTGGACGCTGAGGACGCTTGACGCACAAAGCCCTGATTGTTCTTCTATTGATTTTCTTTTTGCCTTGTCTCTCGATGATGAGTTGGACGTGGGGTGATAAGACCTCAGAAGAGGGCAGTGAGAGGCGCGGATAAGAAGCTGTGAGACGGAGGGGAAGAGGCGGGATGTATGTAGGTACAGCCTGCAGAGACACCGCCTGTCGAAGGGCTTGACGGCTTGATCGACGAGGGGCAGTTATGCGTGGACTGATGAGGTGGCTGTTGCTCCTCTATGCAGTGCTGGGATGGGCGTCGAGGCTATTCCCCGGTTCGATATGCTTTTTGTGGTGCGGTGGGTTAGAGGTGAGGATGATTCTTATGCGGGATAGCCAGCCAGTCGACTCTGCGACGGTGACAAAATGTCAATCAAATGTGTTGGCAGGACGGATAAGGGGTGAGGGTTGTTGTAAGTTCCGGTCGATGGCTGAATGGCGTCGGTGCGGCGTCGCGGTGCAGACGGGCGGTGGCTGGGCTGAGAGTTAGGGCGAGGTACCCAGGGCCTTGATCATGAGTAGGCCAGGAGCCGGGATCAAGAGTTTGAAAAGGATTGAATGCAATGGTGGGAAGTATTCGGAGAGAAGAGCGAGGGAGGTTGCAGCGCAGAGCAGCAACAACAACACCACCAACAACAAGCCGTGAGATCGGACGAGGAGGGGACGCTGCAGGACGAGGAACGAGGGGCATGGACTGGACCGGACTGATGAGGGGCAGTGACCATGCAAGAGTATGTACGTCGTTGGATGAGACGACAAGCCGCCGACGCGAGAGAGTTCTTGGGTCCAGAACTCAATGGAGGGGCACAGTCGGATAAGTATGTCTCAACCGCGCAGGAGAAGGAGTTGCGGTAGGTTGGTTTGGGCGAGTTGCAGATGACAAGTGCAGTTCAACTGAGAGGAAATGGCGGTGATATATCGGGGTGACGGCGCCGTGAATGGAAGAGCCAAGACCAAGTTCGAGTTCGACTCTGCCACCGGACCAAGCCCGATCAAAGTTCAGACGCCAGAGCGAACGACAGGAAGTAGACAAGCGGCGCCCTCGAACGGAGGGGAAGCCTGCAAGGCACTGACTTGAACTTGATCGCTTGACGGGCCAAGAACACCAAAGGCAAAAAAAGGGCCTTTCGTGTCGCAGAGTTTCGAAAGTTGGGACGATGATGGGCAATCGTCGTGTTGCTACACGCTAACGGCCCAGAGCTTCCACCAAGACGCCTGTTCGGAGCTCGTAGTCCACAGCCGTGGCGGTTGAAATGGAGTCTAGACCGCGTGGTTGTGTCGCTGTTTGATGCGCCGTGGTGGAGAGACTGAGAAACACAAGAGACACACCACAGCACGACGGAGGGGCTGATGTCCACTCAGAATGCAAACGTTTTGGGGGCCTTTTCCCTCCCCTTGTTGTTGTTCGCCGCTGTTGGCGAGAGGCGCTTAGGATTCGTTCGACCGGTTCCTCTTGTCGTCTCAAGTTGCGTTGCGAAGCTGCAATGCGGCCCTTTCATGCAGCTACAGCTAGACTGAGGGCAGTCTGGTTCCGTGGTGGTGTTACAGTACGTACTCGGGCTATATCCGTGCTAGCTACAAGGTTGGCTTATGCGAGTTATATGCACGCTGTGTGTGTTTATTGCGTGTGTGTATCCGTAAGGTCGAGGTGAGTGAGCACGTAGTAGTGTGCATGCGAGGCGGTGGATCACTTGGTGTGAGTCCTGTGCCTGGAGCCCTCTCTCGACCGGATGGATGCTTGATGAATTGCGTCAGTTGCCGTTATTCGGTTGTTGCGAGATAGGCTCGACAGCCGAAATTGTTGGGCCTGGTCCAAGGGGGAACGACCTTGGGGACTTGGAAAGTTGGAGGAGCGGTGACGCCGAATGAGGGAATTGGCGAGATGGGCAGAGTTGGAGATTACGAAAGATTTGATGAGGGGAAAAGCGAGAGTGAGTGATGAATGAGACGAGATGAGATGAATTCTGTGTGAGTGAAAGTGAAATGGCGAGGCGGAAAAAAGCTTAGAGACGAGGATGGCCTGGCGTGCCGATGATATCTCCACCTTTTGATGCGCTGTTCGATGCTTTTCGTGGACTTGGATGAGAGCTAAGTCGTCACTATTGGGGGCGACTCGTCTCGAAATCAGCGGTAATTGCTTGAATGACTCTAGCTGTGGCGGGAAACGGGATGGCGCCTGGGATATATTCGCAACGTCGTTATTGTCTCGGTCGGCGTGAACTCGGCTTGTCTCTTGTTAAAGCAGAAGCTGTGACTCGAGAAACGCTTGAATCTAACTGCTGCCAGTGTTGTTTCTTGTTGTTTTGTTTATGTGTACCCTCTGTCTCGGGCTTCGTTTCCTCGTCGTCGTTTCGTCCCACCGGCCTTGTCTCAATCTTCAGCTTTCTTAGGGAGTAACTTTTCGAAGCGACTGCTCGAATGTTACTTTGAGTGCTGCTTGCTCAACTGAGGATCCGCGTCTCGTCTCGTGTGGATGGATGGCATCAAAAAGCCAAGAAGAGCATCGCAGAAAGTCAAGGCGAGACGCGCTTCAGGCCCTCCCCTGCAAGTGTCCGGCGGCCCCTCACTGAGCTTTCCCGCGCAACCGCCGATGTCGCTAGAGAATTTGGAGAGGACGACAGGATGATGTGCGGTGGTGGTGGTGGTGGTGTGTGTGACTCGAGTCAATCATCGGGCTTCTCCTCTGTGGATGTCCCTGCACAGCATCTGTCTGGGCGGGTAAACGTCGACGAGAAAAGGCCTTGATTTGTTGCTGTGGGATTCAAGGAATTCGATATGGCGCGAGAGCGAGAAAAGCAGCGAGTGTGTAAATCGTTGTGAGTTGGCTGTTGATCCCCCTCTGCCGGTTGGGTAATAATAAACCGCGTGTTATTATGCGACCCTCCACAAACGGCAACGTGAGAGCAGCAGGTCTGCAGCCTTAAGGCTTCAAGTCACGATGCGGTAGCATTGCGAAAAAGTCAGGTATCACAAGCCAAATGCGATCCTCCAACTCTGCTGAACAATAACAAACACCGAGCTGGTGCAGGCACAGGCATAGGCAACGGCAACTGGACGTGTTCCTCGTAGTCATCTGAGAAGCCGCAGCGCAGGCAGCGGCACAAGTGTCTTGTCTTGAGAGGCGTTTGTCAAAGGTCTTGACGGCCGAACGGGACCTGATGGACGGTTAGACGGGCACCACGTCAAGTCACTCAAGAAGCCATGCCGCTTGATTGGATGCTGGTGACGGTCGTGACACTCGTGCTATTTCCGTTGCAGGATTCACAAGACGCTTCTCATTCGCCTCTCACAGTCATACATCACTCACTCACTCACTCACTCTCCTTTTCACATGTCAACAAGCAACTCAAGCCTTCCGTCACACACAGCTTCATTAGCTCCCACCACCACGACCTCCACGTTTCCCACATGCAGAGTCAATTGATCATCCATTGGTCTCGTCCCTGATTCACACTCTCCCACCAGCCCAATCATCGCCTACCGCGTCAACTCAACTGCGAGACCCGGCTTTGGGCTGGGGGGTCATCGTACATATCCGCTCTGCGATGGACACCCGCGCCCGATGAATCTTTGACATATGATGGACGACACGGGGTGTATGTCCGATGTCTTTCGGGGAAGCGAGGCGCCAATCACCGGGGGTCGGCTGCGGCAGCTCTTCATCGTCTGAAGGTATTCAGGCCCAACACGCCTCGCTCACATCAGTGACTGATGATTTGAAAGCTTTGGTCAACTGAACGCTTTCGCGCGACGTGTGTCGCAACGGGCCCAGGCACAACTCAGCGCATTGCCACCAAATGACGAGGCCTTGTCCATGACACCAACCTTAGCATCTTCCTTTTCAGTCTCATAAGCCTCTTTTCCGTAGTCTAATTCGAGGCTGTAATCGAACCCGTCAGCGCCATTACACTTCTTCCCTCATGCCAAACTTAGCAGCAGCTGGAGAAGCTAAGCATCGCCCTCGTCCGACCCTCCATCTCATGAACTCCGCGAACGCAGGACAACCCTCACGATGCTCAGCCACCTACGAACCTTCCACACCACACCCTCCCCTCAGAGTCCTTCGAGCGGTGCAGGCTCCCCTCAAATCGGCAGTGATCCTCGAGCCCACGAGGTCACGCTGACTGGTGTCTGGTAACTGGTGGCCCGTTGACTAATAGCTCCAGCCGCCTGGCCCTGCCGTCTTGAGACACAACGGCTATGATGTAGCAGTAGCTGCCAAGGCTGCGTAGGGACATTTCCTCCTTTCATTCACAAGCTCCAATCAGCGGCATCTTGCGACTCGTCTTTGCTTTTTCTACATTCCTCAAGCAAGGCAGCTGACTGTCACGACCTCGAGTCCAGAACTCTGGCTTCCGGCCCCCGCCGAGCATTGAGATCTTCCTTTCCCACGCACCGGACGAGTCTCTCCCGGTCCGCATGCCTCTTTCGGCGTGCCGCACACCTCTCCCGGGATGATCGCTGTCAGAACCCTATCCTCCCCGATGCGGAGTAGCACCCGCAGAGGACCCGTGGGATTGTTGGTGTGGGCGAGAGACAAGGGAGAAGCAAAGGCACCACCAGCGCACAGGCAGGCGGCCGGCCGGCCGGGGGCGGGAAGCAAATCGCAAATCGTGGGATCGTGAATTGAATTCTTTCTTTAGGGCTACTGCCGAGATCGCCCTCCCTCCCGGAACTTCTTTTGCTGACCACCAGCCGGCCGTTACGCCGCATCATCAAACCACGAGACATCTTGGGCGAGAGACGTAGTGTCGCATCCCGAGGTTCTGGACCTTGCATTCGGCTTTTCGTCTGCACTTCGGGACTTGAACGTCCTGTGAGAAATGAGAATGGATGTGAAGTCGGGGCTTGTCCCGAGCACGTCTGGGCCTAGCCGTCAGTTCCGTCACACTGCGTAGTGGAAGACATCGCACACAAGAAAGCGACCACCGACCAGAACCTCGGCGAGCGCGGTGTCTCACAGCCCGCTTGTGACTCGTTACCTTTTCACAGCTGCAGAACAATAGAAGTCTTCGTGAAGTCACCCGCCACGGTCGCGTCTCATCAGGCTCCCTCCTATGTTCGGCGCTCGTCCGGCCATTGCCAAAGGTCACCGACGAAGGGAATACGCACTCGAACCACGAGATGGCCTGACTTTCTCAGTCTCATCGTCGTCGCCTTACGTGGACTACATCGTACGCGGCGTCAAGATGCGTAGTAACAGCGGATGTCCCGGCAAAAGAACGTCGAGGACCAAAAGACTTACACCATCAGTTAGTTGTCTGCGTCAGACAAGCACCGATCTTCGCGCCAGACGAAAGACGCGCATGGCATGACAGAGGCATTGGTCGCGTCGTGCGCCGTCATCCGGATGAAGAGTACAGAAAACAACAGATGAAATCTTGATCTTCGCTGCCTACTGAAGCACTTACGCACTTTCATCCTCTTCATTCCCGCTCATCCATTAAAACGCCAAGCTATTATCTCCATGCGAACCGCACAAAGCACAAACCCGCAAACCTTCTCGCCTCATCCGAGCCGCCTCCCGTCCCTTTGGCGCCATGATTTACACTCTGCGCCATTACGTTTTAATGCTGTTGCTCCGCCTTCCACGTTTTTCCAGGGGCCATCCCCAGCCTCGGATTCTTTAGAGTCGTCGGCTCCTGCGATCCTTTGGCCTTGGGAAAAGCCGTGCTATCGAGCCTTTAGTCTGTCAGTCCGACACATCTTAGCTCGTAACGCCAGGCTTCCTCCCTTTGGCCCGAAGGACCGGAAAACCGGGTTTCCATGGTGGCTGGCGTACGCTAGACGTTGTCATTGTCGTAAAGCTTCACATGATTTCCGACGAGTGCCGCCTCGTGAAATGTCGTCAGAACGTCCACGTCCCTCTCTCACACGGCCCGTCGCCCAGGACGGTGTGCTCCGGCGCCGTGTTCCCGGCCCACGGGATCTGTACCAGCACGGTCGGCTCGTCGCCCGGGAATTCGGTGAAGTGGCCCGCGTGCACGCTCGTGTTCTTCATGTCCGCCGCGATCAGCATCGACGAGGACACCGTCCCGGGCTGGATGTATGCCACCGTTGTCTCCGGCGGTTGAGGGCCATCTGACCCCGGTAGAGGCATTGCCTGTGAGTTGTTTTTCGGGGCGGGGGATGTAATGCGAATCATTCCGTTCAGGATGATGCTCAGCCTACCCAGTGTCAGCAAGGTGCTGGGCCGGAAAATTGACCGAGACTTCGACAAGAATGACGAAGATCACAATGAGGCGATGCGAGTTATTCACGTCAAGCCTGACGTCAACGGACGAAAGCTTGGGGCAAGGGGGGCCACCAGGGAATCCCCTCGACGACGCATGAAGAACGTTCAACTCACTGCACTGCCGGCGCCCAGGCCTCACCAACCGTTGTCCTGGGTCGGATTATGGACCATTCTGCGCGCGTCATGTCGCCGCCGACTTCGTAATTCAGGGCTGCCCGCGCTTCGACTGGGATGGAGGATAGTTGCCAGCACTCGATGACGGAGTAGCCATCGCGGGTGGTGAGGGCGGTGATGTTGAGGGGTAGAGATGTCAACGCCGCCGCTCCAGAAAGCGCGAAGGAAATTAGGCCAAATGTGAGAAGATGCATGCTTGCAGTCTTTGATACGAAGAGTAAATCGATCAGAGAGGAGATCTCAGGCAGCTAAGTGCACAGAATCTCGATCGTTGGATGCTGGCGGTTCACATAAATGCATTCCAGAATTGAGCCCTAGCCGGACCTCCGGGCGCCTCCTCCGGACATGTAGTCCCCAACCTTCTTGACGTGCATGATGGCACATCTGCAGTAAGAATTCAATCCCTCGTGAATCTAGTTCTCAAGTTGCTTTTCGATGATCTCAAGTGGCTTGATCTGTGAGGGATACGCGTGAATGAGTGAAGCTATTTCGGGCCACATCGTCTTCATGGCCAGTCTTCGCTCAATCACCCCAGCTCTAGCAGGGACAACCTCTCTCGCCTCATCATCATCGTCATCGCAGATATTCACTTGCAATTTCATTTAATTATTCGAAATACTACGTCATCTCTGAGCGAGTGATCTATGTAGGTGAATATGCTGTAAAGGTTGCAACTTCAAATTGTTCATGACCGAGTGATATCCAAGCGTAAACAAAACCAAGGGCAAAAACCCGTAAAGACACGATGCCAAACGCCACTAATGAACCGCACGACCATATTAGGCCTTCATCTACCACTGCGTCTCCATCCACCTCACCATCTTCTCAACAAGCCCGCTTCCAACAATGTCCCAGCCCTCTCCCACCGCCGGGCTCCTCTCTCCCGTCCTCTTCGTCTCGAACACGAGGCCCTCACGGCCGGGGTTGTCGTTGTCGTACTTGCCTTCGAAGAAGCGCAGGAGCTTGTAGGTCGGGTTCTTCTCCGGGTCGGGATCCGATTCCCGAAGGCGACGCACCCACTCGCGCTGCGAGACGATCTGGAACTCCAGGCCGGCGGCGCGGAGGGCGCGGAGGAAGTCGAATGTCCAGTGGAAGAGTTTCGGGTTCTGCACCTGGTAGACGAGGTCCAGGTCGGCGTCGTCTGGGGACGCCGGGGGCGCGCCGCATGATGAGCAACGCGAGCCGGTGAGGTTGGCGAGTTCGAGGACTCCGAGCGCCATCTTGTCGGCGGGCATCCACGAAGGGGTCTGTATCGAGTGTTAGCATACCGTTTATTTGACAAAGTGGATGAGGAAGACACTCACCTCGTCGAGAGCAGGCAGCGCCTTGATAACCTTGGCGCTGCGGATCATCAGAGGAATAGCCTCCGTCTGGTTCCAGACGCCGCCCTCGGAGTCTCCGACAATCTGTCCCAGGCGCAGCACGCGGGCCGTCATACCGGTCTTCGTCGCCGCCGCCTTGACGACGTGCTCCGTGACGACCTTGGAGCGGGCGTATCCCATGTTCTGCGCGTGGTTGAGGTTCTCGACGTACGTCTCCTTGATGCTGGCGGGGATCGGGGTGCCGGCGGCGGCGGAGATGGACGAGCAGAAGTAGAACCGCGCGGGGTTGACCGTCTCGGTGCCGAGGCAGAAGTTGAGCAGGTTGTGCACGCCGCGGATGTGTTGCGCCTCGAAGCTGGCGACGCCGAGGTTGAAGTTGACGGCCCAGGCGGAGTGGATGACTGTCGTCAGGGACTTTCGGAGCTCTGCGGCGGCGTCCTCGCTGAGACCGAGGTCCGCTTGGCCCAGGTTGGTGGGGAAGTACTTGACCTTGGCTTTCTCGCTGTCGGTGAGGACGAGGCCCTTGGGGGACAGAGAGGCGAGGACGCGGGACTCGGCTTCCTCTGGTGATGAGGCGCGGGCAAGGCAGTAGACGGTCTTGACGTAGGGTTGACGGACGACTTGAGCCAGGAGATGGGCGCCGAGGGATCCCGTCGCGCCAGTCAAGACGACGGTCTCGCCGTCGGGGGTGATGGTACCGGGTTGCCTCTCATTGAAGTCGGAGTACTTGGCAATCAGCTTCTTCATGACCTCGATCTCGTCTTCGGCCTCGGCTGTCTCGCCGGTGCGCAGTGAGTATACGTGCTTGGCGAGGGAGATGACGTTAGGAAACTCGAAGACGACGTTCTGTCCGAGAGTCTTGCCGCCCAGGTTTACACCGCGCTGGATGTGACCACGCGCGGTGCTGGCTTGCAAACTGTCAACGCCGGCCTCGAAGAAGTCGGTCTCCTTCTGAAGAGACTCGAAGCCGAGCTTGGTGCGGAAGAGGTCGAGAAGGTGGTCTTCCAGCTGGGGCAGGTCCAGAGTCACCAGCTCGCCGCCGGCGACGTCGTCCTTGGGTGCCTCGAAGCGGCGGTAGATATCTTCGATGAGGTCGGCGAACTGCTTGTAGAAAGCCGCGCGGATGACGGTGCCCTTGTCGGTGCGAGGATACTCGGTGCCGACGTCGACGACCTCGATCATCTCGGGCGAGATGCGACCGAAAGCCTCAGCTCGCGCGTTGGCCTGGTCGATGACGAGAGTGAGCGTCTTCAGAATCTCCTCCTTGGAGAGATCCTTGGCGTTCTCGCTGGGGATGATGATCAGACCTGGAATGGACTTGCCGACGCCGAAGACGACGACTTCTTGCACGAGTTCATGCTCGCGAATGTGGTTCTCGTAAGGGATGGGAAGCACCTTCTCGCCGTTGACCAGGGTAACACGGTCATCGAGTCGGCCCAGGTAGCGCCAGGCATCGGGAATGGTGGGATGAGGGACGAACGTGTCGCGGGTGCGGTAGGAGTTCGGTGCCGGGTCGTCCGAGTTGGACATGACCTTTGATGGAAGCCCGTCGAGAACAACGCACTCGTAGACGTCGCCTGCGATCGGAATCATGCGCAACCAGGGCTTGGCCGAGGCGAGAGGGCGCATGTAGTTCCAGTACTTGTCGCCGGGCTCACGGAATGAAGTCATGAGCTGGCCCATCTCTGTCGCTCCGTAGTGGCCGACGAGGTAAACGCCCTCCTCGACGAGACGATCACCCAAGTCGTCGGGGCAACTGCTGCCTCCGTACAGCACAAGCTCGAGTCGCTTCAGAGCTTCTATACCGCCCTCGGTTTCCGCGAGCAGCTTGAGCGCGTAAGGGACGCAGTGCAAGCTGCCCGGCTCAGTCGCGGCCATGGCCTTGACCAGCGTCGTTCCGGATAGGGGCAGGTTTGCGTTGTAGATGGCGATCCGGTGGCCCGCGATAATGGCGCGGAAGAGAGTCGAGATGCCGTGGTTATGGAACAGCGGCAGCGTCAAGAACGCGCGGTAAGGGATACCGCTTGAGTAGTTGGACACACATGCTGCGTGAGTTTGGAAGATTGGCTTCGGTAGCCCAGTTGAGCCAGACGAGTGCACGATAAATGAGATGCGTGATGAAGCGTCGGGGTGTGAGAAGATGGGGAAGCGGTCACCCGACGGCGTGGGCAAGTCGTAGTCGACCTTGTCGAGGATGTTGAATGTGGAGATGGGGGACAGCTCGTTGATCTCGGATGCCATGCTGCTGTAGCGATCGGAGATGACGATGCGGTTGCAGCCTGTCTTCTTGAGGAGATTGACGTAAGCCTCCGGGGAGAGGCGGGTCGAGAGATAGAGCACAGCGAAGCCCATCCTCGACAATGCGAACATGGCGACGACATAGTTGATGTCGGAGTTCGCCAGAAGCGCAACTACTTCCGCTTGACTCGAGCCGGGGTTCTGTTTGTTGTGAGCGAGTGTCTTGAGATTATGGAGTCTCATGCAGTGGACGAGTGAGTGAATCAATGAGTGAGAACATACCTGTGGGAGGAGTCCGGCCTGCGCGTACTTGCGTGCCGCTTCATCAGCGAAGCGGTCAAGGTCCTTTGCTGTGTAGTTGACATAGTCGTCTCTGCCGCGCGCGGTTGCTGGGTATGCGATGACATCGACATCCGGTGCCTCCTCCACCCGTCTCAAGAGGAGGTCTGTTACGGTCTTTGGCTCAATGGGCTTGACGGTCTCGACGATCTCGACGGTCGGCTTCTCAGAGGTGAGTAGCGACCTCGGCGCCAGACCCTCCGTGTGGATAGCCATGTTTGCGACGGCGTGAAGAAGAAGTTAACGCCGAGAAAATGGATGTAAATTCAATGAGGCCGAGTTGATAGCAGAACCGAAGAGAGAATTGCCAAGTCTAAGGTCTTTAACGTCCGGCTGTCTAAGTACTCGACCGACTCATCCACAACTTGCAGTGACTTGAAGATAATCTGGAGAATTCGAAAGCCTAATATCCTTAATCATCTCCAATCCAGCCACCCCCCATGTCCATGTTCGTCTGGTTCTCCAACACTCTTCCGTCCCTCCTGTTCGCCATGCTTTGCAGCCGTACAGCAAGCACCAAACAGCCAACCCCTCCCCTTGGTGGCAATGTCAAGACCGCTTTGTCCGTTCCCAAGGTCACGGGTCTGTGCCGAGACAACCGACGGAAAAGCACACCGGGCCCAGCTACACGGAAAAGCACCACCGCCTCCTCGGTCGGCCGAAATGCACGGACCAGCTCCGGTGAGACCTTGTCCGTCCCGGCGGGATGAAGGCCACCTCCGAATCGATCGGGGGCCAGGAGAAGTACCCGTACCTATCCGTACAGATTTCTATTCTTACTGAAGACTGTGGACCGTGGGGGATTCTGAGGATTGGTGGGGGTCAGAACACGCGGGGACGAGCGGGGAGTGAGACGATGGTGTGTGATGGAGGGGAATGTTGCGGGGTTGTTATTGAGGGGGTGATTTCTTATTATGAGTGAGCTCCAGGCCACTCGCGCGCGTGAATAACACACAATCGCATTGTTCTGAATATTCTTACTCTGTTACTTTGGAATTTGAGCAGAAGTCTACGGTTGAAATCATGTCGCAGCACTTTTACGACGAAGCCGAGAACCTCGTTCTCGATGCCCTTGAGAGCTTGGCTCTTACACACTCGGGCCTGTCGTTCGACAAGTCTAAGAAAGGTGAGTGATTCATCTTACGATATCCAAGACTACAAACTGACCACCCTGTAAAACAGTAATCTGGCTCACAAACAACGACTCCAAGAAGGTCTCCATCCTCTCAGGAGGCGGTGCCGGCCATGAACCCGCGCACGCCGGCTTCGTCGGCGACAGTATGCTCACAGCCGCCGTCTCGGGCTCCATCTTCGCTTCCCCGAGCGTCGCACAGATCGTCTCCGGAATCAGCCGCGTGGCATCCCCCGCGGGCGTCCTGCTCGTGGTGAAGAACTACACCGGCGACGTCTTCCACTTCCACCTGGCCGCCGAGAAGGCCAAGGCCAGCCTGGGCATCCCCGTCGAGGTCATCGTCGTCGGCGACGACGTCTCCGTGGGCCGCAAGAAGAGCGGCAAGGTCGGCCGCCGCGGCCTGGCCGGTACCGTCCTCGTCCACAAGATTCTCGGCGCGTACAAGGAGACGGGCGCGTCGCTGGCGGATGTGCTGAAGCTGGGCAAGACGGTCGGCGACAACCTCGTTACGGTGGGTGCGTCGCTGGAGCATGTCCACATTCCCGGTCGTGAGGCCGCTGCGCCATCGGCCGGGGACCAGGTTGAGCTGGGCATGGGTATTCACAACGAGCCCGGATGCCAAGTTCTCAAGCCCCGCCCGGAGCTGCCGAAGCTCATCGAGCAGATGTTGACGCAGCTTTTGGATACTAAGGACGCTGACAGAGCGTATGTCGACTTCTCTGATGCGAAGGACGTTGTTTTGTTGGTGAACAACTTGGGCGGTGTCTCGCCTTTGGAGTTCAGCGGTATTACGGCCAAGGTCGTCAATGCTCTGGGTAAGTAACTCAAGGCCACCCCAAAGGTTGCAGAAACTGACTATGTACAGGCGGACGTGGACTCAAGTTGGCTCGTGTCATCTCGGGAACATACATGACGAGTTTGAACGGACCAGGTTTCAGCATCACCCTGCTGAAGGCCACTCCCGAGATCTTGAAGTACGTTGACGCGAGCACCGATGCCCTTGGCTGGGCCTACACGCCGCGCAACGAGACCGGTAGCGACGCGAAGCAGCGCATCGTCGAGAGCGGGGAGACTAGCCATGGCTCCGACGGCTCGAAGAGCGGCGTTCAACGTGAGTAAACAACGGACACATGCACAGTCCATTCATTGACAACATCATGTAGTCAACGTAGAAACCTTCAAGAAGGTCGTCGCCGAGGCGCACAAGAGAATCGCAGACGCAGAACCCCAAATCACCGACCACGACACCAAGGTCGGCGACGGAGACTGCGGCGTCACGCTGCTGAGAGGAGCCAAGGCCGTCTCAAAGTACGCCGAGTCCTCCTCCGTCAGCGACGACGCCGTCCGCACCGCCATCGACCTCACCAACGTCATCGAGGATAACATGGACGGCACCTCGGGTGCCATCTACAGCATCTTCTTTGCCGCGTTGTCGTCCGAGCTGCGCAAGGCCAGCGCCGGCGTTCTTGATCTGAAGGCGTGGACCAAGGTGGCCGTGGGAGCCCTGGAGAAGCTTCAGCAGGCGACCCCGGCCAGACAGGGAGACAGGACGCTGTTGGATGCTCTGGAGCCGTTTGTCAAGACGCTTGAGAAGACTGGCAGCGTCAAGGATGCCGTTGCGGAGGCTAGGAAGGGCGTCGAGGCGACCAAGGGAATGGCGGCGTCTCTCGGCAGAGCCGTCTACGTGGAGGAGTCGGCGTGGGGCAAGGTGCCGGATCCCGGTGCTGAGGGCGTGCTGGCTATTCTTGAGGGTCTCGAGGCGGCCACGTCTTGATCAGATCAAAGAGTATATGTCTGAAAATAGGGTTTCTGGGTATTTGAGACAGAAAATAATGCACATGATGACTGTAACATGTTGTGACTGACGACTTTTGAGCTAGCAGAGCCGGCCAAAGTGAAGTTCTCTGATGTATAAATTGACGGGTGCCCTTGCGCCTTGATGTGTCCTCCTCTCAACTGAGAGCAAGATGTCAACCTCGCCAATGATGCCTTAAATGTAACCACCGATCTCAATATCCACAAAGAATCTTCATCAAAATCGTAAAGAGTCGTCATTGAGTAAAGCTTCCAATCCACCAAAGCCGGAGGTGACCTATGAAGGAAATGTCAGTGGATGGTCTCATCAGCAGGTAATCTGAACTTACCATGGAATCAAATTGACCCCAGCTCGTCATGTCTGCCAGAGAACTGCTCGGACTCGCATCCATGTCGAAGCCGACGAAGTCGTCCGCGTGGGTGACGTCTGGGAAGTTGAGCCCAGCCAGAGGGTGTTGCTCATGCTGATTCTGTACCTCCTCAGTCACAGTCGCGCGAGCGATAGAGCCGCCATTCTGATTCAAGATGGGAGGGCTTTGAAGCCGTTCCGTCTGTCTCAAGGCCTCGATTCGAAGCTCTTCCAATACGAGACAGTACCGCGCAGCTAACTGTGACTCGTTATCTGCCAGAGTGGCGAGCTGCTTCTGGCAACGGAATGCGGCGTTGAAGTAAGACTGCCATGTTTCTGCTGGTGCCGTTCTTTGTTGAATAGTGTACACATATAATACCACGACGGCGGAGAAGGCGAAATATGAAGTGAACTAAGTTTTACCGTCAGTTAATGTAGATTGTGGTCGTGTGTTGTTGAGATATTACCCAAAATGCGCGGAACAGCTGGCCGGCCTGGATAAGGTCGTTGACAGTATCAACCACATGCATGGCAGCATCCAGACAGGCTTTCACACTGTCATCGGCTTGGTCCTTGTGATTCGAAGTATGGCGGCGGCTCTTCCCATTCCGCTGCAGTCTTGCAAAGTTGCTAAGCAGGAAGGGACGATGTGTTAATATCATAGCATGCCAGTACGCCAAGTTCAAGACATTTCGTTGGCGTTGGAATATCGGGATGAGGAGGGCCATGTTGATGCCATCGTCTAGGAATTGTGAGAGCTCGGCCCTCCAATGCTTCAGGTTTTGCGAGTACTTGGCAGCTAGCGCACAGCGATTTGAAAATGATGAGGGACGTATTGAGTAGAGATCTCGTAAGATCATGCTCACTATCCGTGAGAGTCTTACACACAAGTTAGTATCCGACGCGATACCGGTGAGATGAGATCCACTTACTTCACATGGGCCACGGGCGCCAGCATGAGTGACTGACCGCGACCCATGCGGGGTGTGATATGATCCGCATGCAAGTCGCCGTCCTCTGAGCAAGACGGAAGCTCCTGGTCGATGTCTTCATCATGGAACGTCCGAGGCCGACCCAGTGCCGCGCTGAGATAATTATCTAGACTGTACGCACACCAGAAGGTACGCCGCCGACACTCAAGCTCAATGTAATTGGTATAACCCCCTGCCGGGTCTGCATGCCGATTTCGGTTCAGGCCGATGGCGAGGGCGAGGTGCCCTGCCGTGCCAAATAGACTCCAGCAGTGATTGATGCGAGACTGTGATAGCAGCCAGAAGCACTGGCATAAGCGAGCCTGTACGCTGGTCAGGCGTACGGCGCCTCTCTCTTTGGAGAGCTGGTGATCTGCAGCCAAGAAGTATCGTGCGCTGGATTGCGTGTAAGTCGACGAGTGCGATGAGACGTTGCGGATATTCTCCGGGGACAGGGGGGTGGTCGAGCAAAGTAGACATGAACTTACCTGACTTCGGCGTTTTCACGCGAGTGAGTGGTGACCATGTACTCCTGGGCCTGAGCAAACACCATAAATAGGAGTGCTCTGCGCGCCGGTGCGTCTTCCTGGTTCTTCATCGCACCGTTGGTGGCATAGAAGTCTTCGAGCCAACCTTCGACGGTGGGCCGATGTAAGAAGCGGTGGGTTGGCACGGCAAAGTCAAAGTATCTCTTGAGAAGCGTCGTGGCCTCATCCTTGGATAAGAGGACGCAGAACGCGCCGCTAGGGTCAAAGTCCGGAAGGGGTGCATCGCCAAAAGTGAATATCGAAGACGCTTGTGAGAAGGATACGGCCTGGTGCAGCCTCTTCTGAACTCTCAGCAAGAACGAAACACCGGACGATGGACCAACGTAGTGGCCCTGGAGGTCAGTTTGCGTAGGCTCAGGAGATGCCCGGGAGGGAGGCTCGGCGGTGCCCGGGCCGACGCTGCCAATGACCAGGTTCGAACCGTTCATGATGCTTTCATGTTCCTCTTGGTGATGGTCAGGATCGATACCGGGCTCCGAGACGTCGACGACGATGGAAGCCATCAGGGCGTCTTCGCCAGCCGCAGCAGACGAGGCAGAGACGGCAACGCCAGCGCCAGTGCCAGCGGAATGGGCAGAGTTTCCGGCCGGCACAGACACGGAGACGTCGAGGCCGTCGAGGTCCATTCGGGCGACATCCTCCCGAGTGGCCACGGGCGGCTGGCGACCGCGTGCATAAGACGCGTTGTAGGTGCAGTGGGACTCGGTGCGGATGCACAACTCGCACGGCTGGATTCCCGTGCAGCGGATCTTGCGCTTCTTGCACCTGTCGCAGGCTCGGGTGACGCGGACGCGTTCCTTGTCGCGGTGGCGCCGACGCCTGCCGCCGCTCTCGGTGCCAGACGGATGGGTCAGCGGCGGAGAAGCCAGTTGCTGGTTGCCGTTGTTGATGTTCTGCTTGGTCGAGTTGCCGTTGACGGCTGTTGTCCCGTTGCCGGTGATGTTTCCATTGCCGCTGATGATAGAGCTAGTGCTGTTGTGTCTCTGGTTGTGGCCATGGTTATCCAGGCCATGTTGATGGTGTGAGTGGGAATGGCGGCGGTTCCCGTCATGAGCCGCCCCATTGGCGTTGGCATTGCCGTTGTTGGTGCCGTTGGGCCCGATGCCGATGCCGACACCGGAATCGAGTCCTCCTTCGTCAGAGTCTAGGTCCATTACCGGTTCTCCGTCAGTCATCAGAGACTGGAGGCGGAAGCGGCGGCGGCGGAGGCGGTAGTGCAGAGCCGGTCCCCAGCACAACAGCGAGCAATTTGGCGCGGCAGACTCCCCTGATCCTGCTGCTGGAGCTGGACACACGGAAACATGGCCTCGAGTGAGGAGTGGGAAAAGGGTGGAAGTGGAAGAGAGGGACCCAGGGCGGACGGTGGAGGACGGAAATGTCACCTTATTCTTAATCCTTTTGGGAATGGGGAGACAATGCGGGGTACCTGGTTGCCCCCATCTCCTAGTCTCCCCGGTCTTGGGCGGTCATCCTTGTGGACATGGTCCTGCGGGGAGATGCCCCGGGTGCCCGAGTCGAATGATCTAGACTTGCTCATGTCTTGCTGTGAAGAATGTTGTATTGTTGATGGAGAAGGCTGGACAGCTTGAAGCCAAGGGTTGAGGTCCGGGGGTTTGGAGTGATGTGAAGAGAACACGAGATTACGGAGATGAGCTTCTTATTCTCAGTTAGTCCGGATGCGATGATACCGCAAGGTATGAAGATGACCTTGAATCTTGTCCACTTTTAGCCTCAGAAACACGGAAGCAAAGGATGAAGATTGTTTAGCTTATGGCAACGAGTAAGTCCAACGGCAACAGGCCACCTTAATTTCAAATCGTCAAGGATCTGCAACCGCACGAACCAACAACAGTCCGGGGAAGAGAGACGGGGTTATGTATTCCCTCACACCTCGGTGAGCTTGGTCAGGGCACGCTGGGGATATCTTGCCCTCGTAGCATATCTTCGAGGCAAGTCTTCAACATTGGGATAGATAATTTGCAGTATTGGAACGAGATATTGGATAATGCTATGGGAAACATGGTGCTATTAAAAGATCGCGACTGCATTTGGAGGGCTGGCGACGCCTCCTGGCACCTGAATCTGAATGTCAGCAACAGATAATCTTCTTTAATCCTTGCAACAAGGGTATCAACTCACCTTGAGCGGGACACTGCTCACGAAGAACGTCCATCTCTTCAGTTCCTCACACTTGGCACTCAAGGCTTCAAGGTCAAACATCTCACCGATGGGCAGTCCCCAACCGCCCAGAAGCCACTGATGCAGGAGTCCTCCCGACTGCATCTCCTCCTCCCACGCCTCGCCTTTCCAGACGCCGCCGACGGCAGTATGAGGACCCGCGATGGGTGCTCTCTCGAAGCTCGGCGCATCGCCTGCCACCGCGGCGAAACCGGTCTCCCAGATCCACTGCAACACCTCTTTGGTGGGCTCGACGCCGAGGAAATCCGGGCTGGGTCGCGCGGCGACGGCTTTCTGGGCCGCGTCGTCTTTGGCGTTGTAGCCTGCCGTGAAGCCGGAGCGGATGAGGAGGATGTCGCCGGGCTGGAAGGCGATGTTCTGCTCCGATGCGATCTGTTTCAGGTGCGCCAGGGATATGTCGCTGCTCGTGAAAGCGTCCAGAGGTAACGAGTGTCGGGCGCAGAAGCTGGCGTAGTCCAGAAGAACGCCGCGGCCAACGATGCCGCCTTTCTCAACCCAGGCTGCGATGCGATACGGTTACATGGTCAGGTACTCGAGCTCAGATGCGAACAGGCCAGCTTACCGTCAATGCCTATGCTCTCGGGGTTTTCTAAATCTTCTTGAGTCGTGTTGTTGTAGTATCTCTTGGCTTTTTGGTACCCTTCACATTTCGTGTCATTCGTTTAGTCCGTCGCTGATACCGACATATGAGATCCCTTACCGTAGTGTCTGAATCCGTCCCATTGACTACTGCACTGCGTATTGAAGTGCAGGATATCATCGTTCACGGTCCTCTTCTCACCATTCGGATGCGCACGATTGACGAGCTTTGATTCAAACGGCGCCCGATCGAAACTGGGCTGTGAAGGGTTCGTGAGTGACCAGTCCAGTGAGACCCGGTCGCCGGTCCGGATCTCTGATGCTGCGGCGGCGGCGACGACGGCGGGGGTGAGGAGGTTCAGCGCCCCCAACCGGTCGTCTTTGCCGTAGAGACCCCAAGCATTTCCGGGAGGCCCGTTGGGATCCAGAGGCAGAGATGAGAAGGGAGGACGAGGGGGGATGCTAGATAAAGACATGGCTCAGAAGTGATGAGTTTGACTGAGGAAAGATGAAGACAATGATGAGTTTATGCTGCTCCAAATATGAGGCGCAAAATAGTTGAATGATTGCGAGGGGGCGCTGAAAACCGCTATCGGGGAGACATGCACCGGCTTCGCAGCAGCTGGTATGCCCGATTTAAATCCGTGTTGGTTAGATTTCGTTGTAGGTGACGGATACCTGAGCAGAAGCTCAGTTGGCTTCAGAATTGCGCAACAGAGCTGACGAGGTGATTTGACTGAATTTCTGTCTGATAATGATTACCTGGACATAATAGGAAGTTCATTTTGTTTTCGTGGAATCTTCCTTACTCATTATTCTCTCTCATATGAGTTTGAAGTCCACATGTAAGTCCGCAAAAGCTATGGCGTCCAGATTAATCTGACGGACCCCGCCTTGTGTCATGTCTCGCCTGCTACACTTCCAATTCAACCTGAAAAGAAGCCAGCTGCCATGAAAACCCAACTTTTCAATGAGAGTTGGGTGTATTGTCCGGTTCGTAGGCGTAGAGCTCGGAAGTTTTAGCAATATAGTAGATCGAAAAGACCCAATGCTGTCAGCAGAGATGACAATTTCCTTCGTGAAAAGATAATGTTGGCAGTAAGAGTAACACTGAGGTGAGTTAGTAAACACTATGACCCCCTGAACAATACGATGAATTCGCACGTCCTTTCTTACAGCACTGATGTTGATCGGACAAGCGAGCAGACACCATCGCCACGTCACGTCGCATTTCTATCAATCAAAATACGGGTAATCATGTATTCATAAGCAACGCGTCATCTAGCTAGCTTTTTGTTTGCAACTACAGCGACTTCTCAATCTTGTCAATATCAGACAACAGAAGCGCGTCGAGGGACTTCCACGTCGCCTCGGGAAGACGGCCCTTAAGCGGCAGACGGCCTCCCTCGAGAGCGCCAAAGCCGGCCTTCTGGATAATACCCTCGCGAATACCAATAATACCAGTCTTGCCGATGAAGTCCTCGGCGCGGGAAACGGCGTATTGCAGGCGCTGGACCTCGTCGAGGGTGCCCTGCTCGACGGGGCGCTTCTCGGAGAGCGCGAAGAGGCTTGATACCGTCTTGGGGTAGAAGGCGGCGAGACCGTCGATGACGCCCGCGGCGCCGAAGAGGACGATGGGAGCGAGCTGTTGACCGAAGCCGCTGTAGACGCGGAACTTGGAGTGGTCGATGCGCGGGTCGGAGGATACTTGGAGGTGGAGGGAGACGTTGCCGTGGGACCTGTTTTGATTAGTCTGCGAATCACTCAATCGCGCCTCTCGGGACTTACATCTTGCAACCAACAATCTTGGGGTGCTGGGCGAGGTCCTTGTATGTATCGGGCTCGACGAGGACGTTGTTTGTTACGCCGGGGTAGTTGTAACTAGAACTCGTCAGCCTTTCTCATCTCCACACTCTCATTTCAACTTCGGCGCACTCACACGAGGATGGGCAGAGGGCTCTTGTCGGCGATCAGAGTGTACCACTCCTTGATGTTCTCCTGGTTCGCCGCCGTGCCGAAGTAACCCGGCACCAGAACCAGACCCCACTGAGCGCCGGCCTTGGCGTAGTCCTCGAGCCACTCGAGCGTCTCGTCGATGCCGTTCGTGAGGACACCGGCCATGATGGGGTAATCGGGGAAGCCGGCCTCCTCGAGACCCTTCTTGACGCCGGCGACGAGCTCGATGCGCTCGGCCTTGTTCAGGTGGATGGCCTCACCGGTTGAGCCGAGGAGGACGAGGCCGCGAATGCCATTCTTCGCGAGGTAGACGCTGTGCTTGACCTGCGTCTCGACGTCGACCTTGGGCTGGAGGGAACCGGCGGAGGCAGATGCGGGGTGGAAGAAGGTCGGGACAGGGACGAACACGCCCGTGGGGGGTACTCTGACGTCGGCCATTGTGAAGTTGTGTATGAATTAGCTGGAAAAGCAACAAGAAGAGCTCGTTCCGTCACAATCGCAACAGAAAAGGGTATCACGAGTTGCTGCAAACAGTTTCAGTATCTCTCAACCGAAAGTGATGGAAATTGTCGACAACACCCCTCAATTTTACATGAGCCGCGAGAAACGTGTCAGCGTCCCCCGGTCTCGGTGGTCTCGGCAATTCCGCGAAGGCCACTTGCGCTCCGGTCCACCAGGATGGCGTTTCTCGGGGTGTGATGACGCGGGGGTGGGGGGTTGGTGGTGAAAAAGGGGGCACTCGCGCGGGGAACAGTCCGATGCCACCGGCATTCGGACATCGTCGGCTACATGCGCGGCAGCCCCTTTGCCTCTGCAGCGGCCGGAAAAGAAGGTTACCTAATGCCTTCTCCGTACACGGATCGCTGTTCGTCCCGTTGATGCGGAAACATTGCAGGAGATGGGCGAGTGACGACAGCCTCAAGTCGGGGATATAAGACGCCCGTGAAAATAGTGTTCATGATTTTCTGAGTGTGACATATGACACATTGATCGCGGATAACCGACATTTTCAACAACAATCACTGCAAGAACACACATCCGTAGACGAAACTGTTGAGATACCCTCGATTGAATCAGCGAAAATGGGTCTGCCCACGTCTTTCAAGCTCCTCTCGGGACATGAGATGCCCGCAGTTGGCCTGGGCACCTGGGTAAGACAGGATCAGTAAATTCTCATTCCGTTCACACCTAACTGTCCCGATGTTTAGCAATCCAAGCCCAATGAGGTCAAGAATGCTGTCGAGCACGCTCTCAAGAACGGCTACCGTCACATCGATGCCGCCGCTGTCTACGACAACGAGAAGGAGGTCGGCGAGGGCCTCAAGGCCTCCGGTGTCCCTAGGAAAGACATCTTCGTGAGTCAACAAAGAGCTTCAACATGCCTTCGATAACTGATCCTTGTCCAGGTCACCAGCAAGCTCTGGAACACCCACCACAAGGCCGAGGACGTCGAGACCGCGCTAGACATCACCCTCGCCGACCTGCAGACCGACTACGTCGACCTGTACCTGGTAAGAAACCCTCGCCGTCCTCCCTCTCAACCCCACACATCTTCTTCAACGGCCCGCCTGACGCAGAAATGTCGTGCATTAGATTCACTGGCCCGTGTCCTTCAGGAAGGAGAACGACACCAACCGCTTCCCCCTGCATCCCGTCACGGAGGCCGTCCACGTCATCGACGTGCCCGTCTCCGAGACGTGGAAGGCCATGGAGGCCCTCGTGAAGAAGGGCAAGATCAGGTCCATCGGCGTCTCCAACTTCACCCGTGAGAAGATCGAGGAGCTGTGGAAGACGGCCGAGATCAAGCCGGCGGTCAACCAGATCGAGGCGCACCCGTACCTGCAGCAGCCCGACCTGCTGGCCTGGTCCAAGGAGAACGTGAGTACTTGTGCCCTCCCCTCCCCTCCCCTCCTCCCTTTCCGATGGAAAAATGTCCGTGGTTGCATCGTGCGGAGTTCGCTAATCTGGGGTAAATGCAGGGTATTGTGGTCACCGCGTACAGCCCCCTCGCCAACAACATCTACAACCTCCCTCGGTGAGTGGCACGGCTTTTGGAGTAATGATTCACGTGCTAACATTCAGCAGCGCCGTCGACGACTCCACCATCATCGAGATTGCAAAGTCTCTGGGCAAGGAGCCCGCTCAGGTCCTCATCAGCTGGGCCGTCCAAAGAGGAACCGTCGTGCTTCCCAAGTCTGTTACTCCCTCAAGAATCGAGAAGAACGCTGAAGGTAAGATTTCACCACACACGGTCTATCTGATCTGATGTGAGTAGTCACTGACTTGCGCAACAGTACTTGAGCTTCCCAAGGAGATCTTCGAGAAGATCAACTCCCTCGACAGGAAACACCGCTACAACTTCCCAGCTCGCCTCGGACAAGACATCTTCGGCGAGTCGGATCCGGAGACGCTGAAGAAGGCGGTGGAGACCTGGGTGGCACAGCAGAAGAAGATCAGAGCCGGCCAAGCATAGACATTCTCAAGAACTAGATACAAACGCGAATAGATGGAAATAGAATGAACCACCAATGAGACCCCCCCAAACTCGGTGAGCCTTTTCCGCACCTCCTTTTCCTCACCGGACGGAAAAGAGCACACCGAGACCTCCGCATGGATCCAGCACCCCCCCTCCATGATTCGGGTGAGGGGATACCGAACCCCGCACTGCCCTGCAAGCGCCTCCACTTGCCGTTGGCGGCCGGGTAAAGCCCGTGGCCATCCGATGGAGATGGCTGCGGAGTCGGACGGGAGTGAGGAGACGGCTCGGTGAGCTTCCGGACTTTGTTCCGATGGTCGCATTCTACTCCGTCGACCTCCGTCAACTCCGTCACAGCTCCGCCTCTTCCTGGTAATTGCAGTTCACGATTGCCTCAAATACTCTGTGAGCTGTCTCTTGTCAACTCATCATCCTTGAGAAGCACTTGTTCCGTATTGTTTTCTCTCCAACGACCTAGCTCGACCCCTCATTTACGTCACATCACCACCCCCACCTAAGCTCACCATGGGTAAAATCGCAAAGATGGAGTACTTCCGGGTGCCGCCTAGGTGGCTATTCGTGAAGATCACGGACGAGGCGGGTAATGTCGGATGGGGTGAGGCGTCGCTGGAAGGCCATACCCAGGCTGTCGAGGGATGTCTCGACGCCTGGTTCGAGAGATACTCCGGCATGGAGGCAGAGTGAGTTACCGTTTCGAGAGAGGCTAAGGCCCCTGATGCTGACGGCGGCTAGTGATATCGAGCACATCTGGCAGATGTCATGGAGGACAACCTTCTACCGCGGTGGTCCTGTGTTTATGAGTGCTTTGGCAGGCATCGATATTGCCTTGTGGGATCTGAAGGGTAAGCACGCGAAGGAAGCACCGACATGTGATTCCTGCCACTGACGATGTTCTAGCAAGGAAGCTCGGCCTGCCCATTTGGCAATTGCTCGGAGGAAAGGTTAGAGACAAGCTCAAGGTGTATGCCTGGATCGGCGGTGACAGGCCCAATGATGTCGGAGCTCAAGCGTCAGCGAGCCCCTTTTCCTTATGATGTCATATCAAAGACTGACACATGATGCAGCCAGGCAAGAAAGGATCAAGGCTTCAAGGCAGTTAAGATGAATGGCACCGAAGACCTCGGCTGGCTCGATTCCCCAGACGCCCTCGACGCTGCCGTCGAGCGCGTCAAGGCCGTCAAAGCCCTCGGCATGGACGCCGGCGTCGACTTCCACGGCCGCGTGCACAAGCCCATGGCCAAGCAACTCGCGAAGGCTCTCGAACCGCATCGCCCCCTGTTTATCGAAGAGCCCCTTCTTTCAGAGCACCTGGGCGGCATCAAGGAGATTAGCGGCCTCACATCTATCCCGATCGCCCTCGGAGAACGTCTCCACAGCCGCTGGGACGTGAAGCCGTTCCTAGAGGCGGGCTGCGTTGATATTCTGCAACCCGATATCTCCCATGTGGGTGGTATCTCGGAGATGCGCCGTATTGCGGCCATGGCTGAGGCTTACGACGTTGCACTGGCGCCGCATTGCCCCTTGGGACCCATTGCCCTTGCCGCCAACGTCCAGGTCGACCTTACCTCGCCGAACTTCGTGATCCAGGAGATGAGTTTGGGTATCCACTACAACAGCACGGGGCAGGACTTGACGAGTTACACCAAGAACCCCGAGGTTTGGAAGGTGACGGATGGATACATCGATATTCTCACGGGACCCGGTCTGGGTATCGAGATTGACGAGGACCAAGTTCGCGAGCTGTCCAAGGATTCTAAGGCTTGGGTCAGTCCTGGATTCATTGGACCTGGTGGTGAGATTAGAGAGTGGTAAATAGCCGTCTCGCGCACATGTATCAACAGAGACATAATTGAGTCTCCACGTAAGCCTTGCAAACGAACATTATTGTGATTACAAAGTGGACTTAATTAAGACTATTTCTGCTCGGTTGAAAATGGTCAAGCACCTTTACGGAGCCTTTTGCAGACCCTCGTGCTTCACAACCCAGCCACCATCCTTAGGAAAGCCAGGAGCATCGCCTTCGGAGCCCTGCCACCCGGCAGCCATGTATGCAACTGCCAATGTTGTTAGGGACGATCTGACCCGAAGCCGTGTGGAGAACTTACCTGCGTAGAGGAATCCGGCATTGCCAGGCATAAAGGGAGGAGGAGTACCGCCTAGACAGCAGTCAGCAACAAGCAGCAGCTGGGACACGGAACGTAGACTTACCATCACCTCCTCGAATGGCAAACCCGGCGTCATCAAATTTCCAGTAGCTGTACGCCGTCAGGTGATAGATAGCACGCTCTGGGTTGCCGATCCGGGCGGAGTTGATGGCCAAGACCGGCCTTCCCCATCCGCGGATCTTCTGGTCCGTCCAGACTTCCCACACCTTATCTGCGGTCTTCAAGGCGACAGCAGGGTCGACGGCGGGAGTATCAGGGAGAATTCCTTGCATCATGATGAGGCTTCGTGGGTCTCCGTTGAGGGCGGGGTCGTTCCACCAAGTGCTGTTCAGCCCCTCGTATACAGAATATAGCCCATCAATCTGAGGAGGAGGTGCGAGGTTTTCGGCGACGGTTGTCCATTTTTCGGGGACGGGCTGGCCGAGTCTTTTCTTCCAGGATCGTGCTGAGTCCAGTCCGTATCTCCAGTACGCGACCTGCGAGAATGTCAACCATCTTTTTCATCCATGTCTGAATACATGAGCTCACCTCGTACGCCAGGTTGACCGTCTCGAGAGGTGGTGTGTTCTCGGTCACACCGTACGAACTATCTCAGAAAGTCAGCGTTGCTTTCGAAAGGTCCGGGTTCACTGGAACTGACGGTGGTCCCAAGTCGTAGTGACCAGAGCTCTCGTTGAACCAGGCATACGAAGCCATGTAGTCTGCCGCGGCGGTGATGACCTCATCCCAACGCTTGAGGGTTCCCTCCGTGGGAGATGATTGGTATGCCAATTCAGCCAAGTACATCGTGTGAGGCTGTCAAGATCAGTAACGGTCCTATATCAGAGCTGGCATGGGTCTCACCTGTTGCCAAAGAAGCAGTCCATTGATGCCACCCGGAGAACTGACACCAGTGATGAGCTCCGTCATCTTAGGCCACCTGACGATACGTGTAAGTCCCTGTCGTTCTGAGATATGAAGCGGAAGACCAACCGAGCCCCTTCCCATCCCATTGCTTTGGCCCTTGCAAAAGAAGACGGCAGAAGAGTTTCATAAAGCTGAGGAAAGATATTGTCAAAGTACTTCTTGCGGCCCCAGGTTACCCAGTGGGCGTTGTGCCATACGACCATCTCCATGTGGAACTTGCCTGCTTGAAGTAAGTAACGAGACCGTCCAACGTTGCATCCGATGGGGGGTTTGACTGACCGTACCACCCGTTGTTCATCAACCCGCTCTCTTGCGGTGACTGACCCGAAGCGGCGCTGTTAACCCGAACGTGATACTGAGACAGGATGATACGTCTCTGCAACTCAGTGGCGTTGGGGTTCGATGACAGAGTGAGGTCTACAAAACCACCCTCGCTCCAGTATTCATGCCACCCAACGATGCTGCGCGTCTGGATCTCCGAGGGAGCCTTGGGATCTTGGCGGTCGGGCGAGAAGTGCGCGGTGAACGTGATGGAGCTTGTCGATGTGTCAGAGGCGGCTAACGTGTACCTGTGCGCGGTGACTTTGCTAGAGCCTTCCGGCTCGTCTCTGGAAAGCGCAAGGGTGGAATTCGCAGGCCATCTGAGGTTGACGTAGTAACTGGTCTCTTGTAGTTCGTGGTAGATGTGAGCGAGGTCTGGCCGCCCGCAACTCTTCACGATGCGGCTCGTGTGGTTGAGGGGAAAGTCATAGACACCAGCGAAGACCTCGTACTTGTACTTGGTCGTGTGAATCGGCGGGTATGGGAAGTCGAGTTCGACGTTCAGGTCACCCGAAGACAGAAGCTTCGACTCGATCTGGAATGTTACGGCGTCGGTCTCGAAGTCGCCTTGGGTGATGACCTTCACCGACTCGCCGTTGACCTTGAAGGTTGACGTTATGACTCCGGCCCATAGCTCCAGCTCTTGCTTCGGGTCGGTGATTTGGTCTGCTGAGAGGGTGTCACCTTTGTACTTGAGGCCGATGCGGCCCAGGTTGATGCGATTGGGATTGCCAATCAGCCACTGGGAGACTTCCGGAAGCTTGGAGTCAGGAATATCGTAAGAAACGTTTCGGCCGTGAGTCAATCTGGGTACACCGGTGTAGTCGCTGAGCTTTTCCCTAGCATTCGGTCAGTATTCAGAATGGAGGGCGGCTGTAAGACGAGGTCCTTCTCACCCGTTCGTTGGCAACGAGTCATTGTGCCACGCCCAACTTGACAAAGTGTTGAACGGCAAGAAGGTCTGGAATTTACTTAGTTTTAATGGTAGAGCAATAAGAACAGCTGCTGCATTGCTGCGATCTCACCTGCATGCCCGTGTTGTCGACATTGAAAGCGAAGTTGCCGTTTCCAACTTGCAACGGGGTCGTCTCGTTGTCAATAAGACTTGTGCGAACAACATTGAACTGGGAAACAATCCGCTGTCTTCGACCAATCAGCACATGTCAGACTCGCCTCACCAAATCCTGAGCTCACCTATCAATATTGCCCAAGGCAAGCGACGGCAGCAAAGCCGCGCAAAGTAGTGTCTTCAGATCCATCACGAGAGCACGGAAATGGCTACAGCTTCTGTCCCACAACCGCTGCTACAGCCCAAGTGCCCGGAGTGCTTCTCCTGGCCTGGTTTTGTAGCATTTACCCGGAAGAACTCCTGAGCTGAATTCCTCCACACGGAGGCCGAGCCGGGAGAAACGGGGCCGCAAGCTGCACCAGCCCCTCCCGTTTCCCAGCGCTCTGGTTTGTGACGTCGGTTGCGCACACAATTAGCCCGAGTAATTACAGAGGTATCATGCCCTTGAGAATGATTGACGCGCAGGAGCTGCGTGCTTGTGAGGGATCTGCGGCGGGGTGAGTGCGGAGGAAGACAGGGTACCCCGAGAATACGACTCCGCCCCTGAAGCTTCTTGCATTTAGGCTACACGCGGGGAAGCTTGGCTATGTTCAATGGTATGATTTTGTTTGACTGTTTCTCGGGGACTCTTCAGAAGATTGATGAGATGCCACTGCAGTTTCTTGCTAGTCATATTGGGGCTTTCCATTCTCGGTGATGCAATATACTACATAGTCCTCCTTGAGCTCTTCAATGCTCAAAGCCAACACCCAATGACCCGTTGAGATCTCTGAAGTCACCCCGCAAAATCTCAATACCATCCCTCCGTACCTCTTCGACAAGATCCTTGATCTTGGGCGCCATCCTCGTTGCCTTGAATCCGAAATAATCATACGCCGCCTTGGACGGCAAACTCTTGCCGAACCGGCGCATCGAGAAGGACGCATCGGCATATCGCTCCCAGCCATTCGCAGCGTATGCCTCGATCACAACCGTCGGCTTGCCAGCTCTCGGCTTAAGAACAGAGTGCCTGTATTCGCGAGACTGTTGTTCGAAGAGCCGGGGGCAAGGGAAGGAGACAACCCGTGCCTTGATACCCTCCTTCTCGAGGAGGCCCTTGGTCTCCATGGTGAAGCCCATTTCTGAGCCGACGCCGATCAAAGTGACATCAAAGTCCTCACTCTCTACAAAGACGTATGCGCCCTTGGCAACCCCCTCGCGAGACGAATGTTGAGGGTATTGAGTCAAGTTTTGACGCGAAAGAGAGATGATGGTAGGTGTTTCGGTAGCGTTGATGGCGGCAATGAACGCCCCAGCGACCTCTTCCGAGTCACAAGGACGGATATAAAGGGTATTAGGCATGGCACGGTAGAGTGCAGGGAGAGCGATGGGTTGATGCGTCGGCCCATCTTCGCCAGTGCCAATACTGTCATGCGTTGCGATGTGAATCTGCTGCAAGCCTTGGAGAGCGGCCATTCGGACGGCCGGCGCGGCGTATAGATAGAACATGAAGAAGGAACTGGTGATGGGCAGGAAAGTTCCCTTGTTGAAGGCGGCGAGGCCGTTCGAGATGGCGCACATGGCGTGTTCTCGGATGCCGTAGTGGATGTATCGGCCGGTATAGTTGCCGTTCAAGTTGCATGCCGTTTGGAGCTCCGGCTGCGCGTGATGATTAGTACAAGATATGTTTAGCTGGGTACTTGGGGAGCTTACAGATTGGAAGTCAACCTTCTGGTTGTATGCGACATTACACGAAGGCGTCAAGTCGGCGGTTCCAATGAGGAAGTTCTTCATCTTCTCGCCCAGAGGGTTGCCCACGAGGCCAGCCGATTTGCGGGATGATGTCGGTGCGGTGGGAAGTTGGTCCTTGCTAGGGATATACTTGGTCCAGTCGTCAGGCATCCTGCCCTCGACGCGGAGTTTGAACTCGGCAGCAAGCTCGCGGTGTTGCTCCGAATAGTTCTGGACAGTTTCGGACCACTCCTTCTCATAGGTCTTTCCCCGTTCGACGACATCTCCGAAGAAGTCGTAGACATCCTTGGGGATCGAGAAGTGTTCCTCAGGATCGAGACCAAAGGTCTTCTTGATGCTTGCGACATCATCAACACCGAGCGCGGCACCGTGTGTCTTCGCATCGCCGGCCTTGACTGAGCCGAAGCCGATGGTTGTGTGGATGTTGATGAAAGTTGGGCGATCGCTGCTTCGTGCAACAATGAGAGCATTCACAATAGCTTGAATGGAAACGTAAGCGAGATCCATCTACACATTTTCATCGCCATAGGGCACAGCAACTCACCAGCAACGTTGGAGTTTCCATCGAGAACCTCAAGAACGTTCCATCCCGTTGCTCTCATCTTGGCGTTGATATCTTCCGTATTCGCAACATCGGCCGTACCATCACAAGTGACGGAGTTGTTATCGTAGATGATGCACAAGTTGTTGAGCTTCCAATGGCCAGCCAGAGAAACCGCCTCGAGACCGACACCCTCTTGAAGACACGCGTCGCCGATCATGCACCATGTCATGTTGTTCACGACTTCTAAACCCGGCTTGTTGTATGTGGCGGCGAGGTTCTTCGTCGCCATCGCGAGGCCGACTGCGTTGGCAACACCTTGTCCGAGCGGGCCTGTTGTGACTTCGACACCTTCATTTTCAATTTCGGGGTGGCCGGGGCACAGGGAGTCGGTTTTCTCGGAATGATATGATTTGAGCTGATCAACGGTCATACTCTTGACACCAACGAGATGCATGAACAGGTATTGCCAGAGGCAAGCATGACCTTCAGTCTGATTAGTCTTTAATGCGTTTGAACATGACATAGGAATTACGTACCGTTAGAAAGGACAAAACGATCTCGGTTGAAATACTCGCAGTTGCTGGGGGAGTATTTCATCACATATTTGTACAAGGCGATGCCGATGGCGGCCATGCCCATGGCAGAGCTTGGGCACATGTCAGCTTCGAGTATGGATCTCCGCGAACAATGTCTGTATCTTACCCTGGATGGCCTCCATTGAATTGCTGACAAAGATCCGCGATGAATGCGCGGAACACCTTCAGAACTCGGTCATGCTTGTCGGAGCTCTCGAACTCGAAGTCTGTCACTGCGGGGACGCCATGGGTGTTAGTGACGTTGGGCTTGACGGGCAAGCTTTGGGTGGCTTTCTCATAGAGTTCCAATGACGGGGCCATAGTGAGGGATGTAAAAGTTCTGGTGTTGTACAATGAAAGAGTCTCTGATAAACTCTGGCTGGTATCTATGAGTCTTCTGGTAGCGTGAAGACCGTCCTTATACCCATTCGCTGTATTTGAACGAGTTTTGGTTTCTCGTCACTAGCTGCGTACGCATCGGAAGCTCTGGTCTGGGACGAACCCCGCGTTGACTGTCGTGCGGGTTGGCGTCGATGCGACATCACATCAGGGTAAATTGGCATTGATGTCCTTAGAATTGACATCGGCAGATCGATGATCTAACATCGTGAAGCTATCTTCGACGCGAGCTCCAGTTGAGTCTGCATGGAGGTATCAGCGCGACTCGACGCGAGTAAATCTTAGCAGACAGATGTGGTCTCGTCTCGGGGACACCAGTGCATGTGGATCTTTATGTTTGTACGTGAAGCGATGGCCTGAGAGAAGGACAAGCACGTATGAAATGCAATGACAGTCCGACTATGATATGATTCGAAGCAGGTCTATGTCGTGTCTCTAGCCCGTATTCTTGTCTAACAGAGTCATCAAAATAAGCCATCATGATCACAGAAGCTTCGCGGTTGAAGCACGAAATCAGCAGCTACCTATTATGAGTCCTGGGGGTGCTGTCATGTCAGCACATGTACCTTACTGAGAACAGCATGTCTTCTAGCTGATTGAGCATTTCCTCCTCAGCAATATCGCCACGCACAATATATACACCTTGAAATCCGTCACAAACATTCTCTCCTTCAAAAGAGCTTTTCACTTCAGCGCAATTCATGTTTCCATTCCTACATAATCCGGTATGATCTTTGCGGACAGTTTGCGGGGGGATATGCACGATACCGGGCCCTGGCGGGGTTTCATAGCGGTCTAAAGACCCCACTAAAGAGCACATAAAGAACGGCTTTGCCTCGAGACGAAGGCTTATTCGTTTGCCCATCTCATCCACCTTCCTCGGCGTCATCAGCGAGGACCCGATGAGGCATCCATGAGCCCTTGGTTCGTGCCACAAGTTTGATGTTCCTCGAAGCGAGATCGATCAATGGATACTGCGACTGGCAACAGGCGGAGGTCGACGGCTTCCTCAGTCGCGACCCCGGTGCGAGATGGACGCCCGCGACGAGTCCGACCATCCCGCGCTCGCGGTCTGCGAACATCCACTGGCTGGTGAGTGTTTCTGGCTAGATTCTTTACCGAGAATCGTACGATTCACAAAGTGGAACTACGATGTGCTTCGCTGGCTAACATCATGCCGAACGCAGCTTAACATGCCGGAGAAGGCGAATCAAGTGCGATGAAGGCAAGCCGCGCTGTGCCCAATGTTGCAAGTCAGACCGTGACTGTCAGTATGCACAGTCTCAGGATGGTGAGCCGGAGTCACAGAATCACCGTCGCTCCGCCTCCACCGTCTCAGTTCCGGGCCAAGATGTTCAACGTGAGGAAACCTCGGTTGACGTCTCGGAACCGGAAGGGCTAGGCGCTGATGTTGTCACTGCATCCTCTCCAGTAGCTGAGAATACGTCGATAACTGCTTTACCGACAGATTTCGCCGCATCATTCGTGTCACCCTTCAACCCGACTGGCCAGTCAAGACCTCTCGGCGTTGAAGATGGTCTTCAACCCAACGTTACCGACACAGATCCTGGTTTCTCGCCCCTAGCATTGAGTCAAACGTCTTTGCTCAACATATCACCTTTCGAGTGGTATGATCTGCTCGCCCAGGATGCTATCAACAATCTTCAGAGGCTGAATAGCCTGCCCAATGGAGAAGTCCGTTGGGTCTTTGATGAGAGCACCCTGTCCCGCAGACAAACTCCTCTGCCCGAGTCACCGAAAGAGAATGAGAATAACGGTAATCGATCAACATTCGGTCAACATGATGTACCCGTCACTCCGCCATGGAATACCGCGGCGAACATTGAGTTATCTGCAAGCGAACTAGTCTACCTTCGTTATTATGTCGAGGTGGTCGGCCCCATCCTCGATCTTTTCGACCCTGACCGCCACTTTACCAACATCGTTCCACACCTTGCCGTCCGCAACATTGGGTTATTGAAATCTGTTTTGGCCGTTGCGGCCAGGCACAAGTCATTAGGATGCCATCCTCATCACCCTTGTTCTGGTCAACCCGCCTCTCTAGACACCGCTGAGGGCAATCCAGCAGACGAGGAATCAGCTCGTGTGGCGACGCAGTATTACTACGAGACACTGCAGTACTTATCCCACACGTTGCTTTACCCGTCTTACGCCAACTCTCACGAGATTCTAGCCACGTCGATCATGATCAGCACCTATGAAATGTTCGACTCAAACTCCGCCTCGAACAACGGTGACTGGGAACGTCACCTCAGGGGTTCTTTCTGGATTCAACGCTCTCAAGACAACAACGCAGAGTCTTCCGATAGCTTTAGGAGAGCAGTATGGTGGCAGTGGATTCGACAAGACATATGGGCGGCGTTTAGATCCGGCCGTCGAACTCTGACGATATTTCAACCCCAAAAGACTCTGCAGGACCTCTCACCAGACGACCTCGCGAGTAGAATTCTGTTCCTCGCGGCAAAATGCGTGGCATACGCCGCTCACGACGCAACCTCATCAATCCACGATCTTCAGCAGCGAATGGACCTTGGAACCCGTCTTCTACGGTCGCTAGAAGAGTGGCGAGAAGCACAACCCTCTTCATTCTTTCCCATATCAGGGGCGGGAGATGTAGAGGTCGGCTCCGGAGGGAGTCAACCTAGTTTATCGTCACCAAACTCACATCAGCACGGCCAATCTTCGACCGAGGCGGTGACTGGAGACCCTCCGTCGATAAAAGTGTTCGAACCCATCTGGGTCCATCCACCACGGAACGCTGGTGCCTTGCAGATGTACCACTTTGCTCGGTCTATGGTTCTCCTAGCCCAACCATCAACGGGTGGTCTTAATGTCTACAGGCGAAGACAGCGACTTCTCAATGAGAGCCTTCGCAATGTGTGCGGCATAGCGGAGGCCTGCCAACAGAGTGATTGTGCTATGGCTTTCTTGAATGTGCAGGTTATCTTTGCAGGTCAGTCGTTGATGAATGTCATTGGATGGTGATTTTGCAATACTGACTGTGACTGGGCCTTCTAGTCGGCCAATGTGCCCAGAACGAAGAGAAGCAGGCGGCACTTCTGAGGCTACTGAAACAATCAGTAGCTGCCAGCAACTTCCCATCAAAAGGGCTGACCGAGGAATTGGGAAGGATATGGAAGGAGGGTTTCTGACTAAATCGTGTGGCAGTGGGTCACGATGCATCATGCACGCCGACTATTGAGTCCTAGAACGGTCGGGACAAATCTCAGTTGTTTAATGAGACTTGGAGTTCTCTTCTATCATCTATCGGGAGCACTCGGTCTCGACTTTCTTTGACTACCAAGCCCCAACAATTCCAGCAACAGGAATATCTATGCCCGTGGTGTATGAAGCGCCATCAGACAACAGATACACGTAGGCACCACCGAGCTCCTTTGGGTCGGCCAACCGAGGCATGCCTCCATAGTACTGCATCTTCAAGTTCCAATCAGGTGCTTGGTCCACGAAATAGGTCATGGCCGTCTTGACGAACCCGGGCGAGATGGAGTTGACACGGATGCCGTGCTTGGCCCATTCCATCGCCAGGGTATGTGTCATGTTTCTCACCGCACCCTTCGTTGCGCCGTATGGTGCAGACGGGGCCGCACGGTTGGGGCGGTACGAGGTCATGGACGCCGTGAAGACGATGGACCCCTTGATGCCGAGCTCGATGAAGCGCTTGGCTACCGTCGTCGCGCAGAAGTAGGCGCCGAAGACGTTCAGGTTGAACAGCTGCTCTAGTTGAGCACGGTCAAAGTTGAGAGCGGGTTGGTGCTTTAGGAATGGTCAGTACTAGGTGTAGGACGTGTTAGCTTGGATAGAATACCTTCGTCATTCCAGCATTAGCGACCAGACCGTGAATTGCCCCCTCATTTGCAACGATAGCATCGATGGCTGACGTGATGCTCTCCTCGGAAGTGACGTCGCAGTGTATGTAGCGAATTCTCTTGGGGTTGGCCTTCTGGATTGCTTGAAACTCTTCATCTGGCTCGAAGAGATCGAGAGAGTACACTACCGCAGCATCATTTGCCAGGCAAACCTCCGCGATTCCGAGGCCGATACCCCTGTTGGCGCCAGTGATTGCCACAACCTTGTTCTTCAACGAGATCTTCCAGTCGTGGTCTGGGCCTGGCTGGGTGTTGAGAAACTCAGAGTCGTTGGATAAGGCAGGGGCTGGCACTGGTTGTGTTGTTGAGGCAGTTCCATCTCCATTCTCCGGTTGGATAGAGAGGGCTTCTGATGTTGCGCTTGGTGACATCATTGGCTAGGAAAGAAGGAGTCTGGCGTAATGGCTTTTTAGTTGTACGTATGAATCAATGATGAAGGACTGGTCTGTAATGCAAAGACGTTCAGAAGTTGACGTTTCTGCGAGATCGTTCCGCGGTGATATATCCTCCGGTGTACCCGGCGCCCGCTCCGATCCTATATTAGGTCGCGCCTGCGTCGGCGAGGAATTGTACATCGCTACGGGGATATCGCTCTTTCGTTGAGAACGTGATTACTTTCTGCATCATGCAAACGAACCCAGGTAGGGACATTAGGTAAAGTGTTTCGCTTTTTGTCGCTCATCTAGTAGTTCCTTGATTCGCGTCGAGGTCTCCATCCGTCTTCGCATCGAGGCACAAGCTGGTGGTGTTTCTCGGTAGAGTATTTGATTGGCCACAGAGCATATACCTCCCTTGACATGGTCGGTCTAGGATCACCCCAACATCCTCAAAATCCGGGGAGCCAGATTCTGGGGATGATGTTCTAGTCCCGTCCGGGGTTCGCGGGGACGAACGGTTCTCATGGTGGATGCGGCCTCCGGGAGGTTGACCCAAGGCAAAGGATCTCGGGTATGGAATAGGTTTACCCTGTGGTATGGTCGAATGATACGCCCGGTAGGACTTGAAGGGCCAAGCTTATAAGTAAAATGAATTCCTTTCCTGCACCCTGACTATTCCAATCTTCCTTGAGGGAGTTGCCGCCATTTTCTGCAATATTTGCAAGTTTCTCCCTGTTCGACGTTTGGTACCGAAAAGAAACATGCTTCCACGTCGTCATTCCTCGTCTACGAGCATGGAGGCCAGCGACCAAAAAGAACAAGGCAACATGCCGGAGCATGTTGAATCCCCGACTCAGGCGATCACTTGGACAGAGGAGGAAGAGAAGGCTCTCGTCAAAAAGATTGATCTCTTCCTGATGCCAACTATCTGGTATGAAACACCAAACGAGAAAGATACACACTATTGATGATTTCCATTGCTTACTTCCCGCTAGGTTCATGTATCTTCTGTCATATATGGACAGAACCAAGCTAGTAAACCTCGTTACCTACGGCACTGAATTCAATTCTAATCGTACCCTCTTTTCAGCATCGGCAATGCGAAGATTGCTGGAATGGCAGACGACATCGGCCTGTCATCGGCTCAATACAGTGTCGTGTTAGTTGTATTTTTCAGTAAGTCAAACTCTCAACCGTCAATCAGCAGTCAATACCCAAAGCAAGCCTCTGACCATATCCAGTCGGCTATGTTATCTTCGAGCCGCCGTCGAACATGATTCTTGTCCGAACCCGACCCTCCCTATACCTCCCCGCCATCATGGCCATTTGGGGCGTTCTCACATGCATTATGGCTGTCGTAAAGCACTACCACCACCTCATCGTACTTCGGGTGTTTGTTGGAATCGCAGAATCTGGTTTCGCCCCGGGCATACTCCTAATCATCTCGTCTTGGTACCGGCGCACGGAACAGTCGAAGCGTTTCGCGGTCTTCATGTCAGCAGCAATTCTGTCTGGAGCATTCGGGGGACTGCTCGCAGGCGCCATCACCAGCGGCCTGGAGGGGGCACATGGTATACGTGGATGGCGATGGCTCTTCATCGTCGAAGGCGTTGCGACGGTCGGGTGGGCTGGCATTTGCACGTTCATCCTGCTCGATTTCCCTGCCACTTCAAAGAGACTGACTGCCAGAGAGCGAGCGATTGCTGTTGCGAGGCTGCAACAAGATAATGTTACCGTCCGCGAAACAGATGAAAAGTTAGGCAAGAGCCAATCCTTCATGCTGGCGCTGAGAGATTGGAGGACTTGGGGGTTCATCTTCGGATACATGGTAATTTTTCCAACCACTGATATCCCTCTTTATCGTAGCGAGACTAACATGATCCTAGGTCATCGTTGGGTCATCCACACTATCCTACTTCTACCCGACTCTAGTCAACGGACTGGGGTTTACATCAACTGTCCAAGCACAGTATATGACTGTAGGTTCTCTTTCTCTCTGACGTTACTGTCTGTAAATCTTGACCATGTAATCAATAGGTTCCTATCTACGCCTTCGCGTTCGTCTGCACCGCCATCAGCGGCTACTTCGGAGACAAAATACCTGATCATCGTGGACTGGTCATCGCCGGATGGCTTGCATTTAGCATGATCACATCCATCATAGTCTGCGTTGTGTACAACTTTACGGCTCGCTACGTGCTCCTTGTACTCATGGCTGCTGGTCTTTGGGCATCCAATGCTATGTCGCTGTCTTTCGCTAGCTCAACATTCGGAAGCATGGATGCAGAGGTCCGCGCCATTGCACTGGCGTTGATGAATGCTTTAGGAAACCTAGCGCAGATCTATGGGGCTTACCTTTTCCCGACTGACGATGCCCCCAAATATCTCATGGGTTTCGGCGTCATCTCAGGCATGTTAGGATTTGGAACAACGGTTTACGTGGTGATGCATGTACTGGTCAAGCGATGGAAACCTTGAAAGCTTCAATGAAGAAAAGAAGTCATTTTCTCATGCGAATTCGTCATGATAGTGGTTTGTCTGATGTATAACAAGACACGTGAACTCCAGGCAGTCCACTTCACAGTCCCAAAAGTCGCTCAGCATTCAGGTGAGCGATCTTTTCCTTATCCGAGACGCTGATGGGCAACTCATCCAAGAACTGGCGACTGGCTTTGATATTGCCGTATGGATAGTCGCTCGTGAAGAGGATGCGATCAGTCCCAATGACATTTGCCATACCGAGGTAAGCGTTGTATGCCAAACTCCAGCTAGGGTCGATCTTCCCGGGTTCCTGCGCGAAGTACTCGCCTGCAAGAATTCCACCGTAGAAGTTCTCCCTGAGATACTCTTTCATGGTCTTCTTCAGGCCAGCGCTGGCTTCCAAGGAAAACGAATAGTCGACCCTCCACGCCATCCACGCTAGCGCCTCGAAATTGTGACCCACGATGATCTGCAGGTTGGGGTACCGGTCGAAGACACCGCTCAAGATCAATCTGATACAGTGAACACCTGTGTCTATGTGCCATCCGAGGCCCGCAAGGGAAAGGGCGTTGGACACAGGCGGCGCGAATCCGCTGTAGTAGGCATCGACCACACCTTTCGGAGGCGCCTGTGGGTGCAGGTAGATCGGGACGCCTAGTCGTTCGGCGGTTTCTAAGACAGGCCAGAAGAACTTATCGTCGAGGTATCGTTCGTTGACGTGACCGTTGATTAGAGCGCCGACGAACTTCAACTCATCCACTGCGCGTTCGAGCTCCTTGGCAGCTGCCGTAGGGTCCGACATTGGAAGCGTAGCGAATCCACGGAAGCGATCTGGGTACTGCGCGGTGGCAGCCGCCACAGAGTCGTTGGCCTCTCTGGCTAGATTCACTGCGATGGAAGGATCTAGGCCTTCGACACTCGGAACAGTGTGAGAGAGGATCTGGATGTCGATGCCAGCCGCATCCATATCAGCGATCCGGCCTTTGCCAAGGTCTCTGATCCCCGGGGGAAAGTCGTCTCCTTGGCCGCCAGTGGCCTTATGAACATGATTGTACACCGCTTCTATGGGGTGTCCGCGATTTGCTTCGTGGATTGCCGGGTGCTTGTAGTGCTCTTCAAAGGCAATGATTCTCATGATTCTTGATTCTGTCGAAGGCTAGCTTCCTTCAATAGAGATGTCAGGTGGGGACGAGTAAAAGAGCTCAAAATCACAAAGATATTTCAATGCTGGGAATGTTCGTTCATGTACTTATAGATCCGTTCGGATATCGAGTTTTCCGCCACTTTAGCCATGCTCATGAACTGTTCGGAGTAGCCCGGCCATAGGACGGACTAGCATGACCTCATGGGACCATTTGTATGTCAAGTTTTCCGCCGACTTGGTCATGCTCCTAGACTGTTCGGAGTAGTCCGGCCGCAGGAACCGTATGACTTCATGGGAAAGTTTCGGCCCCACCACGGACACGGAGTTCCACCCGGCATTCCGGGTTTCAGTTGGGGCTTGGACTGCTGCCCCGAGAACTCATTCCGATCAGTCGGAAAGATGCATTCGGAAATGACTATTCGGAAGCAAGGGTTGAAATGTTTGTTAACCGTTGGATCGCCGCTGTTCCGTCATCCAATGGTCAAAATTGCTATTTTCCAGTGTCTGATTCCAACATCGGCCGAAACGCTCACGTATTTTGCATCTAATTGGCATCACATTCGCCAGTTTTCACTATTAGCCAAGCATGAATTGTGTGACCTAGCTGCATAGCCGCTCCCGGACATTGTTCTCCCGACATTGGACTGCCCCTTTGTAATAACATTTGGATGCCGAGGACCGATTCCTACCTTATCAAATCAACTGCATGTACCCAAACTTAGCTCGGTATCATTACACAAGGTCTAAAAACGTGGTCTTGTCAGTCGCTAGACTCTCTTAGCTCTTATTGAAATTATATATTACCTTTCCTATATTAGCGCTATTATTTAATAATAAGGATTAATTTAAGCCTAATTATACCTAGTATATCTAAAACTACTAACTTTATATCTAATATATCTAGATCCTAACTAGTACCTCTATATATTATCCCACTATTACTAGGGTATTAAATAGACTAAGCTTAGAGTTATTATATAGCTTACTATATTATAATATATAGAGTATTATTAATAACTTATTCTTTATTCTAAATACTATTTAAGCTATAAGTTAGTCTAAATACCTTTATAATATTATATAAATAATATAATATTTCTAAATTATTTATTTATTTAATAGAATAATATCTATTATAATATTCTTAATATAATATATCTTAAAAGTCTTTTTAATATACTTTAAGTAAAAGAGGTAGTTATTTTTAATATTATTAAGGGGTTAAAAATAATAATTAAAGTTTATAATTATATTAATAAGGATATTAATATGAATTAGTATAAAGCTAGAGATATAAAAAGAAGATATTTTAAGTTAATAGAAAAGGGGATAAAAGGATAAAGGTTATAATATAATCTTAATAGAAGGGATAGTCTCTTATAGATTAATATCCCTTATAAAGGTTTTACCCCCTTTAACCTTAAGAGTAAGACTATTTATATACTATTATATATACTATAGAGCTTATTAGGATAGAGTTTTATTCTTTTAGAATATTAAATATTAAATATATACTTATTAAGTTATTTTAAGATAATAGATAATATTACTTATATATCTATATATTATCTTAAGGAATAGGGCTATATTATACTACTTAAACCTATATTACTTACTAAAGATTTTTAATTAAAGAGGTTAAAAATTAACTTTAAATAATATTAGATTTTTAAAATAAAGTATTAAGTTATTTTTAGCTATAATATAATAATAATTCTAATTCTTCTTTATTAAGCTACTTATAATATAAATAATAATAATTCTAATTCTTCTTTAATAAGCTACTTATAATATAAATAATATTAATCTTATTAATATAGAGTAAGGATATTACTTTTACTCTAATTGCCTTAGGGATTTCCTAATAAATCCTAAAGATAATAAGCTTATAAATTAAGATCTCCTACTTAATAGAGTAGTTTCCTAAGAGGACTAAAGGATAAAATAAATTTTAAATTATAATTATATAATAATAATAAACTAAATTATTTAATTAAAGTTAATTTAGTTAGAGTTAAATTTTCTATAATAACTTATTATAACTTTAGCTTATTAGCTTTATTATTAAAGTTATTTCTTAAATAATAATATTAATATTAAAGTTAAGAATATTAATAAATTTATATTAAAGATTAACTATTAAAAGTATATTAAATAGTTATAAAATTTAAAATAAGCTTTTAAGAGAGTATTTAAATAGTTTTAAAAAGATTTAAAGAAGATAGTAGTTACTCTAAACTATATAAATTCTAATTACTATAGCTATTAAAACCTTTATAAAGATAATTTATTAATAGATTATTAAGTTAATACTAAAAACTACTAGTTCTTTATAAAATAAATAAAGACTTTTATAAAAGATATTTAGTATTAAAAATCTAATATTATATATTAAATTATTACTATATAATAATAGAGTAATTAAGACCTAAAAGACTTCTATATATATTTTTAATTCTTAAAAAAGGAATTTATATTAAGGCTAAATAAGGAGAGTACCCTTAAGTTTTATATAAAATTAATTAATAACTTAAGGAAGTATATATAGATTAATATTATTAACTTTTTTAAGACTTAAGAGGAAATAATAATAATAATAATATAATATTAAGGAGTTATTTAGCTAAATATTAAGTATAAATATAAATCCTTATTAAAAGATCTATAAAAATAAAGTATTACTATTTATTATAATTATAAAAGCCCCTTAAAAGTCTCTCTATTTTAAAGAGAAAATAAAAAAGAATATTAAAGTAAGTAAAAATAGAGTAAATTATACTATTAGGGAACTCTATATTTACTTTACTTATAGTAATTCTAATTATTTATTAAATTAATACCCTTTTATTATAAAAAAAGTAAATAAAAATAAAGAGAAGTTAACTTTTATTTAATTAGTTCTTATTTCTATATTATAGAAGTTAAGAAAACTAATTAAAAAGAAATAAAACCCCTATTTTCTCTCTCTAACCTAAAGATAGAAACTATATCTTATTTCTATATAGATATATAGATTAAAACCTAATAATTACTTATTATAATATATATTAATTTTAATATAGAGGCTAAATATAATATTATATCTATTTAAATTATAAAGAAGTTTTATTTTAATACTATAAGGTTTATATTTTTATTATTATTTTTAATCTCTTATTTTATTATATTAACCTATAGGGTATATATTATTCCCCTTATTCTTATTAATTTCTAAAGAGCTTATTAAAAATTTATAAAGCTTTATATAGCTATTCATTATAACTTATATTAAAATAAAAGCTTAATACTCTTATTTATAATGATATTAGAGGATTATAATATTTATTTTAAAAAGAGAAATAAGAAATAGTAATTTAAAATAAACTAAAAGGCTTAAAAGATTTATTAGCCCTATTACTTTATTAAATAGGCTTTTAAAGAGATAGCTTAAATCTTTATTATTATTTAGCTTTTTAAACCCTTATTATTTCTAAAAAAAAAAAAAAAAAAAAGGAATTTAACTTATATTTAGGAGTTTAAGTTATTCTAAAGAAACTAAATTTCTTTAAAGATATCTTAACTCTTAAGAGTATAGATATTTTATCTCCCTCTAAATCTTTAGATTATACTATTAATCTTAAAGAGGGAGTAAGCTCTCTATAGGAGCCTATTTACCCCTTATTACCCTATAAACTTATAGCTTTATAGAAATATCTTTTAAAGTTCTTATAATTAAGTTAAATTTACTTTTTAAAAAGCTTTATTAAAGCTTTTATTATATTTATCTCCAAAAAGGATAAATCTTAATATTTTATTATAAACTATTAAGGTTTAAATAAAATAATAATAAAAAACTATTATTTTTTACTTTTAATTTTAAAACTTTTAGATTAAATTATAAAAGTTTAATACTTTTTAAAAATTAATCTAAAGGATATATATTATTATATTTATATCTAAAAGAGATATAAATAAAAGATAGCTTTTTAAACTTAATATAGTTTATATAAGTTTTATATTTTATTTATAGAGCTTATAAACTTATTAGCTACTTTTTAAATATATATGAATAACGCTTTAGGAGAGCTTATAGATATAATCTATATAATATATCTAAATAATATCTTAATATTCTCTAAAACTTATAAAAACTATATAAAGTATTTATATTAGGTTTTTATATACTTAAGGGAAATAGTACTTTTTATTAAACCCTTAAAGTATATCTTTTATTAAATAAAGGTTAAATTCTTAAGATTTATTTTATTAAGAGATAATATTAAGATAGATCTAAAAAGAGTTAAAGCTATTATTATTTAGCTAAAGCTAAAAACCTATTAAGAGGTTTAGATTTTCTTAAAGTTCTATAACTTCTATAGATAATTTATTTAAAAATATTTTAAAATTATAAAACCCCTAATAGACTTATTAAAGGGGAGTAAAAGTAAAAAGAAATTAAAATTAATATTATTATCTCTTATTAAAAAGCTAGTATTTTAAAAGCTTATTTATACCTTTTAGAAGGCTTCTCTTTTATATTATTTTAATCTATTTCTAAAAATATAAATTAAAATAAATATATTAGCTTTTATTATTATTAATATTCTCTCTTAATAATAGCTAAATAAATAGTAATATCTAATAGCCTTTTAGTTTTATAAATTTAAAGATAGTAAATTAAATTATAATACCCCTAATTAGAAAATACTTATTATTATTAAGTCTTTTAAATATTAATAATATTATATTAAAGGAGCTATAAGTAAAATTAAAGTTTTAATTAATTATTAAAACTTATAGATATTTATATCTTAATTAAAATTAAATAGCTATTAAGTATATTATTATATACTTTTAGCTACTTATAACTTTATAATAAGATATTATTAAAAAAAGATAAACCCTATTAATAAGTTATCTTATTATTTAAATTATATAAATAAAAAGGGAATAAATACTAACTTTCTTTTAGATTTATAATAAAAAGTAAACCTATTATATTAAGATATAGTCCTATAGTAATAATTACTAAAGAGTTAAATCTAAGCTATTATAAGAGTAAAAATAAAAAAAGTATCCTCCTATAAAAGAATTTACTAAGAGGATATATCTACTTTATTATTAAGCCTTATTAAAGATACCTAAATAAATAATATATTTAGTTAATAAATTATTAAATAAATTTAAGAAAATACCTCTTAAAACTATATTAATTTTTAATAAATAATAAATTATTACTTTTTAAGGATAAACTCTTTATCTCTTAAGAGAGTACTTTAAGATAAATAATTTTAAGTTTATTTTATAATAATCTACTAACTAAATACTTTAAAATAGATAAGATAGTAAAGTTAATCTAAAGAAAATTTAAATAAATTAATATAAATTAAGATATTAAAGATTATATCTAGAGATATACTATTTACTTAAGTTTAAAAGTAAAAACCTATTAACTATATAGAGAGTTAATATTTCTCCCTTAATTAAGCTATCCCTTTAAGGAAGTCTCTATAAACTTTATTATAAGTTTATTACTTATATTTAATAAAATAATATAGATTAATATTATATTAATTATTATAAATAGATATATAAAATATTATATTTATATAATAGTAAATATTAATATAATATCTATTAATTTAATAGAGATTTTCTATTAAGAGATTAAACTTAAATTTATTATACCTAAAGGTATTATCTTTAGTAGAGATTTAATATTTATAAGCTAATTCTAGTTAAAACTTTATTATTATAACTATATAAAATAAAAGCTTTTAATAATATTTTATATTTAAATAAATAAATAAATAGAGGCTATTAATAAATAATTAGAATAATATTTATAATACTTTTATTACTAAAAAGTAAACTAAATAAACTTACTTTTATAAGCTTAATATATAGTAAATAATAATTAAAACTTAATAATTAGGGTTTTATTAGTTAAAGCTTTTATAAGCTATTAGCTAAAGGTTTACTTTAATTTTAGAGATAAAATTAATATAAAAGAGGTATAAAGTATAACTAAACGCCTTAAGAAACTCTATTAAGTAAGGAGAAACCTTAAGGAATATTAATAAAAAGTAGTAAAACAATAAATAAAAAGCTATAATAAGTATTATAATCTTATTATTTTCTTAATTAGATCTTTAGTCTTCTTATTAACTTAAAACCTATAATTTAAGATAATATAGTATAAATTAGTTTTAAAGTATATTAATCCTTTTAGAATACTTAATTATATAGGAAAATAAGCTTATTATTTAGCTTTACTTTAATAATACTTATAGTTATATAATATTTTCTATATAAGCCTTTTAAAACTATAATATAATAACTAAAGTAATAAACCCCTATTTATATTAGATCTAAAAGAGAGTAAAGATAAATAAGAACTTAATTAAATTATAAACTATTATATAAAGGATAATAAGACCTATTACTTAATTAAATAGTTTAAATAGCCTTTAGAGTATAACTCTTAAGTATTAACTAAAAACCTAATTAATATTAAAAAAGCCTTTATAGATTATAATAAATAAAAAGCTAAATAAAAAGCTAAAAAGTAAATAAAATAATAAAAAGAGGTATAATTTATTATTAAAAGGTTCCCTATTAGATCCCTAAAAACTTTAAGACTATTAATATTTAATATAGCTAGGGTTTCTTTAAGAAAGAGAGAAGTAAAATAAAAAGGAATTAAATTAAAATATAAAAAAAAAAACTTAAAAACTATTTCCCCCTATTTAACCTAAATAATTTCTTAATAAAACTAAAGATTATAAATAATAAAGAATAAATAAAATATAGCTTAATTTAAAACCTTAATTAAGAGTTAAATTAAGTTTATAATAATAAGTTAAGCTATAAAAATAGATTAAAACCTTAGGGTTTTACTTTATACTTAAAAGTAAAATATAAAATAAATTAAAGGTTTAGTTATAAGCTCTCTTCTTAATAGAATTCTAAGCTATAAAGCTAGTATTAATTATAAAAAGATAGATAGGAATAAGGTTTTAAGCTACTAAATTATATTAATATTACTAAGGGATTATTACTTTATCTTAAGACTTATAGTATTATTAAAATTATATTTAAGTCTATAGTAAGAGAATAATATCTAACTAGAAGTCTAATAATAAGTATTAATAATCTACTTATAATTACTCTTAATCTCTTAGTAATAAGTTAATAAACTATTAAAGAAGAGGTTAAATATACCTAAATATACCTAGCTAGAAACCTATAAGTAATAGTAGATTATCTACTATATACCTCTAAACCGCTTTAATACTTAGGAGAGTAGCTAACTTTTAGTATTTTAGCGTTTTTAAGGGGATTAAAGAGTAAAAAGATAAAAATAGGAAAAGGTTATAATAATATAAGGCTAAGCTAAAAAAATTATAATAGCTAAACTAAAAAAGAAAAGATATATAATAAAATTTTTATATAAGTAAAGGTATAAATAGAGTAAAAGCTAGAGTTACTTAGGATAAGTAACCTAATAGGGGAATAGTTATTCTAGAATAATAGATAATATTACTTATATATCTATATATTATCTTAGGGAGTAGGGCTATATTATACTACTTAAACCTATACTACTTACTAAGGATTCTTAACTAAAGAGGTTAAGAATTAGCTTTAAATAATATTAGATTTTTAAAATAAAATGCTAAGTTATTCCTAGCTATAATATAATAATATAGGTATAGTGAGATATCTATAACTAGATTATAAGGGTAGCTATATTATATTACGCAGCGTATTGCATTTATTTATTGGCTCTTATTGAAAGAAGAAACATGCGCTAGAAGATACGTCAACCACGGCTGGTCCAGCGTGCGGCTGACTTCGTGGACATGATTGTCACCGGGGCTTCTCCCCGGACGTGGATCAGCCAGGTTCGGTTGTGTCAATCCGAAGCCAAGCTTTTTCGACAATCTCGCTTCTGCAGTACGTGCCCCTGGCGACGTCTCCACTTGTTCCATTTTCAGCTTCTCGAACCCCGAGACTGGGAGGTTTTCTACCTAGGAAACACTAGATGATTGTCTGACAATTGACAATGTGGTCAAAAGCTAATCACATGGAGTAAGTTTCATCGCTATTTGTATTGTTATGTCTTGTTCACCCGCAAGTCGACGGTTGTACAGCGGAACCTTTTGGGCTACTCATACTCAGTCGCGGTCTTGTCAACGACTCAACCTCCTCAATACCCCTGCAGCCAAGGGTTTCTTCGGCCGAGCGAGCGCAGCTTCTCAGGTATGGTGGAACCTCAAGTCGTTTTCGGCATTTCGAGCGAGGAAAACGATGATTTTTGGTAAGGTCTGGACTTCACGGTACCGACCAAACCGATCAAGCCCCACCGCGTGTGGTGGCAGTCTGCGGGCGAGCAGCCAGATACGAAGAGGCTGCTCCTGAAGCAATTTCGGGCAAGGCGCTAGGCTTCGTTTCTGATTTATTGCGCCGACTGACGCTAGCTTTTTAAACTCTTGGACTCAACCATCACGGGTTGCACAGGGGCCGGAAAGACCGGGAAGTGCTTGGTTCTCACAGCTCAAGTGTTGTATATTACTGGCCAGTCCGTCCCGTCGCGCAGCATGTCCAAGCTCATCACGACAAAGAGCTTTCCGTTCGATTTATTCGTCCAAACAATAACCCCGGCGGTTTCCACACTATCGGGCACAGTGTAGGACAACATTCGTTTTTCTCTCATTCAAACATTCCAGTAAGAAGTCATGCAGGTTTCCACGTTATTTGTGGTCATTCAACAAGTGGATTTTAACAAAACAATTCAGTAGAATTAAGAACTTAATAAGCTATTATTGTCACGCTGTATCGTGCTTGGACCTCCAGTCAAACATCGCCAACTCAGCTCCAAGCCAAGACATCAAGACTCAGCATATAAAACATTATTGCCAACGTCTGCGACAATTCGATCATCGCCATTCGTTCTTCAGATCACCACGTCATTCACATATCCTTCATTATTCAAGTCATTCTTTCAAGATGCAAATCAACCAGTTCCTCATCGCCGTCCTTGGCTCTGCAACTTTGACCGCCGCCGCGTGTTTCCCTGGGGGAAGGGAGAGCAACTACAACCTCGACGGGGGTCCTCGTCTTGATTTCGCCTGCGAAAAGTTGATCGGAACCTTCGAGAAGAACGGAAAGAACACTAAGACCATCTGCTACATGGATGACCTCCGTACAAGATGGGATTTTGAATTGAGTGTTAGTTATAAGGGCCTGGACAATCTCTGATACACTCAAGCTGACTTCATCTTGCCAGTATATTGGAACTGATGCCGACCGCACTATTGATCTGAACGAATGCGTCGATGGTATGGCGAAAGAGGCAAGCTGCACCTACGGTGGTCGAAGGCGCTACAGCAACTGGGAGTACATGTAAGAAACCTACTCCAGCACATACACGATTTCTGTTTTTCTAAGACATATGGGCTGACTTGATGTTCAATTAGGGCTGATCCGAATGACGGCCCATGCCCTGGTGCATTCAGCATGAACAGTACTCGCATTGGTGTGAGCGAATACGATGGAGACTTTTGATGTGTGATCACGGCCGCCTGTATCGAGCGTATAAAATTCTCTTGTCAATATTTCAGAACGAAAGCTCTACCTTTTGTCAATTCATATCATATTTCCTCAGACTGTCTGTGCTCTGGTAAATCGTGTGACAGTTGAAGCTACATGTATCGATGCGACAGCCCAACCCAGACTCCGCGTTGATCAAAGGTTCTTGGTCAAAAAACGCTGGAACGATGTATGTATGTGTCCGGCCTAGTATGTAATTTCTTGAACGCATGTTATGTTCTCCTCCGCTGTCTACATGTAGTGTCATCTAACCTAAGCTTGTGAGAACTGAGACCAAGCAGTGAAACATCATGCTCAAGTGACGTTGACTTTACATCCCCAAAGCGATCGTCAAGTATACTTCAAATGCGCCGTATGTTTTATATGGTCTGGAACAACGAATAAAGAGGGGGATAGATAAACTGTTCCTCAACAGCTCACATCGATATCTTAGGTATTCTCAAGCTCACTCAATGCCGTTCTTCCCGTATAAAAAAATATTTAACCAGACATTCAGATGATTGATATGGCCTTCAACTGATTCAGCTACAGGAAGAACTTATTCGAGCCTTAGTCAGCTAATAGCATTGAAGTATGTTTACAAGCTAATCGTTCCATAAGCGTCTTGATATCCAATTCCGGCATTTCGCTCCAGAAGCTTCCATGATTGAAAGCCTCGAGCTTTCATTTAAGAAATCAGCCTACTCATCTGATTTTTAAACATGAGCATCGGATGAAACTGAAACAACAACAATTCCGACTGATTCACCCTCTGAGATCAATCGGCTGCTTAACCTATATCCCCGCACTAACATTGATTCAACAACACAAGCTGGAAGCTAAGGCTACTGGTAGTTGATGTGTATCTTATGGCCTTAATTCTTGACGTCGCAGGGATATAAGAGTATTCATTTCTTTTCAATTGGATTAGTTTCATGGAACATGGCGATGTCTCGCAGATCTCACGGCTAAGATGCATCTTCTGATGGTCTGTCTGTGGTCGTCATGTGAACCCCCAGCGACTTACCCCCAAGGATGTTAAGTCAGTTCATTAAATATCTAGAAAACCTGTCTGCATCAGATATGCTTAATTGAGAACAGATTCAATCACTGTTCGGAATGCCTTGGAGTTTAAGCAGGTGACCAGGGTATGCTCCCACCTGTGCTGACAGACCAAATAGCTGAAGACATGCGACGTTGCTGCAACAGTTTGTTCGGCAACGGTTTGCCTACAAGCAAATTTAGACCCTTTTGAATTGAGCGGAACAGTCTGATCAAAATTACTCAGTTGTGCGAGAGTCTCGTATCCCATTTTGTCATTGCCTCATTCGGTGTTGACACGGGGATTCTCAGACGGTTTCAGAACTCGAGACGAACCAAACGTGAGCTGCTTGTTGCGCCCCCATCCCCACCACGCTTCCCGTCAAGTCTCGTCTCAAGTTTCCCGAGTGGGATGAAATTCGTCCATTTGGGGCATAGTCCCATCAATCACTGAAGCATCAAACCATTCATTCGGTGACGGGTAGCCTAGGTTTCGGGCCGCCTCGACATTAGCGACGAATAGTCCCTTGACAATGAGGCTCCTTACCTAGCCCTGGCTTGCCTCAGCGCATCGAAAAGTCCCCATGATCGACCGCTGGACCCAGCATCGTAGGGCTCAGGAGAATAATCCCGAACCCCTCGCAAACAAACAATCATGCGTTAAGGTCCTATAAAGAGAAAGCCTCGGCGCCTCAATTTGGCCCTCTTCCCCTCTTTCCTTAAGCCAGTCTTCCCAGTCTATCTTGTTTATTCTTCAGCAAATCGCCTTTCCATTCTTTCCGCTGCGCGGCCACATTCACTAAACACTATTATCGACGACTCCACACTAGAATACTCATCCTTCACGCCCATCGGCCAAGATGCAATTCTCTATTACCGCTGTTCTCTTGAGTCTCGCCGCCGTCTCCTCGGCCGCCATCGCTGATGTCGAGGGTGTCCGTAACGTCGAACGCAGCTCGCTCGTTCTCGAGGCCCGCCAGAACAAGCCCAAGGCAACCGGCAACTGCTGTATTCCCAACACGTCTCTGAAGCAAGATGCTTGCACTGATGCTGCCGGAGCTGCCGGCAAGTGCGTACCAGGAGGCCCCGCGGCATGTAAGTTATCTTCCCAGTATTCGCATATGCAGAACGTCTCTGTCCCTCCCTCACTCACTGCAGTGCTGACAATGCTGGAATTTGATAGGCGGTGGTGCTCTGAACTGTGTTGCAACCACCAGTCTGTCATGCGACAATAACGTGAAAGAACGCTCTGGTGTCCTGTGCCGTTTCAAGCTGCCTAACGGCAAGCTCCAGGACGGCGTCAACCAAATCAGTAACCTGGGCCAGGCCAAGGTCAATTAAGCAAACGGCAGGCCTCCAGGAATTGCGCTTCCAGGTCAGAGTTCTGAAGTCTATAGCGATTCAAATCAATACAAACTATATGGTTGACTGGAATTCAAATGGCATATTCACCGGCGTGATTTCAATTGATCTTATTGATCCTAGAGTTCTGTTGTAGACACTGGCTTCTTTGATTGTACAGATAGCAAGCAACTCGTTCAGTAAATTGTGCCGGGGCTACGATGTTGGTACCTCATTCAAGCTGTCAAAGACCTACATTACGGGTCGGGTGCTGCGATTGGGCGCCGTTTGCTATTAGAAGGTATCATCAACTCGGATTTAAAGTGCATGTATCAACATTCTGCTCTGCCCACCCGGAAAAACGGAGGTGAAACGCGGATTACGGGTATCTCGGGTTGCAGTTGATTCGCGCATGGGTAATTGTAGACCTGGAGGAGACTAGACCCAAAAGCGGAGGTCAATTCCTCACTCATGCGGGAGGGCAAGCTCAAGAGTTGGATACCGGATTTCTGATTCGATGGTTGTACGAAAGGATGCAATGCAAGGTAAAGGGTCCTGCTTCTTTCCTATTGCTCGGAGACTGGAATACCAACAAGGGGCAGACCCGAGAATTCGACACTGGATGCGCTTCTGTGATACGTGGAAGACTTGCTTGATCAGGAAACCATCTCCGCCCAGTGAAGAACGCGCTCGGGGGTAACGGCCACACTGCCAAGCATCCGAGCCAGAGAAGGGAGGGGGAACACCATTTTTGGGCCGTTAAATATCACTGACATTGTCGCTTCGCGATTACGCGAACGTTGCCAAAAGAATACCCGAATTTTTGGTTCAATTCTGCGAACCTGACGCCTTGAAAATGTCTCGCGCCGAACCCGCAGAGACGGTCCCGGACCATGAAGTCGTTATTGCGGCAGATGATGCGGTACATGCTTTTTCCCGGTTTAGCGACTCCTGTTCGCCCACATTAGCTTACGATAAACACAGCCCGTGATTGACGACGCTGCATCTGACAGAGCATCGGTGAGAACTATGAGGCCCGCCGCATCAACCATCTTGGTCTAATTTTCTTCGCAGAGCTTGGCATCATCAAGCACAAGTGTTGCTGCGTCAGTCCTCAACTACCGGCAGGAAAACGGGAGAACTTACCATGCATACAAGGATGGCAGTGAGTTTCCAATTTGTCTGCATACGGCGTCGAAGTGAGGCTGCTGACAACTGGTAGAATACAACTTGCCGAACGATGAACTGGAGAACGACCGGCTGGGTAAGCGACTGGAATCATGCCTGGAGATCAAGACCGTCTAACAGTGAAAAGACCTCCAACACAACCTGTTCCTCCTGACTTTTGACGACAAGCTTGGGAACGCTCCTCCTAACGACAAGGATGCTAAAGTTGGAAGAGTATTGGATGTTGGGACAGGCACCGGAATCTGGGCGGTCGAGTTTGGCGATGAGCACCCAGATGCCGAAGTGCTTGGGTTTGACCTCTCAGCTACCTTCCCTGAGTTGTAAGACAATTTTGCAGGCTCGATGAGAGCGACTGACTGCTAATTCGGATCTTCAGCATGCCCCCCAACGTCAAGTTCGAGGTCGATGATCTCGAAGAGCCCTGGACGTACTCACAGCCCTTTGATTACATCCACAGCCGGATGATGAACGGATGCATCAATGATTGGGACGCCTACGCAAAGAAGTGCTTCGAGTAAGTTCAGCTTTTGATGCGATTTTCAAGACGTTTGCATCGAAGGGCGAGGCAAGCTTAGGCTGACTGATGCGTCAATAGCAATCTGAGCCCTGGTGGATATGTCGAATTCAACGAGACACCACTCAAGCCTATGAGTGATGATGGCACTCTGAAGGAAGACGCGCAGATCCTGAAGATTGCTGGTCTGATTCAACAGGCCTCAGAGAAGGGTGGACGACCAACCATTGACATCAACAGCTTTAAGGACGTCCTCATTCGTGCAGGTTTCGAAGACGTCAAGGTGCTTAAGTACAAATGGCCAACAAACACGTGGCCCAGAGACAAGAGGTTCCAAGAGATCGGGGCTTGGAGTTTTGAGAACATTGTGGCGGGTTGGGATGGACTCTGCATGGCTATGCTGACGAGATTTCATGAATGGACGAAGGAGGAAGTCATTCTCTCCAACGCGCTGTGTCGCAAGGAATTCAAGGACAAGAGCATTCACGCATACTGGCCGCTGTAAGTCTAACTCCCACGTCGGCTATGGAGGCTTTATCTGACACCTTCTAGGTACTCGATTTATGGCAGGAAGCCTCTGAAGTCAGAGTAGATGACAGTTCCGAAGTCGAATAACTCGGCCGAGATGCGCCAATTTCGTACACAAAAAGAGTTCCATGTTCATCATAATCGGTGCTGCTTTTACAATTGCCGATATGCTTGCGGATGAAAGATTAAATTCATATGAAATCAATGCCTCAGAGTCCATTGTCATATCTTTCTTGCCTATCAGTATCGAGACGAGCCCCCTCTCGCCGTCACAAACCGTGTTAATCTTTGGGCCGCCCCCTTCCTACGGCCTTTTCCTCGGGGTGAATTCGTATCTCACGCATCCAACATCGATGTGTCCGCCTCGACCCTGATTACCCTTGCCTGTGCTCATGTTAGTGCTTGTACGTCGTATCATACCCAAGTTGGAGTCGGCGACAACTTACATTCTTCCCAGTTTTCAAACAGAAATTCATCACAAGAGTCCCCCTGCTCTCCAAGCGGGCGTAAAGAGTTCACGTTGTCGAGGGCCATCTGGCAGTCGCTTTTCCAACTAACCGCAGCATAGTATGGAACACCACCAATCGTCCAAGCGGCATCCTGGAGCTTCGACTTTGCGTTCATAAGGCGCCCATCGCTTTCTGAGACTCGTGCGCAGAGACCTACTGCAATCTTCTGTACTTCGCTTTCTTGGATATCGCCCTTGCCCATGTAAACACTTGCATCATTGCACTGGCGCTCGCCAACTTCCAGTGGTGCCTTCGGCTTCTCTGGCGGCGTCGGTGAAGGTGACGGTGACGGTTTCGGTGTCGGTGTTGGTGTTGGTGTTGGTGTTGGTGTCGGTGTTGGTGTATGGGAGGCCGGGTCAGAAGTGATTGTCAATAGAGTGGTTTGACTTGTGGTCGTTCTCTTGGGCGGCACGTCGGGAAAGACACAGACGCATTTCCCGTCGACACAGCCGTTGACTTGAGGAGCGCTGCAGATGACGGCAGGAGAGCACTTGTCAGCCGTATCATCGGTGCAAACAAAGCCAGTAGGCGCAGACGTTGTACTTGTCGTTGGCGAAGACTTGCTCGGAGAGCCTGCTGATGCAGTTGGAGATGTGCCGGGTACACATTGACCAGTCAACACTGAAGCACCCTCTTGTCGGCGAAGTCTGACCAAGTTCGTAGCTCCCGCAATGTAAGGGCAGTATCCTTCTCGCTCAAGACTAGCAATAGTTGCACCGTTCCAAATTCCCAAGACACCCTCATTTTGAGGAGATCTGACCCAGCCGTTGTTGATGATGTATTTCTTCAGCCCGCCTGGGCTCATGTCAGGGGGGTTTCCCTTGGCGTCGGGGCCGAGTTGGCCTAGCTGATGGAGTTTCAAGAAGTAAGCAGCAAGTCCTGCTACGTAGGCGGTTGCTGTTGGAGCCCATGTTAGCTCGACGCTCCATGCCACGAGAAAGTTGCTGCTTACAGTCCGATGTACCTTGAGAATCCTTATAGCTAGGTCCGTCTGTGTCCCATTTGCCTTTGTTTCCATTTGCAACGATGATGTTGTATCCTGGCGCGTAAATATGAGGGAGGTCATTGTTTGGGTCAAATCCGGATATCCACGATCTCTTGCCCGTAGCAACGTCAGCAGCTCCAGTAACTAGCAATTCTGGAATATGTAACCAGTCACCACGATGCTGTGGCGTACCAACAAGGACTGTTGAGCCTCCAAAGGCGGCAGGCCATACGTTCATCTATACGTTGCAGATTAGATCATTTCGAATATTGGATGGAACTGTATTTTCGACTTACAAAAGCGCTGTTTCCAGCACCAGTGACAACAAAAACTCCTTTGCGAATGAGACGTGTCAAGATTTGGTGCAGACGTACTTTGTACAAGCGAAAGGCTTCATGTGCTTCTTCTGTCGGGCCCGTGTCTGACTCGGCTCCTATGCCGTTTGCGTTCTTCCAATTGATCCAGAAGCCGTCAAGGGAGTGGCCTTGAGACAGGGAAAGAATCGCTCTTGTTGTCGTGCTCTCGTCCGAGAAGGTAGATTCGACCATGGCATAAGCTTGCAGCCAATGTTCTGCGGAAGCGCCTCCGCCGAGCGTGTTCCGCCGTGGTACACGCACTACAACTGGCTTGATCTTCTTGGAGATGCCTATGTGAGCACCGGCCACGATACTTAACATGGCGGTACCATGCGGGTTGCATCTGACCTTGTCCTTCGGGTTTTGGCAGATACCATTCCCTGGAACACCAGAGTCGTCTCGTGGTTGTCTGCCATCATGGTCTTGGCCAACAAACATGAATTCCGTTTTAGCGGCTATGTTATCGCGCTCAGTGAACTCCTTTTGATGAGTCAGTACATACATACCAAGATGTTCCAATGCTAGAAGTGGAAAGCGTACGGTGTGATCCATCTGTGCTCCAGTATCCACAATGTAAACAGGTATGTCCTCACCAGCGCTGACGTCGAAGAAGTAGCGTTCGTTGAATTTAAGGTCTGTGGCGCCTTCGTTTGCAGATATGTAGGCCATTTGTGCTTTGTGATCTCCCATGGGAGCATCTTCGCTGTTTTGAAGATAATGATTCTGGTATCTCCATGCAAAGCTTGATTCTGGTATTGGTTCCAGTACTTGTATGGTTGGGTCTTGACATCCTGATATGCATTCTCGATACACCGATGCGACCTGAATCAATTCAGTTAATACGACGAGCATTGGCCACACAAACTGTCGTCTCACTTACATTCGTTATGTTCTTGAGTGTCTCGGCTTGATCCTCGTCTAACGAGACTCGCCAGAAGTTGACCCCAAGGTCTTTCGTATCAGAGACCTCTATTCGAATATCGATTGGTAGAGCCCTGATCATTTCTTCATGTATAGCGGCCGTCTCGTCGGCTTTCGTACCGTCTCTGGGCCAGACAATGTATACTTCCGCCATTGGACAAGCGGGGGCTCCAGCTTCATCGGCCTGGCGTCGATTGCTGCCCGTGGGTGCTGGTGTACAAGAGATGGTTGTTGTCGTCGCCGTTACATCGCAGCCCGTCTTTGGAAGCCTCGTCCTTGTCGAACATGCTGTAGTTCCGCTGCATGTGACGAAAACATCGGTGGCAGTCACAGTTTCACACTCAGACGTCTTCGTGACTGTTGCTTCGTGAGTGGAATCTCTGACCAAGCAGCCGCGGATTTCTCCACATGTAGGAGCAGGCACTATTGAAGATACTGTCATGAGTGCACCGTCCACGGTAGAGACGACGAAAGACGTGGTGGCAGAGCAAAGGGATGCGGTCTTAGTCTCGCACTCGGTAGGCTCGGGCTCTGACGGGAATGTTGGAATATGGTTTTGTCCCACGCTGGTAGGGCAAAATCGAATAAGTCAGCTTCAACCGTCATAATCATGTACGTGAGACCTTACGTGAACTTGGGCCATGGTGGGAGTTCGCCATGAATCTCGATCGGCTGGGGAAGCTTGATAAGTTTAATGGGAGGGGGCCCACTACAGTCGCGCCTTAGTGTCAGCAAGTCGGGCTGTTCGTGATAACATGGAGGCCTAGTATCAAATGAAGAGAAAGAAAACGTCGTACGGGAGATAGATGCCGGGAGGCAAGATCATCTTCCATCCCAGAATGTTTATAGCATCAAATCGGAGGCAAATCTGAGGATGAAAACTCTGGTCAGCTTAGACTCAACGATGTTTTTCAATAGAACCAGACCTACAGAGAAGAACCACAAAGCGCAAGGGATCAAAGCGCCGTTATCATCATCGTCTGACGGCTCTGGGGTTTTGATGTCCACCTCGATCGGTGTAATAACGGCATTCTCCGGCCACTGAGTGAATGTTGCCAGATTTGTGTTATGTCCTGTGGTTGTTGCAGTCCGAATTTCTGTCTCGGATTGCGCTGACGAAGGCTGTATTGATGTAGTTGTGGTGGTTTTCACAGGCTCATCCGCTTGAGATCTTGTATCTTGGACGTCGGAGGGTAAGATACTTTCCTCGATTGTGGTGTCCGAGGTTATGCTCGAAGGCCCGCTGACAGTGACTGAAGGTGAAGCCACTGAAGTAGGAAATGTCCTCGAGCTCAACGTGGACGGAGCCGAGGGCTCTAACGTGAAAGTTGACCCTAACGTGATGAGTGTGGTAACCTGGGACACGACAGGCAACGTTGCGGTCTCGGATCCAATGATGACCATGGTTGGATATATCAGTCCAGAATCTGTCTGCTGGGCGGGTGCGAGAGTGAAGGCGTGACCCAGAGTAACGAAAGTCGTCAAGGAATTGACGTTGGGAAGTGTGGCTGTTTCTGTTCCAATTACAACGACTGCTCCATGACTAACGGGACTATCCGGTGATGGAGAAGATGGAAAAGTGCTAGACGAGGCCGAGACGTCTGACGTTGGATATGCCGTCGTGGCTACATGGGAGCTGTCACCATTTCCTGCCGCCGAGGTCTGGACACTATTAGCTCCTGTGGTTCCCGTAGTCTCAACTTGATCAGTTGCGCTTGAGGCAGCTTCAGTCGTGCTGGCTCCTGCGGAATCGTCTCTGGAGGATGCCGAAGCTGATGGCCCATCGGTGTTGGCTTCTGTTGGAGAAATGACAGGTGAACTGTGAAATGTAGGAGCAGTCTCTACCGGGTCTCCAGTAGCTGAAGAAGCGGACGGCACATCTGTGTTGACTGGAGTCGGAGAAGTCGTAGGCTGGCTTTGGGTTGCAAAGGAAGTCGCTGCCGGGTTGTCGATGCCATCTGGATTCGGTGCGGGTGGTATGACGACACCATCTGGGCCAGTGCAACTGAAGTCGGCATTGCAGGTGAAAGTGTCGTTGGGGCAGCATCCAAATCCACAGCATATAGTGCCTGGTGACGCATGAGTACAGTATCATAAGATGATTCAGTATCATCGAAACACACCTGGCCCACAAAGGTTATTCTGTGAGTTGGGCGTTTCGCAGCAGGTATCTAGATCTGTACCACAGCGGTCGTGGCACCAGTACTGGCCTGGAGGACACTCCTGCGACTTGACGAGCAAGCAGAAAGTAATAAAGCCTGCCCATATGAATATCCAATGGTTCCCATGTCCAAGGCGCATAGTTGCTTGGTGACGTTTTCGGGTGATTGCTGGAGTATTTGGTAACCAGAAGAAGAAGGGCTGATGTATCAACGATGCTTGTGATGCTTATTATGTTTGGCTATTCATTCAATGAGGAACCTAAGCCTGGATTCAGGAAGGCAAACCTTCTTAAATGCACTTTCGTCGGCGCTTGATCATCATGCCCCCTTTACCTCCTGGCCCCCAGGCAGAAAATATGACTCCCTTAAGACCCCAATGCCAGCCATCCTGATCGCAGCAGTATCCCATCAGACGGTTGGGGCAGAAACAAAGTATGTGCTTCTAAATTGATTTGACCTCACATAAATGAACTCAACTGATGTTGTTGGCTTGACTACATCACCAGAGGCGCGTATCCGTATGCCGCATGCGCGTGATGCCCTTCGGGGGCGGGGGCCATGCGACGCAAATGCAGCGGTCCTACCTTGAGGGCCGTGAGGCCATTGAATACGAGAATAGAAATTTGCCAAACAGGAAATGGAGATTATCTTTGGGGGGCCTAGGATGAGCCGCTCTTGCCTGTGCTTATTCCAAGTTGGCTTTCGCCGCCGTCGTGATTCTTGCACACAGTGAGATGAGAAACGCTCATATCGTGAACGAGATAACCAACTTCTGTAAGTTTCATATACTGACTAAATGCTTTCAACTTTAGATCACTCATATTTGCCCAAATGTTGCAACAAATCCGACGATAACCATGAATCACTACCTGGGGGTCGTGGTGTCAACGCGCCTCTCGATATTCTTAATACGCCCACGCATGATCTCTTCAATGGCCCTGACCCTTCGCCGTACAACTGGCCAAAGAGGACACGCCCCGTCAGAGTATGGATGTTGACCAGCATCAGCAACTGCGAGGTTGACAACCAATATCTGTCGGGTAATTAAGTAAGCGATCGTGGCAGCACGTCAGTTGCTGTTCGACACACCTCTGGCAAGCTTTGTACCTGAAAAATATCTTCTACTCGAAGATAGATCTCCCAATAGAAGACGCCTTCTTCTATTGGTAAACGCACGGGGTTCATCCGCGTCTTACCACGCGTGATCTCGATCAGTTTGTGAAATGCCCCCACAGCTACTTCCGCATCAATACGGCACTTGATTGTTCCAGCGGCGTAGTACAATCTCGCTGACGGATCTTCTGGCTCGATTTCCAAGCTGTGCGGCGGCCAGTCAGGATTTGAGTGGCGGGGGCAGGTCTCACGCCACAGAACAAACACGACCTGAGGAAATGGAAAGTTAGACAGCTTGTCAGCTTAAATAACAAAGCTTGGTAGTTTCTTGGCAATCATACCTCTGGCAACTGTCTGGCCTCTGCGATATCCTGTTCTGTTGCGTTCACCAGCCAGTAGTTTAGACCCAAGAGCCGTGTTTCGCAGACGAAGATAAGGGCCGGATCCCCAACAATGGTAATGAGCTTTTCGTATCCGCTGTTATTGATGTCTTCATTCAAACCATGTTCAGCCGGCCAGATTTCGACGCGCCTTCTTGGTTTTGAACATGTGCAATTGTTGGGTCTGCCGTGAATACGTTCGTGTTCCATTGCAGACAGAGAATGTGCAGCCAGGAGTGCCCGGAGTTCTGCGCGCGCTGCAGCTCTGCGGGCTTCTGGATCCTCATCAGGAGATGCAGTCTTAGGGATGTCGGGAGTGGCCACAGGAGCGGTCACGGACGGACCAGCACTGCTCTCAGTAGGTGCCTCGGGAGTCGCCTGCTGATCAGAAGGTTGGTTGTCTGGAGAGAAGCAGGTTAGCTTCACGCCGGAAGGGGACGCATAGGAGATGACGGTAGCTGTATCCATCGATCAACATATGAGAGCTTACCGGCGGTGTTCTCGGAGGCCCGAGAACGAGCCTGGAGTTTGCTCTTCAGCTTTGCAATGAGCTTCATCTTCTGAGCGTGATGCTGACTGTTTGTTGAACCGAGTTAGACGTCGGTATTGAGATGGCGAAGTGTCGTGACTAGAACAGAGGAAGTTTTGGGTGTGATAGCAGAGAAGGGGATTGTTGGAGGAGCACCGCGGGGGCAAGCAATCTTCAAAACGCTGCCCCCAAGTCTCGGCGCCCATGTTGGTGCGGCTGTATGCAGTTTGCTCATTGTTGGTCCAACAAGTCACAACAGCTTCGACCCCATAGGCGCAAAACCCCTGGTAAGTAGCAGACGTCAAGTTTCTTGCTGTCAGCGGTTCTTTATTTGGCTTATGTGGTACATGTATGATTTGGTATATCTACAAATAATGACCTTAGGCCATGCATACCATCTGATATTGTCGAATCAGCCAAGCCTCGCCACATCTATTGTTTACTAGCCTCAGTGGCCCCCATCACACGTCGGTCAACCCGTCCAACATTATGCTGAACCCTGACTTCGGTCGAGATTGTCACATCTTCACCAGTTCGGCATAGTGCAAGAGAGTAATGCTAAAAAGGACCCCAATTAAAAGGCATGTATGACTGTCTAAACTAAATGGTATCATGCCACGTAACTCCTAGTATCCCATGCATCATCGAATATCCACGAGTCTGAAACAGACAGCTCAACTCCGAAGCTATCCATGTACAAATAAGTAAATAATAAGTACTCAATCTACCCAAGCCAATCCACGTCTTGTGGTACAATCGTCATCGATTTTCCGGATGTACTCGAAAGCTTTACGCATCCAAGTTCTCGGTCGAAACCTTAGATCGGTACTGGACCTTCGACATTGAGTACGACGCCTTGGTGGCCAAGATGTAGAGCAGCACCAAGATGACCAAGTCGAGGTAAGACCCGAAGACTAGGTCGACGAAGAAGGTCGCCATAAAGCTGCCAGTCAGATTGCGTCCTCCAAAGAAGAGAGCCAGCAGCTCCCAGACCTGGCGAACGAGGAAGAGCGAAGAGCAAACGACGAGAATCAGACCGGACTTTATCCGCATACGTTGTCAGCATCTCTGGTCTTATCAGTTGTGTTGAAGACAAACGCACCTGTTGCACGGCAGTGCCGCGGGCCTTCTTGCGGGACTTGGCGGAGTAGACGACGGAGCTGATGGCCATGACCAGGAGGATAGCCTGGCAGGTGAGCACGAAGATGGTTCCGACCAGTCTCCGCATCTCTCGGGCGTCGCTGTCGGACGAGTAGTTCGTGTACGAGATGCTCATGTCGAGGCAGAAGATTGTGAACGACATCAGTACGGCGAAGATGGAGCCACCGAGAGCGAAGCCACGGCCCTTGCGGAAGGCGCTGGAATCGGGCTCGCTGCCGGTCCGGAGTAGGGTGAGGGCATGGGCCATGTAGAAGAGAGCCAGGAAGGTGGCGATGTGCAGCCAGAATGTCAACCAGGTCTCGATGTTCAAGAAAGTACGGATGATTCTGTATCCGACTCGGACGAAGTCTCCTCCGTCCCATCTCATGCTCCAATCGATAGTCGGAATTTGGAAGCCCCAGGCGATGATCAGGGCGATGTGTACCCTATTGGAAGACGATGAGTTAGATATGGTGGCTAAGTCCTCGAAGGTTCCCAGTCGAACACAGGCATAGTGAAATTTTGCTGACTTACAATGCCCACAGGCCAAAGCCGGCCGTGGTGTAGTCTACCCAGCGTCGAGTAGTATCATGGCGGTATCCAGGCGTTCGGAGTAACTTGACGAAAAAGAAGATAACCGGGATAACAACAACCGCGGTGAGTACGATCCTGACGATGATCAGGGTTTTGAGGTATTTGTAGTGATCGTCCAGGTTGACTCCGTAATCCATGTTTTCCTATTATCTTCCAAATGCCTCCGATGTCGAAATGTAAATCAGTCAAACTGTCGATATCGCGGCGTCAAAATAGTCGTTGATGCTGTTGATGTTCTTACGCCGGTGATAACCAAGGAATAACCAAGACATCAACCCGCGGAGAGCGAAAGCCTTAAGTAATCCTCGGACTGGAATTCCCGCGATAGAAATCAACCTTGGCGATGAGCCAATAGCCTTGGTTGTCTCGCATCTAACATCTCCGCTCCAGGCTGCAATTATCACCCCAGCCGGGCGACGGCTGTGCTGCCGCTAACCCCGGTCGGTCGGTCGCCCGTACCAACACCCCGTATTCCTTCGAAAGCAACGCAGCAAATCAAAGACGAAAGCCAAGAGAAAATGGCTGCACGTCGACCCTTGCATCTCAGTGAAGTGTAAGTCGGCTGCCCATCTCAATCACTGCCCGAGACACAAGCACCACAAGGAAGCGCACATGGCGGGCTCTTACTTGACGTACGGGGCGGTGACACGCAACCGCGCCTCTATTTTCGGTACACAGTTCGCGGGTAGGAATCCGTCAATCGCGAGTGACGATCGTTGTCGTTATTGGCGAATGGGATATGCGAAGGCATGATTGGGGTGTTTGGTGTACATGGTACGGATAACGATATGCTACATTGTACAAGTTTTCAGACAATCCGGCAGGTGGCTGACATCCACGTCCGGCTCTTTTGGCGTTTCCGGTTCCTAGGCTAAGAGCACTCAAAATTCAAGCTTAATTGATTCTTGGCTTGCCTCCACCAATACATCGGATGTGTTAGTGGTAGACTGACGTAGGAGACAACCGCTTTTGGGCAGAAATTATTATTAGTTTCATTGGCACCCTTGAGCCGATTCTCATAAAACACTGAAGACTCAAGAGATCGACTGGCGATGAGGCTTGTGAGGTGTAGCCAGCGGCTAGCGAGAGTGAGGAAACCTGATGCACCGCCTTTTCAAAAGAAGAAAAGGATCTTCCTGGCCATTTCCCTTTTCCGCAGTCTCAATGAGTGCAAGCCAACGGATTTGGAGGTCCAGGCTGGGCTGACTAGATGGCAGTGTTGCTGCGACCACATCAGGCAATAGGGCCTTGGCGATACTGACCATGTCACGTCAGCAGCGGTTCAAGATTCTAAACAAACTAGTGCCTCAGTGCGAGCTTATAGCCAGAAAGATAACAGTAACTCACATTGACTTTACTTCTGTACGATTCGATTGCGAACGTAGAGGCAACGAAGTGTTAATGGCTTTTCAATATGCGCTGCTCCGCAACTGGTTTCGGGAACTCGGCGCTGTGCCGCGTTACGCAGGGCTATGTTCATCCGTAGACAAAACTGAGAAACATGTGAATTGGCAGGCGCTGTTGTGCCGGAACACAATACTTGATCATTACTGCCTTGCATTGGGAATTGCCCTACATGCTCTAGTCTTTATTGAAAATACCATGTACCGAAGTTTGTTCAAGGTGAAACCACCCGGCATGTTCATGATAGATAGGTGAATAATCACCATATTCAAGTCGTAATGAACTGAAGAGAAAAATCAGAAATGAAGAGCACCAAGGAGGATTTGGTGCCTCCGCAGGATGTGGGTTCTTCTGTCAGTGTTATTTGACGGAAAGGGTTCAAAGAACACTAAGGCTACTTAGAAACTTATTGGGGCATCTTTTTGGATGATCATATTCAGCATGCGTTTTCCACGTAGTTTCATGGACTGATTAGAGCCGAAGAGGAAGGCTTGCTGCATTGTATTGCGTGGCGAACACGAGAGTTGTCATGCATTGAGAAGGTCGGCAGTTGTCGGAGCGTTCTCGACTTCATCCTGAATCCTTCCTCCACTTTAACCATCATGTTTGCAACGTCAGGAGTGGGAACCGACGATGCACATGTAGATAATTTGGATGCCTAAACAGCTGTAGTGTCTGAATACGGAGACGATCTGCGAGTTGCGACAAAACAACCAAAACCCGTATTTCACGGTCTGTTGGGGAATGGATATGCATGTATATCGCTAGGTATGGCGATATTCCGAACAGAGGAAGAACAAGAAGGGTTGCTTCATTTCATTACGCGGCATATCTCGTCATCGTCTGCTGGAAAGATGTTTGCGGGAATTTGCTGCTAGCAATGACGCCAGAATAGTCTTCTATTAATCGCAACGGCAAATTGTCTTAACGATCTACTTCTCCTCCTCAGCAACGTACTCTTCAGGCGCAACAAAGTCTTCAGATGCCCAAGTCTTCGCAATGTACCTGGGAACGTGTCAGCGTCTTATCGCCAACTCAACTTGAACCACAACTGCTTGAACTCACTTGGTATGACTTCCTCTCGCGGCGAGTTCTCCCTTCTTATTGAAGAACTGAACGGTGGTATACGCGAGGGTTCTTCCCACTGCGGGATGTCAGCCTGACCAACCGGTACTGTGAATGAGATGGGCAGCGGCCTTACTCTTATCGCAGATGGCAGTGCCAGTCATGATATCACCGGGTGTGCCTCCCGGGTTCAAGTATGTGACTGTTCTGATTAGGATTCATTGCGCATGAGATGTAATCGGGTACGGACCGTTGATATCGGTTGAGACGCCAGTCATGAAACGACCCTTGGACGCGACAGCAAGGGAGCCGCCAAGGTCGACGAGGCTGGCAAGTGTGCCTCCATGGATAGTTTGCAGGCGGTTCTGTCATCGATCAACGTTTAAGACTTGTACGTATGAAAACAAATCCATACCGTGTGCTCCTTCTGAATAGCCAGCTCAAACTCGACCTTACCGACTGACGCGGCGGTCACCCGAAACTGCAGTTGAGTGAGCCGATGAGCCATCATCTCCACCCAGTCATAAAATCCCATACATTGTTTCCTAGCAATCTTGCATATTGTCAGCGTTCAGTCTATATAGAATACCGGAATTAGTGCGGTAAATGAGAATACGCAGTGTTGCATGAATAAATGCGAGGAAAGCAACTTATCAAACTCACCTCGGCTCAAGTCCGGAGTCTTTGGAGAACGAGTTGAGAACCTGTGACGTCAATCAGCGGCGAACACGGGACCAATAGAGTGATCAGACACTCACAGATCGCACAAAGCGAAGAGGAGGCATCTTAGGAGGCATCTTAGCGGCTTGAGAGACGGTCAATTGCTGCTCAGTTGTGAAATTCGAGACGGAAGCGAGTGAGTTCGGCGAGCTTCGGCAATTGAAGGCAAGCACACTCAGCGAATAATATGACGTGCGTACCAAACCGTCATCTCATCGCCGGATAAGATGAGCGATAAGCTCCGCGATAAGATAAGACCAGGCAACAGTGGGTCCCGAGGCGGAAAGTTCCGCTGGCCTGGTAATCCCTGTTGAATGATTGAATGACGGCCTGTCGCAAATAATCGTTCAAACTCCCAATTCCAAAATCGACAACTTTCGATTCCCTCTCTCGAACGATCGCCCGCGCCGCCGGCGGACAAGCTTCCCTCCGCACGCAGCTTTCGCGCCTTCCTCCGAACCATGAGATAACACACGAAATAGAACGACGAACGCTTCCTCCCTCCCCTCCTCCCTCCGCCAAACAACCTCGCGCAGAAATCGCCCACCATGTCGGTCAGCTCGGGTCAATCGCTCCAGCTGGCCGACTACCTGGAGAAGCTGCCAGGCACCACGTTCAGGAGACTGTATCTGCAGCCTTCGACGGCCTTTGCCATATTCCGGAGGATGATACCGCCGCTGGGTGAGAAAAATGCTGCTGCTCAGAAAGCCTGTCGTTCGTGCAGTTAACCAGAGACCTCAACGCAGCCAAAACGATAGTCATGGCCATCCTCTACATGCCGAAGCCGATGCCCCTCGAGGACCTCGACCTCTGGGTGAAACCAGAAGCGCGACGGTACTTGCCCATCGAAATCCCTTTCAGCGTCACGCTTCTCTAACACACTCCCTTCAGGCAAAAAGACATGGCCCTCTCGACCATCAAGAGCCTGCACATCGTCCACATCACGGCCCCCTCCAAGGAACGCCCGCAGGAGATGCAGCTCACGACGAACTTCAAGACCTCCCTCCGCCTCGCCCTCGAGGGCGGCGGCTCCCACAACTCCTTCGGCGTCCCCTCCAACCTCCCCGTCCCGCCCGAGATCACCGTCCCCTTCCTCGACCGCTACGCCCGCCGCAAGTGGGACGACATCCTCCACTACATTGTCAACACCGTCAACCCCGGCTCGGCCGATCTGGGCGGGCCTAAGTCGTCCGTCAAGAACCTGCTCGTCGCCGGCCAGCTCGTCCGCCGCAACGGCTCCGCCGTCTCCATCACACAGGCCGGCTTCACCTTCCTCCTGCAGGAGGCCAACGCCCAGGTCTGGACCCTGCTGCTGCTCTGGCTCGAGGCCACCGACCACGCCCAGGACTCCGCCGGCATGGAGAGCACCGACATGCTGAGCTTCCTGTTCCTCCTCGCTAGTCTCGAGCTGGGACGCGCCTACGACACGGACGCCCTGACCGAGGAGCGGCGCAACATGCTGCCAAGCCTGATGGACTTCGGACTCATCTACATCCCCGGCCACAAGCCGAGCCAATACTTCCCGACGCGCCTCGCGACGACGCTGACGAGCAGCTCTAGTGCGCTGCGCAGCGCGAGCGCAGGCTTCTCGGCGGCTCTCGCGGCAGCCTCCGGCCCGCGTCCTTCGAACGGCATCACGCCCGGCGGCAGCGACGACGCCAAGGGCGGCAGCATCATCGTGGAGACGAATTACCGCGTGTACGCCTACGGCCAGACGCCGCTGCAGATTGCCGTCCTCTCGCTCTTCTGCAAGCTCAAGCTGCGGTTCTCCGACATGGTCAGTGGCCGCTTGACGCGCAACTCGATCCGCAACGCGGTCGAGCGCGGCATCACCGCCGACCAGATCATCTCGTACCTGGCGAACCACGCCCACGAACAGATGCACCGCATGGCCGCGGTCCGCAGCCGGCCCGTGCTTCCCCCGACGGTGGTCGACCAGATCCGACTGTGGCAGCTGGAGACGGAGCGTATGACGACGACGAGCGGGTTTCTGTTTCGCGATTTCGACAGTCCTAAGGAGTATGAGGATATCGCGGGCTACGCGGCCGAGATCGGGGTGTTGGTGTGGCGCAACGACAAGCTGGGCATGTTCTTCGCTAGCAAGCACGAGCAAATTAGGGATTATCTCAAGCTGAGGAAGAAAGCGGAGGACTAGATCGCGGGCAACCGAGGGTTACAGGCGCTGAGTATACAAGGTCACAATGCATTAGCAGGCGTTGGGGAATAACGGGCGGTGTAGAAGTAAATGGGTATTGGTTCCTAACAGCTGAGTTTTCGTCTCTCATAGCCCTCATATATACAGATGCAGGGACTGCTCGTCCTTTGTACAGGTCTTCCCGATAACTGTCTCGTGACAGTAAAACAATGCCATATTACCTTCCCGGTATGCCTTCCAGTTTGTCCCAGAACAAAACGCCAATCCATGCTTTTTGTCGCACTAATCCTCCATGTAAAGTTGAGAGACGCCCGATTGCTCCTCAAAAAATGCTGGCCCGCTTGACGGCACGATACTTGCCCTCGATAACCTGTTTTTCAGGTCGACCAACCGCGATGCTTCGTCGTCCACCAAAGATGCGTGCCACCAGTCCCTTATCCTTGTCCATGCTCACGCCTTTGGGGAGGAGTGCCTCACGGTTGTTTCTGCGCGCGTAAATCTCCTGCCAGTCACGCAGGCTCTTCTGGGCCTCGGGGGTGGCGCAGAGCGAGTCGAGATGCAAAAAGATGCGCAGACAGCGGTTGTCGTCGTCGGATAAAAGGTTAGCCTCTCGGCTGACGGCAGCGCTGCCGTACCGATCAAGCGCGGTAGTTGTGCTGAGAGGGAGATTGCCCCTGCCCTGATAAGCTGCTCGCTGGGCGGAGAGAAGCGTAGACTTGGACGCATGGGCTGATACAAGAATAGCAAGAGACTGAGGCTGCAAGTCTTCGTTGTGAAATCGATCGTGGAGGGATTGAAATCGGCCTGTCCAGTACGGTGAAGGCTGAGCCGCGGTAATGATAAGAGGGTTCGTCTCAGCGCTCGTGGGAGTAGGCGCTCTAGACGTGTCCGTGGTGAGGGTGGTAAGAGTTGATGAGCTACTGATCTTTCGGGATGACACCGTCCGGTTGGACGTCTTGCGGTCGCTTCCGCTGAAGCTAGTGAGAGAAGATCTCGATAGAGATGCCGTGAGGTTGGACAAGACAGTCATTGTGCGCGACTTGGGGATACGTTGCTTGTCTCGACCTCCTGGGCTGGACGGCCGATGAGGGTTGAGCTTGAAGGGTGCGACCGAGTTCGGGCTGCTCCCCGACGAGGAGAAGCCTGCGCTTTGCTGGCGCTTCGAGAGCGGAGGCCGGGTCTCATCGTCTCGACAGGCTGCTGTGCCGGTGACTGCGTGAACGTCGAAGCTGGCGACGGTGGGGTTGCTGGACAGAGGTCCTCCTTCTGGGAAACTTGCTGAGAGGCGTCGGACGTGGGAGTGTGCCACTTCGCTTGAGGTCTTTGGTGCTGTGGGCAGACGTCGTTCTCCGAGGCGTTGACCAGAGGTGAGTGATGGAATTCTTCCGGAGCCGTTGGGCTTGTAAGGTATTTCTCCCAAGACGCGACGATCCGCACGATCAGTGCGTTCCTCAGACGGTGAAACGGACTGTTCGACTGTACGAACGTGTAGTGCTCCATCATGTCCATGGCCTTCCTGGGTGCGGCTGCCGATGCCGTCATCTGGTCCTTGCAGCGAGACTCTTCCTCGCACAGGACGCGGCATTCCTCTTCCTCGGTTTTCACTTGCTCGATTTCCTCTCGGCTGCGCGGACGCAGGAATGGGGCGATGGAACTGGCGAGGGTGTGCAGGAGGGGGTTGGAGATCTTCAGGCGGTCCCACGTGAGTGTCGTTGATGCTGTCGACGATGGTGATAGCTTCGGCACGCTCAATGTCAGGTCCGTTGTTGCGTCGGACTGGTCCAACGGGGCCAGAGATGATCGGTCGGGCGACGCCATGTCCGGAGACTCGCGAGCCTCGGTTCCGCAAAGGCAGGAACGAAGAATTTGATAGACGGTCTCGCATTGTTCCAGTACGACGACGAAAACGGAAATCAACAAAACGACGAAAAGAAAGAGGGTGTAGGGGATGATCCAGACAAAGGCGGAAACGGAAACCAGCCAAGCAGTGGCCGCGCTCCTCAAGGCTTGCGAGATGATGAGATAGACGTGATAAAAAGAAGCGAAAGCAAGCTGAAGAGCAACTTGCAATGTCCTGCCACAAACTTGCCAGAGATACAAGTTGGCCTGGCAGAGGGAGAAGACGTGGATGAAGAGGGTGGAGATGCAACTCGTGGTATGGGAGAAAAGCACTAGGCCGACGCTTTCGGATTTGGCGGAGGGCATTGTTGAGGACGAAAGGTGAATTGAAATGAATTTTTCTCCGCTTCAAATCAGACGACAGAGCATTCGGCTGAGAGAACCGAGACGACGAGCACCTGGGTGAACAGGCCGTGGGATCTAAACGTCGCCTTCAGATGAAAAGGTGCTCTGATGTTTTGGTATCGTTAGATGGTTTGGGGGTTACGCGTAAATCAAGTGCACGGTCGAGGGTGGTGATGATTTATATGCGCTTCTCCTGCAGCAGCTGCTGCTATTGCAGATACGGCCAAGGCAAGAGGCATTTGAGGGAGTGGTTTCTCGTCTCGTTAATTATCGCGAAGGGTCCTGCCGCAGTATCAAAACACCAAGATTTTGGACGCAGGCGCACCTTTCCTCATCACGATGACACCTCCCTCGCTTGGTCACCGACACCTTCCCAGAATGGCTGCTGCACGTGAATTCCACTCTATATTTACTTCTAGTTCAACAAGCCGCAAGAGTGTCCAAGTAGCTCTAGATCGCCTCCTTCTAATCCAGATAGGTCTCAGCTCTCCCACCCCTCGATCTTGAAGCGAAATACCTCGTCGCCCTTGCCCCTTTCAATTGGATTACCGTTGCCGTCCCACAACGCTCTTTCTCGGTACGACACATTGCCATCCCAGTCGACCATGATGATTGTCTGTCGCTGAGTTCCGTACAAGCCAACCTCGAAGCCCATGTTCGCCCCTGCCGGAGGGTCTGGTCGCTCGCCCAACTGGAGGCCTTCCGCCGCCTTCTGGTCGTCCGTAGCAAAGTGACCCGGTCCCCTGGACACTGCCTCCTGCATCGCTTTCCGGTGCGACTCGTCGCCAATGGCGGGAACGAAAATGGACTGCTTGAGCTCCTTGATGTAGTCCGCCAGGCTCATATCTGGGTGCTTTGGCAGGTTGTCGGTGTCGAGCACGCTGAAAAGGCGCTCGGCCAGGGCCTCTTCGTCCAGGTCTTTCGAGACGGCATCCTGGATGGCTTCTTTGACGAGCCTTTTGCCGTTCTCGACCTTGGGCCATGGCTTCGGGTCGTCATACACCGTGTTGCTGAGGCCGTAGACCTCACCCCTTTTCTCGGCGATCCACGGCACGTCCTGCAAGTTGTCGCAGCGGTTCGAGACAATGGCGATGCCCTCAAGTGCGCGGGCGGGCTTCTCATCGTCGCCGCGTTTGCGCTTCAGCTTCCCGGCTACCATGGAGAAGCCGCCCACACCCTTGACGCCGCCGTCCTTGACCAGGGAGTCAACCGAGTCGGAGGCGGATTCCGTCGGGGCGGAGCCGAGCCAGTGGGTAACCATGCCGCCACGGCTGCGGGCGGCGTGGATGGGATGAGTGGCATCTCCGAGGTTGGTCTCGCGGTAATTGGTGAGGACGGCGAGATGGCCCGTCTTGGTGATGCCTAGCCACGTGCCCTTCTCTGCCCTCTGGAGGTCCCGGGCGGAGAGGACGGAGGCGCCGGACGGATGGGACCACCAGTGCGGCCGGGAGGTGGGGCGGAGGATGAACTCATCGCGGTTGTCGACGACGATGAGGGCGTAGTCCGGGTGGGCGGTGGTGAGGACAACGATGCACATGGTGGCCGTGCTCCTTGTCAGTCTTTTTTGGATGACGAAATGCAGGTGGTTCTCGGCTCTTCGTGTGTCGGATCAGACGTCTTTGATGTCCGTCTGCGGTGTAACTGACTCCTGCTTTCTTTCTGCTTCGCTTCTGCAGAGTCGGGGCGTCTTGGATAAACGATCTCCTCGGTTTTGTATGCGTAAGGCAGCCGGGTACTTGTTGCTTCCAACCTAGCAGCTGGGATGAATCAAAGCCCGGACGTTTGGATGGAGATGACTGATCTAATGCCCGTGGTGTTTTGGTTTGGCTGGTGCGTCTCTGCAGACCATTCGAAGTCGGTTGGCTGTCTTGCTCTCTTTTAAAGCCTCGGGTATGTGATCAGTCCACTTTGAAAACGTAACGTCAAGTTGGTTCGGCTCAGCTCAGCTCAGCTTGGCTCTTGATGTGTGTCTGCCTCGGCGTTGGCAGAAGGCCATGCATCGTCTGACGGTGAAACTTGGCGATTGCTAACAGCGCAACGTTCGTCCACTCCGACAGCGGTGCCGGCCGGGGGAATGACAGCATTGGCTGCTGTTGGGCCGGAATCTGCAGGGCAAAGTAGTGCTGTGGAACAGCTGACAGCACCGTGACGTGCGGGGGGATGCGGGAGAGTGACTCGGACTCTCCATTTTCGTGTTGGAGGGAAAGTGATTCGACTTTACGGTGGCTAGTGAGAAAAGTCTTGCAGTTGAGATGAGGCTGGTGAGAGACTAGGTGTGGCAGTGCTTAGTCACTGGCCCCGCCTGCCCGGTTATGTAAGCAGACTCCATTTGTGGTGCAATTCTACCCGGCCAATTCCCGTGAAACACCATCCAGGCTTCCTCTTTCATTCAGGTCCTTGTCGAGCGAGAGCTTTCGCGGTCAACACCAACAATCTCTAGAAGAACGAAATAGTCCAAAAGAGAACAAAAAGACTCTCATCGAAGCGTTAAGAATCCGAAATGACGAACCAAAAAAATAATAATAGCCGTGCAACAGACCCATCATGATCGTCGATCGGGACTCGGCTAGTCAAAGTCGATGGTCGTCGGCCTCGTCAGCAGCTTCGTCGCCAGAGAACAACCAAACGAACATGCAGACGCGTCCCGCCTTCACCGCTTGGCTGTTGCGATACCGAATGACTCCATTCGTACTTGGACTGGTTAACTTCGTCAGCAATTGCCCGACATCCGTCCCGGAAATGCACCCCGACTCGTGGATTCGATGACTGGAAGCTCCTCGAGTCCTCACTCCCACCGGCGATGCGGGCACTCGCGACATTTCTCGCCGCCGCTCAAGAGTCACCAGCAAATGTCCGGAAGACGGCGATCTCGGATGAAGCGGGGCAGAGGATGCCGAACCCGGAAGGCTTAGAGTCAGAACCCCGATGCTCGAATGGACGGTCGGCGACTCGACCTGCGAAAAGACGTCTGTATTGTCGACCATCGATTTGGGTTAAGCATTGTATCCACACCAAAGGCTCGTATCCAACGCTCAGGAACCAACTTGGCGTCGCGATGCCTTGCGGGCTATTCTCTCGGCTCGCGGGACGCCATTGCAGCGCAACGGTTTGCCTGAATTGAGGAACACAAGCGATTCGATTCGCCTTCTCGCCCAATCCATGCTGTCCCCACTGCCGTCTTCAAAGGGTCCAGACCATAGCCAACGACCTTCCTCTTTCGTCTTCGCGCTGATGCTGGTCATCTTCGGTGCTACCGTCAATTCGTCACTCGCAGTCGACTCCAGTCATCGAGGAAGGCATCCTTTCCAAGCATTCCACCTGCGCGCCGTGGCATGGATGCCCGTTGCAGCAGTGTTACTGCCTGCGGCGTTGCGCGTCTTGGTGCCCTCATCAAGAGGCCGCGACGCCGCGGTCTTGCAGTCAAGCCCGCCCGCCCAGTAAGACGCAATCGCAGGTCAGTTATTTCTGCTGTGGTTGGCCAGACCTCGTCAAGATTGTCATATAGACCGCGTGTGAGCTTCGTCCTGCTGTACCGTCGCTTCGAGAGCGGGCGCTTTCTTACATGCTGATGCGTGAGTCACTAAACATCGTCATCTTGGTTGGCAATCATCCCGACATCGATATTAAGCTTATCCACAAGCCTCGTCCAAGGCTGGACTGGTATCTTGGACCCTGAGGCATACAATACCATCTCTAAACTGCCCACCATTCCGATTTCTGCAAGTCAAGCACGTCTATTTCTTTCCCGCATTAGGTTCAACTAGCCTTCAAATCCCGACTCCCACGGGCGCGGTACCCTCAAGGCAGAGTGACATCAGCCGCCATTGCGCCAGGAACGTCCTATCATGAGTTCGAGGTGTCTCAACGACGACACTTTTGGGCCCGGTGTGGAAGGATGCCGTGGTAACTTCGACTTCACTCTTCGGTTCGAAAGGATCTTTCTTGCCATCATTCCCGCAGCTGTCTTCGCTGCCCTCTCATTACCTCGCATCGCGTATCTTTCCAACAAGCCGCGCATCGTCGGCGCCAAGTTTGTTCAATCAATAAAACTGGTACGTTGATAGCGGCCGGAATCCGGATACCCGAATACCAGTATGCCACGATACTAACATCGATTGCAGGCCACAATCGCAGTGTTTGCAACACTGCAATCCGTGCTTCTCATTCTCCAGACAACCACCAATGGATCCAGAGTCGATGGATTCGCCGTGTCGGCGTCGGCTCTCTCATTCGTCGCCGCTTTATTCATGCTCGCCTTGTCCTACCTTGAGCATTCGAGAGCACCCCGGCCATCAATACTACTGACGGCTTATGTCTTCCTCCAAGTCCTCTTCGACATCGCACAGACAAGGACGTCTTGGTTGATGGCCAGGACCTTCTCGACCCAACTCTTCGCCCGGCTGTTCACAACATCTCTAGCTGTGAAGATCGTCATCCTCCTCATTGAAGCTCAAAAGAAGACTCGATGGATTCGCTGGACGGCGGACGAGCACAGCCCCGAGGAGACGAGCGGTCTCTTCAGCCTTGGAGTCTACTGGTGGCTCAATCGCCTGTTCCTTCACGGGTATCGCAACGTTCTTTCGGTCCGTGATTTGTATTCTCTTGACCAAGGCATGATTGCCGAGACGATGCAAATCACACTAGATCAAGAGCTCGAGAAGGGCACCTATCGCGGGCAGAGGTACGGGCTCGCCAAGGCTCTTGCTAAAGCTCTGGCTGTACCATTGCTTCTACCGGTAGCCCCGCGAATCGCACTGATTGGGTTCAACTTCAGTCAGCCTTTCTTCATCCAGAGCCTCCTCGTGCATCTTCAGGATCCTGAGGCGCCCAAAAATACCGGCTATGGTCTCATTGGCGCTGCAGCCATGATCTACATTGGCATTGCTGTCTCCACTGCGCTCTACAACTACTTCTCGCAGCGATCTCTTTACATGTCCCGTGGCTGCTTGTCCGCAGTGATTTACAAGAAAACGACAGAGGCCGATATCACTGCATCTGGTGATGCAGCCGCTGTCACGCTAATGAGTACCGACATCGAACGCATCATCCGCGGTTTCTACGGCCTGCACGAGTTCTGGGCCAATCTCATTGAAGTGGCCCTCGGCTGCTGGCTGCTGGAGCGTCAGCTAGGCGTTTCCTTCATTGCCCCTATCCTCGTCATTCTGGTGTGCGCTGGAGTGATGGTCGTCGCTGCGAATTTCACGGGCGAACGACAGGCTCGATGGATGAACCAGATCCAGAAGCGCGTCGGTCTCACTGCCAACGTCATTTCCAACATGAAGTACTTGCGGATCTCCGGCATCACAGCACCCGTCGCTGAGTTCGTACAGAAGATGCGTGTCGAGGAGATTCACTACGGTACCCAGTTTCGATGGATGCTCCTTGTCACCGCGTTGGCAGCACTGGCGCCCAACATGATTTCCCCGGCAATCACCTTTGCATTCGCCGCCTCCCGCCTCGACACTACCACCATCTTCACATCATTCTCGTTCTTGGTATTGCTCAATGCGCCCTTGGGTCAATTGTTCCAGATGGTTCCCTCCGTCATAGCTGGCTTCACCTGTCTCGATCGCATCCAGAAATTTCTCGAGGCGAACTCTCGTGTCGATTTCAGACAATCGTCCCTTTCATCGGGGTCAAATGACAGAACTTCGGACGACACCACATTCAGGGATAACCTGGAGGGTATTCCGTTGAGGCCGCTGGACAAAATCAGGCGCCAAAGTTTAGATAGCAAGGGTGCGGCTGCCTCAATCTTTATCGTCGATGGAAGCTTTGGGTGGACTGCCGACAAGACGGTTCTCCGCGACATTACTGCCACGATCCCCTCGTCTCAGCTCACCATCGTCGTTGGACCTGTCGCCTCTGGAAAGTCAACACTCTGCAAAGTTCTCCTTGGGGAGGTGCCTTTCAGCAGTGGTCTGGTATCCGTCCCATCACAAACCGCGGCCATCGGCTACTGCGAGCAGACGCCCTTCCTGTCAAACGGCTCTGTCAAGGATAACATCGTCGGCTATTCCAATTTCAACCAGGCCAGGTACGATGAAATCATCGAGGCATGCATGCTTCAGACGGATCTGCTACTCCTCCCATACGGCGATGACACCAAGATTGGCAGCAATGGCATCATGCTCAGTGGTGGTCAGAAACAGCGTGTGTCTTTAGCTCGTGCTCTATATCTCAACTGTGACCTCATGATCTTCGACGACATTCTCAGCGGTCTTGACAACGATACGGCTGGGGAGGTTTTCAGACGGGTCTTCGGGCTGGACGGTATCATTCGACGGCGTAAGGCAACGGCTGTCCTGTGTACACATGCCATCAAATATCTGCCCCTAGCCGACCACATCATTGCTCTCGGAACGGATGGTACGCTGGTTGAGGAGGGAACTTTCGCAGACTTGATGAGAGACAAGAAGTACGTCGCCAGCCTCGGCGTCTCAGCCACAGACTCCGATACCGAGTCAGAAAGTGGCGATACCTCTACCGCCAAGGACAAGGCTGCGCCGGGCTCCCGACCCAAGCGTCCACCAGCCGTCGCGGCAGAACTGATGGAGAAGTCAAGACAAACTGGTGACGTCAAAGTCTACGTGCACTACTTCAAAAGTCTGAATCTTTATGCCGTGGCCGTCTTCTTTGTTGGCTGTGCCTTTTACTCCGTCTGGAATACTTTCCCAACCATTTGGATGAAGTTTTGGACGGAAGACAGCCTCCACAAGAGCAGCGCGTACTATGCTGGTTTGTTTGGAATGTTCAAGATCTTCCAGCTCTTGTCTCTCTTGATTGCCGGTATTGCTCAGCTCATTTGGATGACTTCGTCCTCTGGCACAATCCTGCATCAACAAGCCCTGAAGACTGTCATCAACGCACCCCTCAGCTTCTTCACCTCGACTGATTCCGGCGTCGTCACCAACCTGTTCTCGCAGGATATGACCCTCATCGACAATGAGCTGTCCAACGCTCTGCTCAACGCTGTCATCTCTGGCTTTGACGCCGTGGCCATGGGGGCTGTCATTGCCGTCGCCTCGCCGTTTATGTCCATCAGTTACCCCTTGGTCATTGCACTCTGCTGGATTGTTCAGAAGTTCTACTTGCGAACGTCTCGACAACTCCGTTTGCTGGATCTCGAGTCAAAGAGCCCGCTCTAGTAAGCCCTTCAGTCTGATTTCACACTTCGTCTGCTAACCTGGCTCAGCACTCACTTCCTCGACACCATCAAGGGTGTCGCTACGATTCGTGCTTTCGGTTGGACGAATAGAGACATTGCACACAACCAGCAACTTCTCGACACTTCCCAGCGCCCCGCCTACCTTCTCGCCATGATCCAGCAATGGCTTGTCGTCGCTATGCACCTCATGGTCGCATTTATCGCCGTCATTCTTGTTGCACTCGCCACACAGTTGAGGACCAACTCAGGTTTCACCGGTGCTTCCTTGGTTACTCTCATGTCGTGGGGTGAGACTATTGCCATGCTGATTCGCTTCTACACGCAACTCGAGACATCAATCGGCGCGGTTGCTCGTATCAAGACCTTTGCCGAGAAGGTCAAGCCGGAGAGCCTGGAAAGTGAAGACATTGAGCCCTCGGAAGAGTGGCCTGAAAATGGCAATATTGACCTTCGAGGTGTCTCTGCCTCTTACAGGTGAACAATCTGCCCTGTACCGTTACAAAGACACGAACTGACCTGAATCGCAGCAATGAGCAGGAGAAATCGGCGGACGGCGACAGCACTCCCCCGAGCTTAGCTCTGAAAGATCTCACCTTCTCCATCCAACCCGGACAAAAGGTTGCACTCTGCGGCCGGACTGGAAGGCAAGTCCCTCGAACCGTTGCTGAGTCAATTCCTAACGTGTCACAGCGGGAAATCATCTCTCATCCTCCTACTCCTTCGTCTTTTAGACCCCGTCTCTACCACATCGCAAAATATCGAGATGGACGGCCTCCCCTTCCACCGCATCGACCGCTCAACCCTCCGTCGACGCATCATCGCAGTGCCTCAAGACCCAGTCTTCCTCCCCGACGGTACAACAGTGAAGTACAACCTCGACCCCTTCAACTCCTCCTCGGACGCCGACTGCCTATCCGTTCTTCGCACCGTACAGCTCTCCGGCTTCGTCGAGGAGCGCGGCGGCCTGCACGAAGGCATGACCGCGGATAGTCTCAGCGCAGGCCAAAAGCAGCTCTTCAGCCTCGGAAGAGCCATCCTCCGACGACGCGTCAAGGACGCCAAGTACAAGAAGCGCAGCGGTGGTATCCTGCTGCTGGATGAGGTCAGTTCCAGCGTCGATCATGCGACCGATCGGTTGATGCAGGAAATTATCAAGGAGGAGTTCGGGCGGTACACCATTGTCATGGTGTCTCACCGCTTGGACATGGTGATGGACTTCTTTGATGCGGTCATTGTGATGGACAAGGGGAGGGTTGTTGAGACGGGTAGCCCGAGTAAGCTGGTCGAAACCGAGGGGAGTCGGTTCGGTGAGCTTTGGGCCATCGAGAACCAAGGGAGGTCCAGGGAGTGATGTAGACTCCATTGTCTCGATGAAAAGATCTTCTCCTAAGCCATATCATAATCATAGACTAATCACTCTTCCACTCCAAAACGGCGTCCCTACTGAGCAGTGTACCCCCCGTCCACCGGCATGCAAATCCCAGTAATCCATCGCGCCTCATCGCTCGCGAGGAAGACTGCCGCCCCAACAATGTCCTCCGGAGTTCCAACTCCGCGCAGCGGGTGTTGGGCGTCGATCGCATCTGGACTGTGCAGAGTCTTGATCGTGTCGGCGAAGATTGCAGTCTTGATATCTAACCCAGCACGTTAGCCAGAACCATCTGCCCGACTCGAAAACCTTTGCAACACTCACACCCAGGACAGATAGCGTTGCAGTGGATCCTGTCCCCCGCGTAATCCATCGCCACCTGTCGCGTCAGGTTTGAGACGGCCCCCTTCGACGCCGCGTAGGATACTACCACCAGTCAGTTTTGCCTGGACAGAAATCGGAGTGCGGATGAGCATGTACTTACTGTTATGCCGTCCGCCTACAAGCCCGAAGATGGAGGATATGTTGACGATCCAACCGCGGTCTCCCGAGGGTAGTATATCCTGCTTCAACATCTGCGCGACGGCGTACTTGCAGCCGAGGAACACGGACCTGGCGTTGACGCTCATGGTGACGTCCCAGGTGTCGACCGGCGTCTGGTGGATTCCGAGCGGGGGACGGCCTGCTTCGAGGGAGATTCCGGCGTTGTTGACCAGACTTCCGTCATTGTCAGTGTCCAGTCACATCCATCATACTATCCAAGTCTCAAATCCATTCTCCATCAGCTGACTTACACATCAAGACGCCCAAACTCATCCACCGTCTTCGAGACCAGGTTCTCCACGTCTTCGGGCGACGTCATGTCCGTCTTGACGAAGATGGCGCGCCCGCCGGTGCGGCGGATGAGGTCGTCTGTGTTGACGAGAGTATCGGAGGCGTTGGTCTCTGCGCGAGGTTCGGGGCGGAGGTCTGCGCAGACGATGAGGGCGCCTTCGGAGGCGTAGGAGAGGGATATTGCGCGGCCCAGGCCTGAGGAGGAGCCTGTTATTATGCAGACTTTGGAGTTGAGGCGGGATGAAGGCATGGTGTGATATTGTGGTGAATTGGGTTCGGTGTGAGAGATATGTCCCTCTGAGAATCAAGATTGCAATTTAGATGATGGTTTAATATTCATGTCAAGTTGGCTTGGTCACTGATGGATGTGGCTTATCATGGCTGGTCCGAAGTCGCGGGCTTCCACGTGGATTCCGGTGGAACTCTGGCGCATCATGGGCTGTGTGGTCATCCTCGACTGAATACATCCACTTCTTCAAGTTTCCGGTGGAAAAGACGCTATCGTAAATCTTCGGCTATCTGCCCAAGTTGTTCTGTTGAAGTTTCGGATCGTTGTATGCTTGACTCATCGTCGTATTCCAGATAGCTTGGTCGGATGCGGCAAGGGAGCCGAGGTATCACTGGTGTGGATGTGGGCGCAGGTCCAATGTGGTAAGTTTTCCGACGGCAAGAAACCCTCGGGGTTTTTGTCATCTTTTCGCATTGATTTTAGTTCCAACAGGATACACTTATGATACCTCTCCAAAGTTCGAAGTAGGTTGTCGTGGACATTCCCTCATGTCGCTGCTGAGTGATGCTGTAATTCAATTGCTTACCCACCGCCGCCCTAATCATGACATAACCCCCCTTACTACTCCTCCCCATGTATGAACAGAACAGAATGAACGTCACTTATCATCCACTGGATTACCATCAGATCTTTTCGCTGTGGATGGCGTGGTTCGCGTATCCCATGGCCTTCACACAAATCTGAGCACTCTCCAGAAGTCGTTTCTTAGCACCACCCCTGGCGTCTCGTCCCGCAAACGCACTATGCGCATCCTCGAAATCGAGCTCGGAGACGGCCTTCCAAATACCGTGAACATCGTCAGGACCCAGAGGGATCTGGTCACGTCAGTTGCTGCTGCTGCTGCTGCTGCGCTCTCGCAAAACCTCAAGACTCACCATATTGGGATATGACCACATGAACGCAAAGCTCGAGGTGCCCTCGGGTCTATCCACATGATAAACACCAGACGGAATGACCAACACCGAATCCGCCACAAACAGCTTCTTCTCGCTCTTCCACAGCAACACCGAGCTCCCCGGGAAGTGGCCCCCGACCTTGACCACCAGGAACTCGCCGCTCAGGAACTCCATCGCCCGGGGCTCCCACAGCACGTGCGCGCTCCCGCGGCGCGTGAGCCACTCGCCGTCCTCTGCCGAGACGTACACCTTGCAGTCGAAGGCCTTGGCCCAGTGCAGCGCGGTGGAGAAGTAGTGCGGGTGGGAGATGACGATGGCGGAGAGGCCGCCAAGGTCCTTGATGCGGCGCACCGTGTCGTTGTCGATGTAGGTGATGCAGTCCCAGAGGATGTTGCCCTCGGGGGAGCGGAGGAGGAAGGCGCGCTGGCCGATGGCGACCTGCGGCACGGTGCGGATCGAGATGACGCTGGAGTTGAACTTGTCTTTCGTGAAGAGGTTTGTGTACTTTTTCGAGTCGATGAGCTCGCGGAGGGTGGTGAACCATTGGCTGAGGTGGGTGAGTGAGAGGTTGTGAGTATGAGTTCGCGGGACTCACCCGTCTTCGGCGACGTATTGGCGCGGATCGTCACATATCTTGCATGATTTGACTGAGTGGCTGTCGAACTGGACGCCGCAGGTCCCGCAGATCATAAGATCCATCCTGAAAGTGAGGCACTGTGAATAGCTCTGAAACCCTGAATTTCTGCGGTTGAGGTCTCCGATCGGATGATTCTATTTAGAACCCCTCACCTAAGTAGCGGCGGACGGGCTTTTATTAGATGGTTGCCGGGCCTCCGGAGCGGGGCCGGGATTCGGTGCAACATTCACAGGAGTGGGCAGAAGTGGGGGTTACATAAGAGCTTTTTTGCGTCACTATTAGTCAGAGGATGGGGGATTAATCAGCGATTGAGTTCTTTTGAGTTCATGAAGTTGCGAATGACTCTTCAAATTGTGAACCCGCACAGGTCAAGTTGAGCGCTGTATTGAGTGAAAATGTCTGTTTGAGTATTTTTGTGTAAGACTTGGCTGTTTCTCACAAGATGAAGTCTCTTTCCCGCCTTGATCATGAGCCTCCAGGTGCGAAAGATGTGAGTTCATTATGAGTTCTAGCTCATATGAGTCTCGAGGCAATGGTTGAGCCAAGACCTTCTTACTCCGAACTGCACTTCGAGATGAGTGTGGTAAAGATGAAGTCTGAACCAATTCGAGCCACGAAGTATCGCAAAATGTCAATAAGGGAAAGACACCCTAATGGGATCTTCACTAAGATGAAACCTCGACTTACAGCTTCCCATACCCAGCCCCAAAACCCCTTGCTCACAAGTTTTCATTTGGCACTCAGTTTGCTAGATTGCTGCAAACTAATGAGAGTCATCCAACTTAAATTAGAGCCTTGCGTGAGAAGTTTGGCGCAAGGATATGAATGACTCCAGGATGAGCTATGAAGCTGGCAGCTTGGGACAACCGCAGCAATTAAGAAGAATGCTTCCAGTCAAAAAGATCGGCCATACTCGCAGGAGCTGAAGTCCATTGATCAACTCTAAGACGTCGTAAACCGATCGGTCCGCTCCGCTCCGCCATGCCTTGCCAAGAATATATGGCGATCCAAGACAGCGATGCCGAAGATCCCTCTTGGCCTTGGCTTTAATATAAGGTTGCTTGGCCTATGGGTCATATGGATCTCCGTGTGGTCCAACAACACCAGACCAACGTTTGACCAGGACGAAAAGTAATGAGAGGGGCCGGAGGATGCGCCTGAAGTGGTACTGCATTCGCCCCTAAGTCTCTTACGGACACTTCACGGAAGCCTTTCTGCTTGAAACCAGACATCGTGACCATTCTGGGTTACCGAGCTGACCCTCCGTGTTTTCCCTAGCTAGTGATTGCACCTATCCGTTCTCTTGGGCAAACCATGCGCCTTCGGTAGCAGAATCTTTTCATTCTGATTAGAGAAATTCAAAAGTCACCTCTTCGTCGGCGCTAATAGAAACGTGCTGGCTGTTCAACTCTTGCCTTCAAATCACCAACATCGATTCCTCTCCACAGATGTAATTATCTGAACTCTCACCGAATTAAATCGAGACTTTCGTCGTGGCTAGGAACCTGCCGTCCCATCCCATGAGCGCAGAGGCTTGGTTGCGGTGAGTCCGGAAACCCCGTCCAAGAGTCGAGGGATTACGATGGCTTCATTCTACCTGTCAGCCCTGCTAGAATGCACGTGTCGTTGAAAATACTGGACATGGGTGGCACATATTAGGGCCTGGACGATATTGGCGCCTTGGCTCTATCAAGGCGCCCTTGCAGCCAAGTCATCCTAGGAGTCTTGGTCCAATTTGAGCCCCAAAAGACTTCTTGCCGCCGAGCCTCCTGTAGCCTTCTCCCTATCTGTCATTAGTTTGACCGCCAAAAAGGATTTTGACCGAGCTCGCAAGTTGAAGTTGTCTTCAAGTGGCTGTTCAGGCCGCAATCATCCATTCAATAAACAACATACAACGTAATCCGGCATCTTCATTCAGGTGTCAACACCAAAAGTAACTTGTCAACTAAATCATCGAAATCGACTGCAAGCGCATTACGTGCAAGAACCGGTATCTTGGGAAAGCAGTGGGTCTTGCCATTATGTATCCAATGGGTCAATTGGCACGCAGGTGTGGAAATGATGCCAACACGATGCCAACGCCTTGGTGCCGACTTAACCACCTTGGCCGGGACTTCAGATACGGGGAGATGGGGAAATAAGTCCGGCAATGACTGTGAAGCTCCATGATCTTGAGAATGTTATAAAAGAATGACATTTCTATTCTTGCAGAATTTCTACCATCCGAACTTCATTGTCAACCATAGTCACTCTTTTTTTGCCTTCACTCATTGAACTTTCACTTCTTCCCAAGAACTAGCTTCTACAGCAATTCTGCACTTTTCTCCGTCTTACACGCATCTTTCAGCCTCACAATGAAGTTCTCCAACGTCATCAACTTTGCTCTCCTGAGCGTCGCCTCGGCTGCTCCCACTCCCACCGTTGAGGAGGAGTCGTCCGGCGTCATCGCCAAGCGCGCCTCCATCACCGAGTCCTGCAACATCGGCTACGCCAGCACCAACGGCGGAACCACCGGTGGAAAGGGCGGCTCCACCACCACCGTCTCGACCCTCGCTCAGTTCACCAAGGCCGCCGAGTCCAGCGGCAAGCTGAACATCGTCGTCAAGGGCTCCATCTCCGGCAACGCCAAGGTCCGCGTCGCCTCCGACAAGACCATCGTGGGCCAGAAGGGCTCCAAGGTTGTCGGCGCCGGCCTCTACATCAAGGGCGTCAAGAACGTTATCGTTCGCAACCTTGCCATCTCCAAGGTCAAGGAGGCGTACGGCGACGCTATTGGTATTGAGGCTTCTACCAATGTTTGGGTTGACCACTGCGACCTGTCCTCGGACCAGAGCTCCGGAAAGGACTACTACGACGGTCTCTTGGATATTACCAAGGGTGCTGACTGGATCACGGTCTCCAACACTTACCTCCACGACCACTACAAGACCTCGCTCATTGGTCACGTTGACACCAACACCAGCGACAAGGGCAAGCTTCACGGTAAGTTTTCAAACATGAATGCATTCCCGAACCCAGATCGTCAGTGTGCTGATACGGATTCACCAATGAAGTCACCTACAGCGGAAACTACTGGAACAACGTCAACTCTCGCAACCCCTCTGTTCGCTTCGGAACCGTCCACGTCTACAACAACTACTACAACAAGGTGAGCAATCCATCTGCACATATTTCACTTCCTATAGTTAATCATTTATCCTTTAGGTCGGCTCGACTGGTGTCAACACTCGCATGGGCGCCCAGGTTCGCGTTGAGTCCTCCGTCTTCGAGAACTCTTCCAAGAAGGTCATTCTCTCCGCCGACTCCAAGGAGGTCGGCTACGCCACCGTCTCTGACATGTCCTACGGTGGTGGCGAGAACAGCGCCCCCAAGGGCGACTTCGGCTCCAGCAAGATTCCCTACAGCTACACTCTCTACGGCAAGGCCAACGTCAAGAGCAAGGTCGTTGGCACCGCTGGCCAGACCCTCAGCTTCTAAGTTGAGAATCAGAGGTTTGAGGGCGATGAGCTTGCTGTTAGAGTCGGCGGTAAGACCGTAAGCGGGAAGCAAGGAGACGAGCTTCGTTCTTTCCACGGTGAAAACTGAGGTCACCACATTTTATTCTGTATTTAGTTCTCTTACGGCGTCCTGTTGGACGTCTACGTCTTACCTGTACATAAGTGCTTTGGGATGCGAAGGCCATGCCAATCAATGACATATTGTCAACGAATCCTGTTACCTGTAGTGACTCATCTGTGCGAACCCACAGATCCTATTGTGTGCGCTTCCGCTCAGGTACCATGCAAAAATCTCTGAAACTCTCCACCTGGGGAAAATACGTCGCATTTACAGAATGAGAAGCTGAAGATTTTGGTTTCTGGCGTCGAATTCGGCTTATTTCTACATGTTCAAATGAGAACATCGAAAGCCTGACAGCATATGCAGATGTAGCTTAAACCTTTCACGTAAAGTAGGCATTAATGTGACAGTCGCTGTGATCTGGATATGCATATTTCGATCATTCTTGATGACGGAAGGTTACTTAATCAGTTGGATGTTGCATTTCTTCGAAGTCGAAATCAAAATTGGGCCAAGTATGGAAGCTGTAGCTCTTCATTATATCTACAAGAAGCCCTTAGGCTATACAATATTTGCAAGGTGAATATCTAAGAAGCTCCCCTAAATACGGCGGAGCGACTTCATGCTACGTCTGGCAGCAGAGCTCAGGCACTGGGAGTACCAGTCGTTCTGAACAACGCAAGACGTGCCAGCGGCGCAGGTAGTAGCACCAGTCCAACCGCTTCCACCGCACTGTCCCCAAGCCTGAGCAGTGACACCGGAGGAAGAGCCAGACTCTTCGGTGGCGGGCTCCTCGGCGACGGGTTCCTCGGCGGCGGGCTCCTCGACGGTCTCCACGGGGGCAGTAGTCTCCTCAGCGCCAGTGGTAGGGGTAGAGGCGGAGGAGCTGCCGACGTTGGCGGGTCCGGCGCTGCCAGAGACGAGGCTGGAAACCTCGGTGGCGGCAACGGGCTTGACGAGGTAGTCCTTGAGCTTGGAGAAGGTCGACAGGGCGCTGGTTCCCTTCATGGCAGTGAACTCGCCGCTCTTGGAGTCAACGTTGTTGACCTCGCAGGCACGGCCGATCTGAGAAGAGCAAGCGCTGGCGGAAGAGGCGTCGGGGACGTTGAAGGTGTTGGAGAAAGCCTCGCCGCTGTAGGGGGTGTCGACGGACTCGAAAGCGTTGCCCTCGATGAGCGCGACGGTGCCGGAGTAGAGCTCGAAGGTGTGGCCCTTCATGGAGCTGAAGAGGTTGTTGGTGGCCTGGAAAGTGCCCTTGTCTCCGAGCTTGGGGGCGCGGCCCGAGACGTCGTGCCAGTAGTTGCGGTCGAGAGTGCTGTGAAATTGAGTTAGCTTGAGTAACGTTGAAGTTTTCGGCATTCCGTGGACTTACCCCTGGTCACCGTCACCGTTGAGCATCATGGTCCAGTAGTGGTTGCCGTTGCAAGAGGCAGAAGTCTCGGTGACACCGTCGAACTCGTTGTTGGAAATGGTGAAGCGCGAACCGTCGTAGTGGCTGACGATGAACTGACGACCGATCAGGGAGATCTTGTTATGGTCGATCCAAACACCATCGTTGCCACCCTGAAGGTCAATGGCATCACCTCCCCAGACGACGCCGGGGTTGAGGTTGGTGATGGTGATGCCCTGAATGATAACGTTCTTGGCGTTCTTCGCGATACGAAGACCCTTGCCGTTGAGGATACCCTTACCGCTGGAGCCGATGATGCTCTTGTTGCTACCAACAACCAGGGGCTCGGTACCGGCGACATCGTAGGTGACAGAGGCGGCAACATTGTCGCTGGATCCGCAGGACAGGTCTCCAAGGTAGAGCTGGCCGCCGTTGGCAGCACTGCAGCTCTTGCGGTCGCAGCCCTCGCCGGTGGCCGACTTGCCGGTGAAGTCGTACTCCTTGTCGATGACGATAGTGCGAGGGGTGTCGTCGGAAAGCCACTCGCCCAGTTCCTCAACGGAGGAGGGGACGGCGGCCTTGGCATCACCACCACCGGTAACGCCGGTGGCAAAGCCGTACGCCGTGCCGACGACCGCCTGAGCGGAGGCGGTGGTGGCTGCGGCAGCAGTCAAGAGGATGGAGGCAGAGAAACGCATGTTGCCGGAATGTGGGGGAATGAATGTGTTCTGTTAAAAAGAATGGATGCGTGAAATCGATCTAAACGAAGGACTCGGAATCACGCCAGCGTGAACTAGAGTTGTAACTGAAGTTGACACGAAGGAAAGGGACTGGAAGAAGACGGTGGATGGGAGAGCAACATGGTGCCAGACCGTTGGGAATCCCCCCCGTACTTTAATAACGACCAAGTCTAAACCATGAGGCTCTCGCAGGATGCGATAAAGTAGCCAAGGGTCCACAACGCGGACGAAACATGCCAAAATCGGGCGGCTGTTTGCCGAACTAAACCGCAAATGAAGGCCAAGACTCTGGGCAGCGGGTAAGTGGATGCAAATACTCACCGATCAAGTTTCTTACTCGCCTTGGATGCGATGCGCCCCGTATTGTCGCATGCAGTCAAGAGCCCCTTTCATTACGGAAATTGCCATATGCCAATAACGGAGCTGTCCGCTGCGATGAGGTTCCCGAAGTAGGCCAGACATACCTACGCAAGGGCGTTTCGTCACAGGCGAAAGGAGAGAGTTGCATTCGTACAGTATCTTTCTCAAGTTGGTGCTTGATTTTGCGATCTTTCATCTGCAAGGAACCCCTGTAATACGAATACTTCGGATCACGGCCACATATGGAGACCACCAAGCCCACCACATCAACATCGGCCAATTGTACGGAGCGGGTACAATACCCAGCACTCAAGTTGATACTCCCTTAACCTTGAAGGAATATCCCACCGGCCGATGTCTAAATTTCTTTGATGTAGGAATAATCATTGGAATGATTGGTCTTCAGCGCGGAAACCTCTTAACAGCATCCATCTCATAAGCCACTTTCCATCTTATCGCTTCGTTATTCGTCATTGACCTTCCACTCATCCACCAGTTTCCGAATCTGATAATGTGTTGCCCACCCCAACTCGGTCTCAATATCAGAAAGTAATTTCAAAACCAACTGCTGCTCAGGCTTTTCATGGAACGATTGCCCAGCTACGAAAAGCGGCTGGACAGAGTGAATACGGACAGAGTCCGGGGGATCCGCGAGACTGATCCCGCATATTTCTTTGCCATGGCGGAGAACGTCTCTCTGGATCATACGGTACGACCTCAAGCGTGCCGACACAGTTGATCTGATAGCTGTTGATTCCTGGGGTCGGTTGACCAGCAATAAGATGCATGCCATGTGGTAGCTCTGCATGGTTGCCGCGCACATGGGTATGTCGTACCAGATCATGTCCATGTCAGGGACCTCCCCCAAGGCCCCGGGATCCCCTGTGTATTTCGTCCGAGCACTGGGAGAGAAAGTCGGCGGGAGACTGTCGTACCATTTCTGCAACTCTACTTCGAGCTTTGTCCAGCGTTGTAGAAGGAGTTCTTGGGTCACACCGAGAGACAAACGTTGTCCAGCTGGCCTGGAGTAGTCTTCCGGGTTGATACCGTCACCCGATGTGATGAAGTTAACAACCTTTCCAATAAGCCAGAGCAGCTCGTTGCTTCTCGAATCTTCGTCGACGTCTGTTGAAGCGCGGATATCTGCTGTGCAGAACGGACTGAAGGGCAGTAAGAGGCTGTTCTCGTCTGTGGCTAAGCCGAAATTCTGCCAGAGGCGGACATGGTCTAGATTCAAGCGAGTCTGTGTCTCGCTGATGACTTTGACGCAAGGCATATTAGTTAGGAGTCTGTTGCAAGCCATAGTTACACTGAGACTTACAGGCACATAAGAAGTCTTGCCTGGCCAAGCTCCAGAATATCGGCCCCTTAATGGGAGACTGAGGGATCGTCACCGGCGAACTGCCGCTGAGCGTGCTATCCGACGCTGAAAAGAGCGGCAAAGCCGTAAGATGTGCCTTCCATGCGTTTCCCGGGGCGTTCATTAGCTCGTATATGCAGAGTATGGCAACAGCTGCGAACGTATCTGCGTGTCGACTCTCTGCATCGCCCCTCTGCATGTCCATTTCATCACGTCCCCCAATGGCGATGGCATGCTTGAGACATCGGATAGCTTGGTGGTAGTATCTAACGGCGTGGTAACTCCAGTTAGGAGATCGATCGTCGGCGGACGCAAGAGACTTCCTTGCGCTGCGGGCAGTGTGTTGCTCATGATTATTCTGAGTTCGAGACAAGTGCTTCGCAGCGAGGGCGCATATGGCCGACTTGAGAAGGGGTCTCGTAGTTGCCCGTATAGACACCTTACAAGAGAAGTGCGCACTTGTATCAAAGAGGTCCATCCTGTTATGAAAGTTCAGCCATTGCGCCACAGCTTCGTGGAATTTGAAGACTGAATTGGGGACTTACCACTGGCCTGGCCCCTCCCTGAAGTGTCTGAGAAGTTGTAGCATCATAACTTTTGCTTCCGGGTCGGACTCATTGTCGACTAGATAGACGTCGTCGTTCGACTCATGCGCCGTTGGTGTAAACGTTGCAGAACTCTCATGCCCACTCTCGATAGAAGATGACCAAGAAGCAGCGCCATTAACGTGGCTGCTAGCCGAAAATAGTTGTGCATATGAAACTGAATCTTCTGGGCTTCCAGAGACCAGGTGAATTTGCGATTCGTCAACCGGGTCAATCTCACTTGCAGGCTGCTGCGTGGGAGTTGACGTTCGCAACGTATTGGCCTCTTGTGAAGGGCCATCATCATGGTGATAAGAGTTGCATGTAGGGCTCAATGGTGGATCGTCTCCGAGAAGAAACGAATCTTCAGTTTCATACGGATTCGTAATGTTTATGTAGGTGACTGGAGATGTTGTCAGACATGCAGTACGTTCACACCGAGGCTCGAGCTTTTTCTAGCCACATCATATGAATCGACTCACGCTCAGTTGGAACTTCAAGCCACACTTGGTCCTTCAGGAACAGGTCACCGAGAGCCTTGCGGTCCGCAGGGGCTCGATCCTGTCCTTTTTCGAGAAGACAGGAAGCATCGAAGTGCCTGAACTTTGTGTCTTGGGAGAATACGCAATCCCGATTAGATTTGGCGCATGGCCCACACTTGGGTCGCGTCTCATCGCATTTCAGCTTTCGTTGTCGACATGTCAAGCTGTGTGATCAGTAAGCAAGATGTCTTCGTCCTCGAGAGATACAGGTGGCAATAACCCACCAGCCATGGTGGGAGCGCATTTTGCGCCCCGCGGACGTTGAGGACTTCCTATTCCGTTGACCTCCTAAAGTTTCGACTTCCTCTTATGGCGACGCCTGTCGTAGTCGATGCTTGATAAGAATGAACTGGTATACAAGCGGCATCTCGTTTGGATTACCCAAATGCTACCTATCCAGATCGGTGATCTCCGATCTTAGGTACGGACTGCCTCCGGCGTGACAGAAGGAGGAAAATCTTCCGGTGGAATACGCAAATGCGGGGATATAAGAACAAGCTGGGACACGTGTGTTAGTGCTCAATTGCGTGACCAAGTAATCTACCTTGTTGCCGAACTTACGTGTCTCATGAATCACACTGGCATAAGCTCGTCAGCTCCAAGAGTTAGCACGCGGTCCGGCGTTTGAGTGAGCTATCCTTGACCTGGTTAGAGCACAACAAGCCACCGTGCCGACTGCGATTTGAGAGTGCAGAGTATTGGTAATCAACGTGCGCCCTTCGTGCAGACTGGCGACAACTTTCTGCAGGTAAAATGTTGTTGAACCGTGGTCGGGAAAGTTTCCTCCAAGTCTCTCAAGCAAGGAATGAGATTCGGCAAAATTGCCACTCTTGATGTCCCAATCCTGCGCAGGTGGCGCAAAACGGCCCGAGTCATATCTTGCATACTTCGGCCATACTGAATGCGGTAATCCCGAAGACTGTTTCCGTCGAGCTATCGTGTGAGACAACGACCTTGCTGGCAATTAAGCCGAGTCATTGTCAACTGCATAACCCAACACCAGACCAACTGGAAGAACTTTTCACACACACGCCCTTCGATGAACATCGTGGCATTCGTGGGCCTTTTCGGATATTCTCGATATGGAAATGCGATTGCGTCGGTTGAAGTACCTGGATAGAAGATAAGAGAGGATTCTATGAACAGGTGGAATGCAGCCACTAAGTCGGCGTGAAACTCTGTACATGTACGATTCTCTATATGAACACAGCTTCCGGACATGTATTTAATAAGCCTTTCGCAATATCAAACTGGCATCTGATTCTCTCCTTAGTTACATAGTTTCCAGTTCACAATGGTGTTTCACAGCACAATGCCCACAATGCCTGCCCTCTACGTAAGAGCATCGATAGCTACGGGAGCTGTTTCCATGCTTTGGGGGTAAGTCAAGCACACATATAATCGAGCTTCCCGAAAGATCACTGACTTCATATTGGCTTCCAGTCTTGATACTGGCAGTATAGGACCGATCACAGCCATGACGACGTTCAAGCACTCCTTCGGCGAATTCTCAGCTACGATACACGGCGCTGTCGTCTCCACACTTTTGGTGACGGGGATGATCAGCGCTTTACTCGCTGGTATGCTGGCAGACCAGCTCGGACGAATCGCCATGATATCGACGGGAGCCGCCGTGTTCGGGCTCGGTGCGGCCATCGAGTGCGGCGCAATGCATCTCGCCATGTTCATTGCTGGCCGCGCCGTCAAAGGCCTCGGGACCGGGTTGTTCGTCAGCACCGTTGCCGTCCAGGTCTGCGAGACCACCCCAGCAAAGACGCGGGGTTTCTGGGTTGCGTTTTCTCAGTTCACGATCACGGTCGGCTTGGCGGTCGGGTACTTTCTGTGCTATGGCACCGGCCGGATTGCGGACTCTTCGGCGTCGTGGCGCGTTCCTCTGGCAGTCCAGTCGATACTTGGTTTCGGGTTCGCAGCGACCACTCTTCTCGTACCGCCGTCGCCTCGGTGGCTGATTGCCAAAGGACAAGTCGATAAAGCTCGTTTAGTTGTCTCTCAGCTCGGGATAAGCGAGGAAGAGCAACAGGAGATGTTGTCCCAGAAGGGCGAGGCTTCGATACATTCCTCGAACTTGACCCTGATACAAAACCTCAAAGAGACCTTCAGAGAGTTCCGAAAAGCGTTCTCTCCCGAATACCGCTCCCGCACCGCGTTTGGCTGTTTCTTGATGGTCGTACAACAAACCGCTGGAATAGACGGAATACTGTATTATGCTCCGCTCATGTTCCGGCAAGCCGGGATGGCCTCTGAGGAAGCAACTTTCCTCGCGTCTGGCGTCTCAGCGTTAGTAATCATGGCGGTGACAATACCGGCCACCATTTTTGCGGATAGATGGGGTCGACGGAGCTCCTTCTTGGTCGGCGGCGTAGGTATCACAGTCATCATGTTCCTCATGGGATCGATGTACGCGGCAGATCAAGTGCGTGGCGACAGCGGTGCCGGACGATGGGTTGTCATCATCTCGATCTACTTGTTTGCCGTCGTATTCAATATGACGTGGGCGATCTGTGTCAGGGCTTTCCTGGTAGAAAGTCTGCCGCGAGAAACGAGATCGAGTGGTGCAGCATTGGGGCAGAGTGCGAACTGGCTCGCCAACTTCGTCGTGGCTCTCACAACTCCACCGTTTCTCGCCGCGTCGTCATATGGGCCATATTTCTTCTTTGGCGGCAGTACTATTCTCGCTGTTGTGGTGGCTTGGATATGGATGCCTGAAACGAAGAACCAGAGTCTGGAGGCGATCGAGGCAGCATACCTGGAGCGGAAATCCGGAAACAAAGGAGAGAAGAACAGATGGTCGATCAGCATACAAACACCAGACATGTCTAGAAGATCCAGTGTCATCACCCCGGGGAAAGAGCACAAGAGTTGGCCAGGCGCAGCGACGCTGAAAGGCAAAGCGTGATAGAGCTGAAGTGTCTCGGATAGAATACCTATCATAGCAACAGTGGTGTTAGAGAAAAGTCATTCGTTAGTACCAGCTACCCTTCACATCTTGGACGCGTCACCGTGGATCATTCCAAAACGCTTTCTCAATAAGAAGCCTTTCATCTTTCGATAGGGTTCGCAACATTGGCTCCCACGATTTCAGCCAAATGCTGACACTGAATCCTGAATCTTTCAAAGAAGACCAACTCGTGGATGCTAAAAGCTACGTACATCTACAACCGCGCATAAAAGCCCCCTTCTACTCTCTTTGAGAGGCTAGATAAAGTAATGTCTTTAAGATCCCGGCACCCAGCCAAGGCCATTGTGTGTTGAAACTCCGATTTCAGGATGTTCAAAGCTTTGGAAACCCCTGCTTCTCCACCGACCGTCAGACCCCAAAGAGGGACTCGCCCGATCATAACGCCATCAGCACCCAAGGCTAGAGCCTTGAAAATGTCGCTTCCTTTGCGGATACCGCCGTCAAGCCAGACCTGGATATGCCTATCCGCCGCTTTCGCAGCTTCGACGCACTCGGGAAGAGAGTCGAGCGTTGACAAAGCAGACTCTAGTTGTCTGCCTCCATGGTTCGATACTATGATGCCCGAGATATTTGCAGGGGACTTGATAGCCAACGCAACGTCCTCAGCTGTTGTGACTCCCTTCAACCAGATCTCCAACTTCGTGATCGAGCGAAGCCACAGGAGAGTCTCTTCCCAAGTAATTGAGTCATCTTGAGGGTGTTAGATTAATCTGAATACGTCTTTCAACACGTACCATTGACATTTGGGTCCGGCTGTTTCTCCACGTCCTCTCTGCTCATCTCCACCAACAGTGGGCGAACACTCTGCTGTCCAAAGTTGGGCAAGTTTAGATGAGACGGCATCTTGAAGTCGTTTCTCGTCATGCAATATCGATTTCCCAGCTTCGGCGTATCGCATGTGAGAAGAAGTGCCTTATATCCGGTTGCCTCGGCTCTCTTGACCAGATCCTCTGTCGTCTTGCGATTCTTGAAGACATACAACTGTAACATGTACACGTTGTTGCCGATGTCATCACCCGCGGCTTTGATATCCTCTAGTGACGTAGTCGCAAAGGTTGAGACACCCATGAAAACACCCGCTTTTGTTGCGGCGCGGGCAGTGGCACTTTCTCCGTCTTCATGTGCCATGCACTGCATACCGGATGGTGCGACTGCGAGTGGGAATTTCATGGTTGAATCGAATGTCTGCTTGCTGGAATCAACGGTCGAGACATCTCTGAGGATTCTCGGTCGAATTTTGTATCTGTCGAAAGCAGATATATTCTCTCTCAAGGCAACTCCATCTTCGGCTCCATCGTTGAAATAATCTTGGTCGAAGTCAGCTTCATCTTGTCATCGACTCGGTGTACATGACCAAGACAGATGACGAACCCTTGACAGATTTCGCCAGCAGCTTAGTGGCAGCCGTTTCGATGTCATTGATGCAAAGAAGGTCGGAGAGCGCCATCATTCAATACACAGTCATAAACAGAGGAGCAAAGTCTCAAAGTAGGCTAAACCAAGAAGACCATATTCAGCATAGATGGCTGTGTATCTTCGAAGTCGTTAAAGGGCCGAAAATCGGAACGACGTCACTGGAACGCGGAAACCTCGGAAATAGAATGCGCCGAAGTGAGGGGAGGCGGCAAACGCTGGCCCGAGGCGACGGCAAATCGGCCGGTTGTCACGGACCTCATATTTCTGAGTCGGAATTATCTCCGCCGACAATTATGAGAACTCATAGTCATCCAAATTCAAAGCAAGTATCTAACTTGATCTAATGCTCATTCCTGGCCACCGAAGACCTTTCTGAATTTGACATCAAGCTTCCGACGGAGCGGCGTGTTTTTTGTTTTCTGTTTCCAAGGACAAGAGAAACGCTAGATCAATTTTGCTGTGAGAAGGAGAAATAAAACACGCAACCTCTATGTTGGGTCATGTGGGATGCGTAGAGCAACGGTTTTGAAGAAGACAGACGAGAAACATCGTACCTTTTCTAACTGATTTCGATCAGCTGGGCGCCGGGAAAAGATGCTTGCTCCTAACTTGTTGTAGCTTGGTCTAGATGATCCGTGAGAAAATGTCGAGACCTACCTAATGTAGTTACCCTCTACAGACGCAACTATCAATAGCGGCGTTTGCTTTTCAAAAAGCCCTCAGAGATGCTCAATTAGACGACTGAACCGTCGCCAGATCGCTCGTATTTTCGTCCGCGGAGTAATTGGCATCGAGCACATGTATCCAGTCTCCGCAGACACCTCAGAACCTCAACGGGGCATGGCATGCCGTCAGCAGGTTACCAAATGAGGCAATCGTGCATCTCCCCTGAGCCTGGATCGACCCATGACCCCGCCTTAATGGTCCTTAGGAGCAGAGCTGCAAAAGACATTGCGGTCTCTGTTAGTCAAAGATTCGAGTTCTCGTCAGCAACGATCGTGTCAGTGACATGATTTGCAGTCTACTGGGGCGTAAGGCGTGCCGGGTGGGCGCAGCCGTTCGGTTCGGCGGCCAAGGGCCTCCTCAATGTGGGGGAACCGGCGCAGGTCGCGCGATGTGACAGTGAAGTTGTGGTCTTGGGCATACCAAAGTACTTTTGGAGTGCGGAACTGGCTGAATTCCTTCAATCCAACGTGAAAGATTGGGTGTCTGGTATCCGCGGAGTTGATAGACGTATCACCGATAACCACAGACACGCCTTTCTCATTCTGTCACGAGATAGTCTCATAATCGTCTATGATGCTCTCAGCCGCTGAATGAGCTTTAAAGACCGATAATCGAATTGGAGGAATCGAAGTGCCAGTTTATCTTTCAGCGAGCCGAGAGATCATCATTCAAGCTGCCTATTGCAGTTAGACAATGGTAAATTAGCTTGACATGGGCCAGCATCTTATCGCGGTTACGAATGGAGCTAGAATATGCCCCTGTTTGCCATCCACATCCTTCTCAATCTTGTCCGCCAGACTGTCGCGCCTCTCCCGTTGATGGCGTTCTTCATTCAGTCTACAAAGTATCCGTACGTGGGGGTTCTTTCGAGAATGAAAAGTGTGCTAAACTCCGACGCTGCGGCGATTCAGTCACTCCAATCATCATAAACGCGCAGCAATGTTGAAAGCTCCATGGCGAGGGCTCCTTATCTTCAGGTCACAGCTGCGTGACGCGTCGATTCGGATAACTCTGCCATTAATGACACCCATTTTCACGATGCTAACTTGGGCTCTGGACCTCCCGCACCCACTACTTGAGGAACGGATGCAACCTCTTGGCTATCCGACAAACGAGTCGTGCCCCAGTGCCCCAGATGCAACCGTAACCTGACAAACATTCAAGAGAGCTTTTTGGTCTAACCTCGACACACCCATTCCAACATACTGGAAGTCCACCTACGCGATCTCAAGGTGGTAGGTCGATGACCGCACGCCATTCAAAGATGAACTATTGGCCCCCCGCACCGGCTGAGCCGTTCCATCCGCCTCGTCCCAAGAAGGAAGCTGCGATGGTCTTGGCAGACCAACATCCATCGACCTGCGTCTTCTTCGCCGGTTAGAGCCCAGACATTTGCACTGGCATCCATCAAAGTTGGGAGGGGCAAAGGGCGGAAATTGCGTCCTCCTATCGGTTGATAACAACATCGACCGACGGCACCTCAAGGTAGCGACTCTGGTAAGGCGTGAGAGCAATATTTAGTTCTCGCCCTGGTCATCTTTGTCTTGGCTTGCATTGCGCCTAGACATTTTACGACTCTGGCCTCCGTTCGCCACGCGACCCAAGGACGCAGGCACGAACATCTTGTGCTTGGGCTGTACAGCCCCGACCAATGGACGTGATGTTGGATCCTGGATATCACGCCTTTGCCGGGGCAGATGAGCGAGGTAGCTTCCCTTTCCTTGACGAAATCACTTCTTCGATGGGCTTCCTGCAGACTGGACCGCTTGAATGGGACCACGGTTCCTGGGTAGCGGCCGGGACATATCCTTGAGGACCCTCACGGGAACGACTACTTAACAGACGACGATGCCTGCATCATGTTCATCTTGATGATCTTCCGGTAGCTTCGCGCTCTGCAGTCTTGTTTATCCCCAAGATCAGATCCAGCAAGCCGGTAAGATGCGCATCTCGGCCACCATCTCCGCCTTTGCACTCGCCCTCCACCTCGGGGGCGTCGCGGCTATTGCCCCTCGCCAGGAGGCCGGTGCCGCTGACGAAGCTGTGGTGTTCGTCGCCAAGAGCTTCATCATTGAATATGCTCCCGTGAGTGCCCGCTGCGAGGGCTGCCGCCCACGGCCCGTAGTCCCCAGCTGACACTCACTGTTTCTTAGGGATCTAGCGCACGTCTCCGTCGCCAGAACGTCGCATCCACTGATGGCATCACCATCGTGAAGGAGTTTGCCAGTGACGTCTTCTCCGGCGCGAGCGTTGAGACTGAGAAGTACACCCTCGAGTCTCTTCTTGAGCTCCCAGATGTTCTCAACGTATGGCTCAATGAAGAGGTCAAGCTTGGGCCCGTGGAGCCTCAAGCCAAGGCTCCTGAGGACGCGCTCGAGTACACCACTCACAACGCCACCGGAGTGAGCAAGCTTCACGCCCAAGGCATCTTCGGCAAAGGCGTCAAGGTCGGTGTCGTCGATACCGGTATCTGGTACAACCACCCCGCCCTCGGCGGCGGATTCGGTCCTGGTTTCAAGGTCGCCGCCGGTCACGATTTCGTCGGCGACGGACTGTACCCACAGAGCGGCCCGAAGGCACCGGATGAAGACCCACTCGACACCCGGGGACACGGAACTCACGTTGCCGGCATCATCGCCGGAAAGAACGATTTGTATGACTGTTTTCCCGGTTCATGAGATAACATCGGCTAACTTTTACTAGCTGGACTGGAGTTGCTCCTGAGGCTACGCTGCACGCATACAAGGTATTCTCCAACGCCGCGTCCACCGACACGGCAACTCTGATCGAGTCGTTCCTTGCCGCGTACGACGACGGCGTTGATATCATCACCGCAAGTATCGGCGGAGCCAACGGATGGTCCAACAACGCATGGGCCGAAGTAGCTTCAAGACTGGTCGAAGAGGGTGTTGTCGTCACCATCTCGGCCGGTAACAGCGGATCAGCCGGCCCCTTCTACGGCAGCTCTGGTTCCTCCGGGAAGAACGTCATTGCAGTCGCCTCCATCGACACTGAGATCTTCCCTGCCATTCCTTTTGAGGCCACCTTCGGTGGCTCCGAGACTGTCCGGATCGGCTACCTCCCCTCCGAGAGCTACTTCCCCAGCACCATCGTCGACTGGCCCATCGTCGCTCTCAACACTGACACCACGGACCCCGCTGACGGCTGTGAGCCGTACCCCGAGGGAAGCCCTGACTTGACCGGAAAGATCCCCTTGGTTCGCAGAGGAACTTGCACTTTCCAGGTCAAGCAGGAGAACCTTGCTGCTCTCGGCGCCAAGTACATCCTGATTTACAACAACGCTTCTCCAATGACGACCCCCGGAACTAGCAACACGGACTCCGAGATTGCTCTGATCACGGCCGAGTCTGGCGAGTCCATTATCGAGGCTATCAAGGCCGGCACCAATGTGACTGCCGACTTCTCCATCAACCCCGAGGTTCCTATCGCCCTGCCCTACCCTGCCGGTAACCGTCCCAATACGTTCACCAGCTGGGGTCTGCTGTACGACAACCAGCTCAAGCCTGATGTCGCTGCCCCTGGTGGTAACATCTTCTCAACCTACCTGGATGGCGGTTACGCTATTCTCAGTGGAACTTCCATGGCTTGCCCGTACGTTGCCGGTGTCGCCGCTCTCTACATCAGCGAGCATGGTGGCCGCAGCGTCCAAGGCAAGGGGTTCGCGCGTGCCTTGTCCCGTCGCATCATCTCCAGCGGCTACGCTTTGCCCTGGTCTGACGGTACGGCCACCGACTACGGCTACACCGCTCCTCCCGCCCAGGTTGGTAACGGCATGATCGATGCCTGGAAGGTCTTGAAGTACGACACTCAACTTGAGTTCGAGAAGATCCAGCTCAACGACACCCGCTACTTCAGCCGCTACCACGACGTCACCGTCACCAACAACGGCAAGTCGGACATCACCTACAAGTTCTCTGTCCAACCCAATGCCGGCGTTGACGCCCTCGCCTGGATTCCCCCTACCGGTAGCCTCCCCGGCACCAAGCGCGTCAAGACTTTCGCCCAACTGTCCCCGAAGACCTACACCCCCGACATCAGCTTCCCTCGCGATTTCACCCTCAAGGCCGGCGAGAGCAAGACCGTGTCCGTCAACTTCGGGAACCCCGACAGCCTCGGCTGGAACGCCACCGGCCTGCCCCTGTACGGAGGCAAGGTCGTCATCCAGGGCAGCAACGGCGAGCAGGTGTCCGTCCCATACGCCGGCGTCGGCGCCGATCTCCGCAACACGCTCGGCGGTGTTCACGAGGCCGGCTGGCCGCAGTCCGTCTCCACCACCGAGGAGATCCCCATCAGCGAGAAGGCGTCCTACACCTTCGACCTCAGCACCGGCGCCCAGGACTTCCCCAAGATCTTCCAGAAGCTCCTCTGGGGAACCCGCCAGACTCGTTGGGACGTCTACGAGGCCGGTTGGACTGAGCGCCAATGGACCTACCCTCCTGTCGTTGGACAGAACGGCTACGTCGGCTCCGTTGCGTCTTGGGTGGGATCTGGCGACGTGGAGATCTTTGACCCGGCGCAGTATGACCCGAATGAGACCTTCACTTACCCGATCACCGACGTTTCCCGCAACTTGGCTGCCACCTACAATGAGCACTGGTGGTTCGGCAAGTTGGGCAACGGAACGCAGATCGCCCCTGGTAACTACACCATTCGCTTCGCTGCGCTGCGACCTTTTGGCAACCCAACTCATGCGGACAACTGGGATGTTTTCAAGACGCCTCAGATCCAGGTTTTGGGACAGTACTAGATTGTTGGCGTAAACGATATGATGTGATAATACGTAATCTGAGATGCATAACACGAGATCTCGTAATTCGATGGCAAAATATACCGCACACTTGGTTATAACCTAACTGGCTTGTCCGAAGGCCTCAAGTCCGACGTGATGTCACTGGAATTATGCTGGCTATCTGGGAACCGCTAGTACCTGCAGTACACTCTCTTGAGGTTCCGGTCTGCAAGGATACCCAAGTCTGTGTATGTGTGCCTCCAACGTAAAGGCTGAGTGATTAAAAGGTCTTGAAAATGGCGCGTTGACTTGCGTCGCTTCTCGCCATACATGACGCTACCTCATCGGTTGACGCAGGGCCAAAGGTACTCGCCCATCGAGACGCTCTGCATTGCATAGGAAGTCCGAAATCTCCACTTCACCGCGTATGTCATGCATGTCGTCCACTGTTCGCTTCTAGAAAGCATGATCTATAGGCGGGGGTTGCAGTAGATCACGGCCCGCGCCGCAGCCGTATGTCAGGAGGCTTAGAGAATCAGAATCAAGACGCCTCGTACGTGATGCGGGCCGGTCTCTCTGAGAACAGACGGAAGAAATGGGCAATCGCGTGCTGATTGATTAGTTAGCCAAAGGCTCCTTTCATAAACGAGCAACTCCCATCCTTCTTGCCCCTCTTCTACTGCGGATGTCTTCGTATAAAAAGATCACTGCAACACATCTTTCCGCCGCAATATTCTCTTCGAGAACCTCCTCAAAGTAGCCGTCAATATGACGATCGAAGAGCACCCAGATCAGTTTACCAACACCCGCAAAGCGGACTTCAAGTCGATTTATAACCAGCCGGACCCGCGGGCGTACTTTCAGGCTCTTGCCCCGCTGCAATACCAGATCCCGCAACAAGCTCTTCCCTTCATGGAACAAGTTTTGAAACTGTCGGCCTCTTCAGGAGTCGATGGGGGCGATGATCTCAAGCACCGCAAAGTTCTCGACGTCTGTTGTTCATACGGAATCAACGCTGCTCTCCTCCGTCACGGCGTAGACCTAGACTCTCTGTCAAAGTACTATGTTTCCTGCTCGAAGCTTTCAGTACAGGAGCAGGTTGCCTCAGACCAACGCTTCTTCGCCTCGAAGCTTCGTCGTCCGGAGGTCGAAGTCCTTGGTCTCGACGTCGCTCCCGAGGCCATCGGTTACGCTGTGAAAACCAACCTTCTCCACGGTGGCTGGGCTGAGAACCTCGAGACGTCTGACCCATCATGTCGATTCCGTGAAGCGCTGAAAGACGTCGAGGTAGTGGTTTGCACTGGCGGGGTCGGCTATGTCGGTGTGCGGACCTTCTCTCGCATTGTGGCCGCCTCAGAGAACCCTTCCAAGTTGTGGATGGTCACTTTCGTCCTGAGAGTGTTCTCGTTTGACGAGATTTCCGACGCTCTGGAGGAGAAGTACGGACTGGTTACGGAAAAGGTGCGAGGGCGTCTGTTTCGGCAGAGGAGGTTCACATCCATCGAGGAACAGAATGCTGCTGTTGCTGATGTTCGAGCAAGGGGACTCAATCCAAGTGGCTTGGAGGAGGATGGGTGGTTCTATGCAGAATGTTACGTTACGAGACCCAAGGGTGTCGCTGTGAAGATGCTCGACTTTGAAAGACTTTAAAGTATCTCAGGCTCGGGCATGCCAGTCAATTTTGAACTTTGGAAGCAGCAGCAAAGAAGTAGATCACTAGACCAATGTGTTTTGTCATGATAATGGTATATACGACATCTAAAGTGTGTATCTAACAGGTGGGTAATATGTACTGATGGAAGGCGTCAAAATGCTTGAAGACTCGGCTTAGAATCTCCGGTAAACGGCTCTGGTCCGGTTCGAAGCACCAGTGCCATTCGAAGCCTGGACGTAGAAGTCGATGCAGCTCTCGTAGGTCTGCTTGTTGGTCTCGGCGTACCAGTACCACTGGATAGCGCACTTGCCACCCTCGTTGCAGGACTCGGACAGAGTATCAGGGATGGTCACGTTGAAGTCGGCTGTGGATTCCCGTTAGCGCATGGAAACGAAGCCAAATGTGATGCTTCGACTTACTGTCAGCGAGGGGGTCCGGGTTCTCGGTCGGCCAGTCGGCCCAGGAGATGAGGGGCTCGCCGATGACGGTGTTGGTCGCGAGGTCAATGACGGAGATGTTCTATGGCAGCATGTTAGAGTCCGGTTGCTTGGACAAAGTATCATGGAATGAGACGTACGGCGTGGCCTGGTCTGTGGCCAGCGACAAGGTCGATGTGGAAAGGAATGACCTCTCCGGCGGTGACGGCCTTGACGTTGTCGACGTTGTCCTCGAATTGGTACCCGCGGCACATGAAAGCGTTGCACTTGTAGTCGGCGTCGGCGACCTTCATGGCGTTCTCGATGGGACCGGCAGCGTCTGCATTGGATTGTTGTTAGTCATAGCTGAAGTGACGATGAGTCTGAACAAACATACCACTCTCGAGCTGGTTGGTGACGGCAGTACCGCAAAGCTCCTCCTGCTTGGCACCGGTCTGTCGATCTCGATTAGCTCGGGGCCGGAAGGGAAAGGGAAACTCTCGGATCCGAAACTCACGGTGCGAGGCTCGGGGTCCTGGACCACGCCATGGCCCCAGACGCCGGTGACCAGAGCCGCAATAAGAGCGTGTGTAAGCTGCATTTTTCAAAAGATTGACTTCCGGAAGGCCTGCCGGTGGAACGGTTCGAAGTGAAGGAATTGGGTAAAGAAAGATGTGTCGCACTGCCGGATAGCCGTCCACGCAGGGCCAGAGGGAGACTGTTTTAAAGAAAGCGAGCAGAATTTCACCCACCGATCGGGAACTGCTTTACGGATAGAAATTAAAGGTCACCGATGGATCTACAGGAACTGTTCCTCCGCCCGTTGTTTAATTCATCGCGCACGCGTGTTGTACCCGTTCATCCCTGGTTTCTCCACTAATGGCGGACGAAATGCCGCCAATGCTGCCCCTGAAGTCATCTACTTGAGGCGCCGCCGTAAACAACCTTGCAATCCACCGATGTCCCTGGTGGAACCGCAAAATCAAAACGAAACACGCAATTCATTCGACAATTGGTGGACTTTTCGGCTGGGCAAACGGGTTGGGCGGGCTTTGTCCGCATTTGAGTGAAGGAGGTTCGAATTCAGGTTGGAAAGGGGATGAAACGGCGAGTTGACGACCGCATTTCCTAACGCCAAGAGGCAATCCGGCAACGGGAATGCTTGGAGCACGGCGAACGGTGATTTACCGAGATCGGTAGCCTCCGGAGCTGTAGCATTCTCCGAGATCTGTCCCACATTGCGCTCTGAATTAGGATTCCAGAGAACGTCATTGATCTTGGCTATGTACTTCCGTTCACCTGAGAGTTTGGATGTTTTCCAGACCGAGAACGAGTTGCCTCACTGCGAAACCTGAGCTGGAAACCGTCCGGTTCCATTCTCATCCAGAGCGAGAAAAAAAAAACACGCGCCGAAATCGCCGAATCGCTCGATTTTGATTGTTTTCGCGGGGCCGTGTTGTCAATACCACTCCATCTGAAAGATAACGAGCGACAGGTCGATCATGGCTGAATACGATAAGAAGGGCGAAAACCTGATGAATAAGCCTGCGTTGAATTGACCTGTGAATCCATCATCGGCGCGAAAGTTCCTCTCGACTTCCCCGCACTTGAGCTGTCAGCGAATTGAAACACCACCATTACTGTACGATTTGATCCCGTGCAGTTGGAACAACGGCTCGTCTAGTCACTATCATGGCTGGAAACATTCCAGTTCCAATTGAATCGCGGTTTATCCAGAATGTGAATAATCCGAACGATTACCTCACCTTCTCAGGCGATCTAGACGTCCTCGTCCAACAAGCTCTGGAGCGTATCATTGCCGAAACTCCTCCACTGGCTGCATACTCTCCTGCGCAATGTCGAGGTCTATTTCGGGGGCCTACGTCCCTCGCCTACCTCTTCTTGAAACTGGGCGTCAAATATCCGTCCATGAGGATTCAAGACCAATCCTCAGGTCATTGGGCCCAGCTTTACATGGACGCGGAACGTACAGGAGGCGATTCAGCGCCTTGTGGGTTGGCATGTGAAAGTGCCGGGTACTGGGCCGTCAAGACTATGATGGATGGAGCCAACGCATCCAGGTTTTGCGAAGAGATGGACCGGTTGGCGAATGAGGAGGATCACCCCCATGAGCTCCTCTTTGGTTACGCCGGGTTGCTGTACATCATTCGCGCGGTCGAATCATGGGTATGTTGGTTAGTCTTACATCATAACTCGGACTAACAGCAATCAGAGACCCGAAGCTGCCCGTTCGTTGACAACAATCAAAGCCCGGATGATGGAGAAGGTGCTCGGCGCCGGGCCCGGGTGGGTCTGGCGGGGAAAGCGATACATCGGAGCTGTACACGGCGACATCGGCATCTTGACACAGATCTTACTGACAGATCCAAAGCTTGCTGGAAATTCTATGGCAGTAGCTTCCCTTGATCGGTTACTCAGCTTGCAGCGTGAGGACGGCAACTGGACCACCAAAGATGACGACGATATCCGCTATGAAGGACTTGTCCAGTTTTGTCATGGGCACCCGGCTTCGTGGCATCGCTTTTGAGTATACGGCGCCTTTTCCCCGGAATGCAAGATCGCATAGATCATGCTATTGATCTTGGAAGACAGGCGATATGGAGGTTTGGTTTGTTGCGAAAGGATCCTTGTATCTGCCATGGAATTCTGGGCAATGCCATGTGAGTATGCACTCTTCAGGCTAGCCACGGACTTGTTTTGACTGTCGGTTGTAGGACGTTTCCACCAGGACCACGTAGAGATCACTTCCTGGCCTGGTCGTTGCCAGCGAAGCTCACAGAAGAGCGTGAAGCAGACGAGACCACTTTCCCTGATGAAGATGCGGGGAAGATGTCGACCTGGTTCAACTATTGGCCTGGTGCGGCATGGGCTTGGTCGGAATACCAGTCTGAGATTCCTGGTATCATTCTTTACACTGATGTCTAGTTATGTTTATTGAGTCTATTGATTCCCATACAACCTGGATGTACCTCAATCGGATAACGGTCTTCCCGCCTCCATCGTATCTGCATCATTGCGTTTCAAGTCTCGTGCTCCTCCTTGTAAGTTGAGTCTATCCTGTCGTGTTGGGGACGTCGATCACGTCCTTGTTCTGGGGCAAGCTCATGATAATGAGGTATAGTACGTCCTAAGAGCCATGTTAGCAAAGGCTTCCCATTGAGGTTTCTCTGACTTACATTTTGGAATAGACTCCTTATGATATCGCGGGGGTTCTTCCCTTCTGTAATTCCTCCCTGTCTCTGATCTTTGATAGTTTTCTTCTCTTCCTTAAGCTTCTTTTTCTCTTCCTCTTTGGTTCTTTTCTGCTGCTTCTTTAGCTCTTTAGCCTCCTTCTCCTTCAGCTTTCTCTGGATTTCCTCTGCCCTCCTCTCTTCCTTCATCTTCTCTTTGAGCTGGGCCTTTGCCTCCGCTTTAGTAAGTGGGCCGAAGGGGTTTTGCTCGTCATCATCAGTGGTTACTTTGCCGAAACTCTCCTCTTGCTGCCCTGTTTGTGTTCCTTCTTCCAATCCTGGAGCTGTACCCTCATCGCCATTTCGAGTATCTCGTGCGTTCTCACTGTCATCGTCGGCCTTCCTCTTCACTCCATTTGCGTCATCTGACTTGCTTGTTTCTTCAACATGAAGCTGGGCCGGGTGTTTACCCCCTTCATCCTTCTTCGAGGTCATTTCTTTCCGCTTATACTGCCAGGTGCCGCCAGTCACCAAGGCTACGATGTCACCGCTTGCAGCCGGATGTGATGGGTCGGCATATCGCGACTTGAAGCCCGGCCTGGGTATTGAGCTGGCGATCAAATGATCGGGGTTTCCATCGATCCAGTCAACCTGAGATCGCTTGTCCAAATATCCATCGAGCCATATCTCGGCTCGATCCAGAGCATTCTTCTTCTTTTCGTCCACTTTACCCTGACTATTCTTTAACTTCTCCAACGACGCTGGAAAGACAAGCGGTGCTGGCTGTGACCACCCAAATGCCCCGTTATGTGCCTTCATTCTTCGTGCGAACTTCTGTTGGATATTCTTGAACTGGTCCTTTTCTGGTCTTTTCTCATCCGGTGTCTCTGTCTTATCCCGAGGCAGCTCCGATTCAGAACCTGAAGTAGATGTCTTGCCATCGAAACCGACCGCAACCTCGCTTTCGCTGGTGTCCGGTTTCCATGTCGCGACAAAGCAGACAAGCCCATGGGGAGCAAAGAAGTCTTCATTGACGCGGTCCAGGAAGGTATTCGATTTGAAGCGGCTTTGGGCTTCCATGATGCCTTCGACTGCCACGCCGAGAACGATCCCGAAGGCTGTCAAAGCAGGGTCGGGTGAGATCAGGTCTGCCAAGCCGGCCAGATTGATGGCATAGAGATACGGATTTGGCACCAGAGACTTGTTGAAAGTGTCGATAAAATCAAGAAACGTCTTCTCGTCGATTCCCGCATCTGCTAGGATTGGTGGGTAGGCTCTTACAAACCCTCGCACTCGCGTTTTCGGGCGCCTTTGAGGCAACACCACCGGCAGGGCGAGTTCTCCACTGTTGGCATGGCCTTTGTCAGGATCGGCTTGATTTCTCTTGAGAAACGCCGTGGCGAGATCACCAGAGTCCTTCGAAGGCTTTAAGCCCGCCTCATCTGCGACATCCTGTGTCGTGATACGCTGCTCGGCATCGTCGAGCTCCCAAATCGCGTCGTGCACACGTTGAGAGTTTGGCTCCTCCGTTTCGGGGTGGGAAGTCTCGTCGTCCTTTGCGACCGTCGAATCCTTCTTATTTTGCCGGTAATGCGCAACTTCCGAAAAGAAGCCAACGCCTGAAGCAGAAGCTCTGACAAGATCGTCAACTATGTCGTCTCTTTTCGTGATGGTCCCGCTGGTTCTCGTAAAGGTCTTGTCTCTCTCCCGTACGAGCTGCTGTACGACACCTGATGTTGCTTTGGTCCATAAATCTTTGCCCTCTTTGGTGAAGTTGGAGCTCATTCTGGTGGCTGACAGTAGAACCCAGCAGAGACGATGATGATACAGCAATAGAGAGTTATTAAGGTCGAGTTGATTAAAACACCCGATGTCAACTGTATGAGCCAGAAGCAATGAAACTAAACGACGACTAGTTCGGGTTCAAAACTGAAATTCTGGTGTACCAACAAGTTGAAATAAACATGGACATACCAACAGAATCGAATCGAACAATTTAAGGTATATATGTGGAAAATGAAAAGGCTCAGCCACAGTCCCAACAGCTTCCCGCTGCACAATCTCGCACTCGCATGTGTTGCGAATCAAGTCCGACGCTATTTGCTCAGCTGCCCTTGGCACGTCAGCAGCCAAGGTAATCGTACCGCTGTCCGCGGAGGGCGCTAACCTGGCATTGCCTCAGTCGCTTCTATGCGTAATTCAACGTTCACAAATCAATATGATAATCAAGTAATTGGTGATGGCTTAGTTTACATACTATGGGAAAATTTGGTTCTTTCGTGATCGAAGTCGTGATATTACAGAAGGTTGACTCGATTGAACACCCGACGGCAACTTGACACAATGCATGTAACCTCGCCTTTAGTCATGCTATTGCTTCCAATTTGATCCCGACAACAGCAAAGCTGATATGACCCCGTTCATCTAGAAGCTCACGGTCTTAACTTCGCCGGGGTCTCGCCGGAACAGTGGGTCAGACAGTGGCTTGGGATTGAGTAGAGCATTTGGCCCAGGATCGTCATACCCACTCCAGGTTGCGATCAGCAACAAGGATCATCCGGCGTTGTGGCAGAGTGGTCTAATGCGCAAGACTAGAAATCTTGTTCCTTCGGGAGCGTCTGTTCGAATCAGGCCAACGTCGTCTTTTGCTTTTTGAAGTTGATTACAAGCCGCGCTTCACTTTTGCGCTGCTAAATCTTTAACGATAGAGGGCTACAACATAACTTAAGCGTCACGAGCATTTCCTTTAATTCTATCTTCTATTTGTTTCTCTTCTTGCTTAACTGCCTTTTGAGCGCGTAGTACACAACAGAGTGACTCATAAAACATAATGATAAGTGGCGCTATCCACAGCAGTGCGTCTCGCAAATAGCGGTGAACGCCTGACATGGAGACTCCTACAGCTGGACGAAAGTATCCCACCTGTCAAGGTGCCAGAGTGGTTAATGGGCTGCCCTGCTATGGATCCTGATCTCTGATCAGTGTCTTGGTTGTTCAGGCAGTGGCTTCGGTCGCGCAGGTTCGAATCCTGTCCTTGACGATATTCCTTTTTGCTCATGTACCATCATCCTCGCGTATTCTGCGCCTAATTGGAACCACCGTGACTACGGCATCAAGTGCGTAGTCGTTAATGCACGAATTGGCCGGCAGAGCCTAGAGTGGGTTTCCTCTTAATGCTTCATCGCTCCACCCATTTTTGCTGGAAATGTCGTTACTCCAACTACATACTGTCTCGCTCTACCTAGCACGATGTAAGCCCCGGTGATTTGACACTTACTGACCATTCCCTCGAAATCGCCAGAGACCGACAACACTAAAAGGCACCAGGAGCCTGTGACACCAAGAAACGTTCGCATGCTTTAAAGAAATGAGACTCTGACACGTTGGTCTGAGATGTCAGCCATCTCTCATATCAGCTTACATGTAGCCACATCTAGGAATCTGATTTCAATGTGGCTTTTGTTATGAATATTTAGCTATTATCCTTGATTCTCCTTCGGTCGGCTTTCATACACCACATGCAATCTTCAGCAATACCCGATGAAGCAAGCAACGCCCGTGCGGCCATATTCTCAAACTGGCTGGAGAATGAGTCTTCTGTAAGTAACCAAGGGCAGATCGCCGTTGTCGTGAACCGACAGAATCAGATGCATTGTCTGCGAGAAAGTTGATTAGCACAAACGTGTCTGTCCACGGTTAAGCTGCAGTTTTCCTACCGTGTTGCGTTGAGGGACCACTTTAACTGCACTTCCAGCATCGTTCAAGCTTGTGATGTTGAGATCTTTGCTGATGAGCGGGATTTCGAAGCCCTCCAAACCGCGGCCACCTGCCTCACGGTAGTGGTACCAATCGAAGCTGAGGTCGTCGTCGTCCGGATCCCAGCTTTCAGAGGCGTCAAACACAATCTCGTCACCAAGCTTGTAGGATATCTCCCAAGCCGCCGGCCCGCAAGACCCGTTGACAACGGCAATCGGCTCGTGGTTGTTCTCGTCGAAGTTGCTGTTGATGGTCCACTGCATACGCGCGGCGAAGTCGAACTGGTAGGCTTCTCTCCATCGCCAAATGGTCGCGAACCTGCTGAGGAAAGCCTTGCCATTGGCACCCTCAACGTAATCCGCAGTGTCAGAGTAAACCTTGCGGAAAGCAGCAGTGGGTGCATCGACAGGCACATAGCGTCCGCCCCAGCTGCCCCATTGCGGGTTGTCGATATCTCCGAGGCCGTTCTGGACAAGAGTCAGGAACGCGGGAGTATCGCCCTCCATGATGAAAGACCAGTTGAGGTAGTGAGCCCCAAGAGGACCAATGCGGATGTGTTGCTCCAACCAGTCGTTGGAAACAATGTTGGAGTCTGGGCCGCCTTCATCGAAGTGTCTGTACTCCTCGCCAGAGATTCCGATCCAAGTCGGCTGGGTGTACTCGTTCCAGCCGTGCAGCGAGACGATGTATGACAGCTCCGGGTAATGGAACCGAATCCAAGATCCTGCATCGTCCTGGTCCGAAATAGAATAGACTCGAAGTTTGCCAACAAAAGTGTGGACAGCATCAACGTCACGAGACTCTGAAACATGCTGAAGAGCCTCGGCCAAGACGGCAGCGCCGCCCCAAACGGAAACCCAGAGAGGGCTTTCAGACTCGTCGGTTGCTGTGATGAGTGCGGTAGCGGCATCACTCAGGTTGTTGGCCTTGAGCGCCTCCAGCCCGTAAACCGGATGAGCAGATGTTATCTTGCTCAGAATATCCTCGGTCGAGGGGTACGGCGCATACGACGGAGCATTGGCACTCAGGTTGTCCACGACGTTGCCGTATCCATCGCTAATAACCTCGCGGATCGTCTCGGGGTCGGTGCGATTGCGAAGCCAAGTGGAGGTGGTAGCCGCAATACCTCGGATGTCGAATTCGTTGGCGTAAGTTAGGAAACGAACCAGACTCATTTGGTCGTCTGGTTCATTGCTCATGTCGGTAAGAACGAAGACTCGGGGTTTGTTCTCATATCGAGACGATTCGCATTTGGCATCTTGTGCCAACGACAGAACCGGGAACAAGAGTAATAGAGTCCCAAGGAGGGCACGCAAAACAGAACTCGCCATTTCGAAATCAAGACAAGTGCGTTTACCGTGAAGACTACGCTGTGCTGTCTCTGCAATGAGGACTTCAGACTTCCACAATATTTATATTCACTCGCATACTACGTAGCCTCTCAGCAAGTGACTCAAAAGGCTCCTACAATTGCCCAATACGCGTTTAATTATGAGGCGAGGTGGATGCAATTACCATAAGCAGGATGTTAATCCAACTCTTGTAATAACTATGGCGACTTCTTCCTCACTCCAGATTCCGGGGAATGTCGGTACTCGGTAGAGAAGCCATTAGAGCGGTTCGAATCCACAAAATAAGAAAATTCTGCATGGGAGCATTCGGAAAAACATTGACTGGAAAACAAGATCTACACCGTCTCCTGTGTGGGTGGATGACGATGTTGCATATCCCCACGATGTGTTCTTCCCCATTAAGGCAAGTTGCGGGGTAAACCCCAGAATCAACAGCCGAAGTGGATGAAGGGCGCGTAACATTACCTTCTTTGGGATCATAAAGTCAGCAAGCAGTGGTCATAAGAGCCGGTTGGCAGGTTGTTTTGCAGTAATTCCGAAAATGTTTGTCATCGCGAAACCGAGATTCTGCCTTGGCCGCATTACCGCCTGTGCAAACACGCCATTGCAGCACAAGATGACGTGAATGAATCGAATGTTTACTTTCAAGAGAACAGAAAAGAGTTAAAAGCCCGGTTTTACCAGATCAGTTAGATGTCGTGATGACGAAGTTCAAGGAAGGTAATGCGAGAAATCTGTTCAGTGTTGTCTGAAGATCATTGATACCAGAGGTGTTTGTTACCGAATCCAGACTTGCAGTTGACTCACTACTGGCTAACTGAGTCTGGGTTCTTGGCCCTCATGTGCATCATGAGGAATGGTTCATCTCACGAACCGAACCACTCGATCTGGCAATATCCTTGCAGCCATGCACGAACTACAGCTACTCTCACTGAAGACATGTAGCAATAGTTGGAGAACAGCCCCTTGGTTAACGGCGTATACAAGCCAATTGAATGTCGCGGTCCGCCTCGAAACACAAGCCGAGATCAATGTCGCGGGTTTGGCGTCTGTCTGTGTTCCCAGTCACTCGATTAAGCGATCCGGCGTTCATGGTACGGAACACAGTTCAGGGTCCCACGAGCCATCTGAGTACAGTCTGGAGAACAAGTGCCAGCCTAAACAGCCTCAGGCTAAGCATTCTTGAATATGGTCGGAAATTAAGCTTAAGAACATAAAGGCGGGTCCTCCGAACAGAGTTCATTAATCCCGGCGGTGGTGTAGCGGTGTACCAGTTTGACGGTTGCCAACCTTGCAGATAGCTGTCTGGAATCTCGCTACCGGGGGCACATGGCAACGATAACTTCACGCCGTCGCAAAGCAGCAACTAGCGGACGTTACGGACGTTGAAAGCTGAGCGCTTGGCGTTCTCTCCAACCTCACCGACATCTTCCACGAAGAAAAGCAACGGTCCAGACCGTGCTGGGGAGTGCCGAAACAAGTCTAGATATGCTGCCACGAGGAAGTTGCTCAGAAACAAGCCATCAATCTGTCAGCTAAGCTCCATATTGTTTGGGCTCGATTTACCGGTCGTGAGCTAGATCACCCGAGACATGGGTAGCTGGAAAATAAGCGATGAGGCCTGCGTACCAGTCTTTGTTAGGTTCAGCACGTGGAAATTACGAGGCGTTAGGCTGAGACCAGAAGAGTTCGTGCGATTCGGCTTTTCTCTTTAAAGCAACGAACCCCTCATTCCTTGACCCTGAAGCGGAATAGCTCACATCGTGGCGTCAAGCCAGCTGGAGCTAGCAACTGTCAACCACCATGATTACCGCAGGACTACGGCTGCCAAACCAAACAACCGGAACCACCAGTAAGACGCTGAGCATCAATCTTGCGGAATCAAGTGACTTCTGTCTTCTGCCGTTCTAAGTGAGGCTGAAGAGATGCCAGTAGGCTGTTAGAGTAGTTCCCGAGTAGCGTCCGTTGCCTAAGCAAGTTGCAAGTTACCATAAGTAGTATACAGAAACAGACTTCAAGGTCCCAACCACGTAGGAGTTATATAAGATGAATGATTCACCCGGCATAGATGTGATTTTAACAGCAGGCTTCATTGCATCATCAACTCCTTCCTCACTTCTTCGCTCTACCTTACAAATCAGTTCGATCCTGACCAGCTAAGTCACGATGTCTATCACTTCCTTCACCCGCTTCGGTCTCATGGCACTGCCGTTGATGGCACCTCTTGTTTCTGCCGTCGCAGTTCAGCGTCGTACTCCAGCCTTCTCCGGAGGCGATTGCTACCACGAGCCTCCCCGCGACCATGGACGCGCTCTGAAGGACAGCGGTACCTCTTCTGACTCCATGACGAAAGAAGTCTGCGCCGAGTTCTGCAAAGACTACAAGTACTTTGGCGTTGAGTATGGAAGAGAGTGCTACTGCGGCAACGTCCTCACTTCCAGCGCGACGAAGGTGGATGCTTCCGAGTGCAACATGCAATGCAGCGGAAACTCCAACCAACCTTGCGGCGCTGGAGATCGTCTCAACCTCTACACTCTCGATGGTTACATCGCTCCCTCGACAAAGAATCTGGCGGAGCACAACATGTTCTACCAGGGATGCCACACCGAGGGCGACGGCGGCCGTGCCTTGAGCGGCTTCGACTATTCTTCCGACACTCTGAGACCCTACGACTGCGTCAGCACCTGCGCAGGAAAGGGATACAACTTTGCCGGCCTCGAATGGGGCCGGGAGTGCTGGTGTGGCAACTACATCCGCGGCGGTCACTGGGCCCCGGAGTCCGATTGCACCAAGCCCTGCACCGGCGACATCAAGAGCTTCTGCGGCGAAGGCGGCCGTCTCAGCATCTACGCCATGAAGACTCCTACGACCGCAACTGTCACTGGGGCTACCTACATGCAATGCGTCAAGGATACCCAGAGCCTTCGCTTCCTTGAGACCGGAGATCGCCTTGCTGCCGACGACATGACTGCTACCAAGTGCGCCAGCTTCTGCAGCAACTACAAGTACTTTGGTGTTGAGAACGGCCGGGAGTGCTACTGCGCCAACGACTTCTCTGTGGATCTCCAGTCCGCCTCTGCCCCGGAGACGGACTGCAACACTCCTTGCTGGGGAGACGGCACCACTCTCTGCGGCGCCGAGAACCGTCTCAACCTCTACAAGTCGACGACCACAGCTCCTGCTGACACCACTAGCAACACTGCCGGCAACTACCAGTACTTGCAGTGCAACGTCGACAACGTCAGCAGCCGTGCTCTGGCCGATGACCACTTCGCCGACGACACCGGTATGACTCCCAATAAGTGTGCCAGCCTGTGTGGCGCCAAGAACTTCCAGTACTTTGGTCTGGAGTACAGCAGAGAGTGCTTCTGCGGCAACCAACTCGGCGGTGCTGTCGCCCCCTCAGGCGATTGCTACATGAAGTGCACTGGCGACTCTACCAAGATTTGCGGTGCTAGGGACCGCCTTTCTGTTTATCAGATCCCCTCTCCTAACTAGACAACAACTTCAAGTTGTCGCCTGGATTATGGGGCTCCTAGTGCTCTTCAAGGGCTGAATAACACGTCATAATCGAATGTTCCCGTGTGAACAAGACCTTCAACAGACCTTCAACTCCATTAGTTTTGGCTTTCCCATATGGAATCAGCAGTTTCCATTGGTATCTTCAAGTCTTTATACCTTACTCACTAGTTCATGTCCCGCAACGATTAATGAAATATGACTCTTTAAATCAAGCCTAGAAAATCTTACCTATGTTCATGTTGAATTCATTTGGTTGGCATGAAGACTAGAATCAGTATGATGTCCTATTTGCATCGTCCTGTCCCAACCGGATCTCCCCTGGAGAAAGAGCAAGTCAGGGCTGACTACACTTGAAATGCTCAGAGTACTCCATGAAAAAAATACTCTTTTAGTTTACGAATTTTACCACAAAGTTGTTACACAGGCTTGGGGCATCACTCAACAGTTAAAAGTAGCTAACAAAGCCTGAAGGGACTGCAGCACTGTCCACCGTCGAATGATCACACATTTAAGACGCACGAACTCAAGAGAGCAGACAAAATATGTCCTATTTGATCATTGGTGGCTTAATTGACTCGATTTTCTAAGTGTCTCTTCTTGTTGCATAACTGAGGTTGGTGTGGTGCGCTTGCGCTTGCGCTTACACTTTCAATGCTGAAAATTCCCCGCCGCATAAGTTTCTGATCAGACCCACGCCATCCAGCGTCCCTTCGGACTTCACCGTGGAGTCAAATGGAAGAAAGTCTTTCGTCATCAATAAGAGACGAGGGAGATATGTTACGAAAAATCCAGAAGCCGCAAGGAAAACCTGTTTGACTGTGCGACCGATTTTGTCAAAATTCTTTAATTACTAGGCAAAACCGCCAGTTTCAAGTAACATGTCGGTGCTTTGACTTAGACAAGGATGCTGCGGAGGCCCTAATCGGGCAAGGCCGCCAACTGAACGTCCGCAGAGCCTCGAAGACCGTCGACAATATGTAATCGATCAGAAAGTAACCACACATCTCACAGTGACGTCAACTATGCTCGTTGATATTCTCGGCCATATGCGGATCGGCCCGATGAGATCTACTAACATCTGTAATCAAGACGGTTGAATCATCGAGTCATTTTGCTGCTGATAAATGCTTCACAGGCTTCACGATTTCCTATTGATCTAGGCATTTTGCCCAACTCCCACCGGGTGCTGATAAATCAGCGATGACGATGCGTACTATTGACCTGAGAAGTCTGGAGTTCAAATAGTGTCGACCCCTTCGAACTTGAGGTAGCTGAACCATACGCTGAGAACCGACATCTTCCACACAACAACCGCATCTTATCCTCACCAACAGCCACCGCTATCTTCAATCATGGCCACTCAGCAAGTATACCGTCTGCCTCAGCGCACCTCTGTTCAGGATCTCAAGGTCGGCACGGAGTCCGTGCCTTCTCCTTCGTCTTACGAGGTCCTCATTCGGATTCGGAACGTCGCACTCAACTTCCGCGACTTCGCCGTGGCGACTGGCAAATATCCTTTCCCGGTCAAGGACAATGTCATCCCTTGCTCCGATCTTTCAGGCGATGTCGTCAAGGTTGGCCAACAGGTGGACGGCTTCGCCGAGGGTGACAAAGTCGTCGCAGCTTTTGACCTCAGCACGCTCTACGGACCCATGAAGGACTGGAACCACAGCCTTGGCGGCTGCTTTGATGGAGCTCTGCGACAGTTTATTGTCCTGCCGAGCTCTGCTTTGGTCAAAGTTCCTTCGGAATCGAAGTTGAGCTACGGCGAGCTTTCGGCTCTGGTGTGCACCGGATCAACGGCTTGGAACTCCCTGTACGGGAACACCCCGCTGAAGCCTGGTCAAACCGTTCTTTTCCTTGGTAAGTGATGCTGTGGAGTTTGAAAACAGTCAAGTATCTAATTTCGATATAAGGAACCGGCGGTGTTTCGATTACCGGACTCATGCTTGCCAAGGCAGCCGGAGCGACCACGATCATCACGTCCTCTTCCGACTCGAAGCTCAAGTATGCCCAAGAGACCTATGGTGCGGACCATCTCATCAACTACAAGACGACCCCCGACTGGTCGAAGGAAGTTCTCAGAATCACCAAGGGTCATGGTGCCGACTTCATCTTCGAAAACGGCGGTGCCGGAACCATTGCCCAGAGCATCAATGCCGTTGCCTACGGAGGTTCCATCGCTGTCATTGGCTTCCTTGCCTCATGCCCCCAGGACCAGATGCCCGATGTCGCTGCCTTGGCTTTGTCGAAGGGAGCAGTTGTCCGTGGCATTATGGTCGGATCTAGACAGCACCTGGAGGAGGTCACCCGTTACGTAGTTGCTCGGGGCTTGAGAGTGCCTGTCGAGAAGGAATTTGGTTTCGGGCGGGATGAGATCATTGCTGCATTCGACTACCTCTCCACCGGCTCTCATGTCGGAAAGGTCTGCATCAACGTCCAGTAGGGTAGCATCAACTGATCTCTAAGGACACTGTGGATGGAATGAAAAGTGAACAGGGTTTTCACAACACTCTTCAAGGCAGAAATTTGTCCTCAGAAGAACAAGCTAGCACTTACAATAGCAATAGACAACCCACTTGACTCATATTTCTCCGTTCCATTTTAGCGATTGTCCATCAACCTCTGAACACTAGACTTTCTGTATAGCTTCTATATCTGTACTCTGTCTGAGCACGGCAGACCTTAGTCATTCTTTACACTTGAGCTTGGTCTTTAGTTTATGAGTAGGTAGTATTCGTGTTCGTAAACGCCTGTAAGATTGGCCATGCATACGTTCGAAGAATATCTCACGACAACCACCATGTCGCTTTGAAACATATGTCAAGGGTTGACAGGCCGCTTGGGGCATAGTTCGTTAGGTTATGTTAGTCAGGCTGATGTACCGGAGATTGAATGGGGAAGAGGCGGCGAGGGGTTCAAGCATCGAGACTACACGTATGTCTATTTCCGACTCATTTGGCGCCTCAAGGCTCCAACCCGAGCTCCTTTAGCTAAGCCTGGCTCGTTGATGTACGCCAGAGCGAAGTATTACACATTTCGTCAAACATTCTTAGATACGGACTTTCCCGAGATTCACTCAAGCTTGGTTTGCTCACAATCTGGTTTTGACTCCTTCACAAGTGCTCACAAACCATTGCGTACCCACGTACCCTCTAACCCGTGAGTGAAACCAGTACGAGCCTTGGTTCATTGCAACGAGATGAGCATGCTTATTTGATGTTAAATTATTGCGATAAGAATAGTCCCAGCGTCGGAAGGGATCGCGGGGAACTCCGCATGAGGAGTCTGCCCTATCAAGCGTGCCGTTGAATAAGGTCGGGTTTGGCCACGTTGAGTTGCTGCACTCTAGAACTCAAAATCAGGAGATCGATGTATTTCTATAGGCACTACATGGAAAGATCCTTTCAAATGAGAGCGAAGTGATTAGCTCCAGGCGCCAAAACGCTGAACCTCGACCAACCTTATTGAGTCATGTCGCAGTGATCCAGCGAATTGATCTGATGTTGCTTGTTCGGCAGATGGAGGCTATTCTTCGTCAACGTGACTACCACGCGTCTTTACTGAGAACAACGTCGATGCACGATTCAGCTGTTCGGCATCGAATACCCGAATCGATAAAGAAGGTCTTCCTGGTCTCGCTTAATGAGGCCTAGATGAACCTCAAAAGTTCGGAACAGACTATGCCATGGGAAACCCCCATATCATCAGCGGGTGTTATACCCGTCTTGATCAAGTTACTATGTACATAGAAAGAGGTTTTCTCCGGCCGAGTGAAGGTGGAGACTTGAGGTTTCTTCTCTTTGGCTTCATCTGACCTTCGCAGACCTTTGGAGGTGACTTTTTCTGCTTATTTCTAGAAAGCAGTCAGCATATTGGTAAAGTTTTCTAGAAATTAGCAGTTCCCAGTCACTTAGTACTCTAAACGAGGCCTTTTCTAGTTACGATCAAGAACATTGGCCTGCAAAATAAAAACGATGTCGTCCGAGTTCTGAGTGGGTAGGTCTCTCGGATATGTCTTTGAATCTTGTGTTACTGACTCACGCGACCCGATAGTCCGCGTTTGAGTTCGACTGCGTAGGCAACGAATGCGTCTACGATGTCTCAGGTCGTAATACCTCCATGTCCAATAGGATGATCGTGTCTGCCCGCAAATACGTCTCCGCGTGAGCAGGAGCCTGCTCTTCAAGCTGTTAAAAGGGAGATGGTGGAGCCATATCTAGACCTCGGCATGGCAGGTCTTTTGTGTTTTCTAATCATCTTGTCAATTGAGACGGTGCATTCATTCTCTGTGCTAGTTGTCGCCATTCGCTTTTAGGCAACGCAATGAGACTGACAGTCTTCGGAGTCTTGACAGGGTTGACCTGCCAAACCATTTCAGCCTCTGTCCCGTTGTCTGCCGCCGGCCTGCCCAATGTAACAACACGAGCGACTAATAGTAATCCCGCCATCGCGGCGACACAACCACCAGCAATTTCGCTTTCTACTTGCGCAGTAAGACCAGGTGTGGCGTTATACTGGTCTGGTGTAAGAGCTAACATTGTCTTCCTTCAGACTAACTGTACAACTGCTGAGCTGGCGAAGTCAACATGTCAGCCAACTGATGCGGCGTGCATTTGCACGAATGAAAGTCTCAATGCAGGGATTGCTGACTGTCTCATGCAAAACTGCACCATTCCCGAGTCTCTTGGTAAGTGCGGAAACCAGCACATTGAGATTCATCGCCGACTACGCTATCCAGTATTTTAATATCTCCTTGGAAACGCCAGAGGCCCAGAAATACCAGAAACTACTATGCGGAGCACCCATCCGCCACAATACAGATCAACCCCCAATTACTTGGACTTTGTTTTCATTATCATTCCTGGCGGTAACGTCTCGGTTCATATCCAAGATCCCGGCGTTCAACCCAGCCTTTCCTTTCGGCTGGGATGACTGGACAATCTTGGCGGCAATGGTTTGTTCTGAATTCCCGAAGTTTTAGAGACAATCTCGAAAGCCGCTTACAAAGCTCCAGCTCGTCCTGGTCCCCGCGGATATAGCATCGCAAGTCCGTATGTGCAGTCCCATCCCACAATCCTCTCCACCTATGAGCCTTGCTTGGTTAGAGAATGCTCACCTGACTGACTACAATCTTGCAGTTGTGAGCATTGGATTTGGACAAGATATTTGGATGGTTTCTCCAGATCACATCACGGAAATACTCTTAGTGAGTTTTCCTTTATCATATGCCGACCTATTCTGACCAGCGTCCAAAGATATTCTTCGCTGAAGAGCTATTCTATTCATTTGTAGTGGCAGTGACAAAGCTGTCCATCATCATATTTTACCTGAGGCTCTTCTCGACCGGCTGGTTTCACACAACATGCTATGTATTACTGGTGATCACCACACTCTATGGGATCGGCCAGATTCTTGCCATCATTCTTCTTTGCTCCCCGATCTCATACAACTGGACTCAATGGGACGGACTGCACGACGGAAAGGTATGTTGACAACCGGGACGTCATTTTCAAGCTGTGATTCTTGGTCAAGACAGTGGTCGTAGTAATTGGGCAGAGGCGGATTTCTGACGCGGGACAGTGCGCGAGCATCACGGTCATGGCGTTCGCTAACGGCTCGTTCAACATCGCCATTGACCTCACTCTGTTCGTTCTTCCAGTTACCCAATTGTAAGTATGGCATGGATGGGATTCAGTTTTCACTTTGTGGCTTCCTTGCACTATCTTCAATGTCTTGTTGACAAGATCAAGCATCAATGTCTCGTGGACGAAGAGGAAAAAGTTCGGGGTCAGCTTGATATTCTTGGTTGGACTATTGTAAGTACTTCAACAGCAGGCTGACACTATGCTATGAGCCACATCACTGACGCTTCGACTCCAGTGTCACTGTGTCGAGCTGCATCCGACTGGCATCTCTGACCAGGTTTGCCGGAACACACAATCCAACATGTGAGTAGGCACAAAAGACCAATCAAGACTCATTTTTAACTCCGTGACTACGCAGTCGACTTCAAGAACCTCTCGATATGGTCATTGGTGGAGATGCACCTCAGCGTTATTTGCGCATGCATGCCGGGGATGACGGCCTTCATCCGGCGCATCAAGCCGCGTATGCCGTGCTGCAACGCGGAAGTGCCTGAAGAAATCAGAAACAAGCCCAGGACCGGTCACGGGGTCATGCGCCGGATTCGAGAGACCTTTACTCGCATTACGGAAGCAGCAAGAGGAAGCGGCAACGGGTCGGCATGGAATAGGTCTAAGAAGACCACGACAAGCACAATGACGGGAACCCAGTTGAGCACCTTTGACAGGGAAGCACCTGAATACCGTGATTACCTCGCTTATGCGTCGTATATTGATAATGGAACCAAAGCAACCCAGACTGGTAGTCCGCGGAGCGAACGAGAGCAAGGGGGTGGCTCTGTTGTTCGGGAGATATCACATTCAACGCCGTAGAAAAGCCCTGATGCAGTGGAAAATAAAAGTCTATTTCTTCGCTACGTGTGACGTTGCACAACAACATGCGTCTTCTATCCCACGCTGCTGTTCCGCTCTACACACTAGTCTGGCGACCAGCGTTGGGCCACGACATTTGAGCACCGCGAGCCAGACGCGCAGAGTGCCCGGTGATGTTCGGGTCATCACCTACGAAGTTGCTTGGAAACCCAATCTCAAACGGCTTGACACTCTCCAAATATTCAATCTGCTCATCTGTGAGCTTGATCTTGAGAGCGTTGACGTTGTCCTTCAAGTGCTCGACCTTTCGGCCTCCCACAATAGGGAAAACATTCGGCGCCTTGCTGCGGACGTAGGCCAGGGCAATAGCTGTCACACTCTCGGTGCCATGCTCGCTCGCGACCTTGGCAAGTGCCTCGCTGATCTTGATCTCCATTTCCGTCTGCTCTCCCGTACTGACGAACGACCTTAAGCCCTCGCCGGTCTTCTTGCGCTCCTCGATGGCCTTCTTCGTCTGGAACTTGCCGGAACCCAGGACGTCCCACGGACACAAGGCCATGCCGAACATCTTGGCCATTGGGAGAATATCGCGCTCGAAATCGCGGTGCATGACGCTCCAACGTCCTTGATACACACTGAAGGGCGTCTTTCCGTGGTCGATGGCATAGGTATTCGCTGCGCTGACGACCCAGGCAGGCGTGTCAGAGATACCGAGATAAAGGACCTTTCCTTGCTCAACCAGGATATGCAGGGAGTCCATGATCTCCTTGATTGACGTCGTGTGATCCCACCAGTGCAGATATAAGATGTCGATGAAATCGGTCTGCAACTTCTTCAGGGACGCCTCAACGCTGAGATGGAGACTTCGGCGGTGGTTTCCCATGAAATTCGCCGTGTTACCCTTGCCGTACTTGTGGTTCCTGAAGTCGGACGTGTACTTCGTGGCAATCACGATGCGATCCCTGTTACCCCTCTCGGCCATCCAGTCGCCGATCCATGTTTCTGACTGCTCGTCCTGGTAATTGTTCGCGGTATCGATGAAGTTTCCTCCTGATTCGAAATAGGCGTCGAGGAGCTTGAACGACTGTTCTTTGTTCATCGCACCCATGGCCTCAGCCCATGCCTCTCCAATTGACATGGCACCCAGGGCCAGTGGGGAAACGCGGATTCCGGCGGTGGACGAGAGCACACGCAGTCTGCCCAGCTCCGTGGGAGGCTCGGGTGCGGCAGCCAGAAAGTTTGACATGGTTGCGGTGTTTTCTTGCGGTTGGTTACGGTTCAGGATGATTTGGACTCTGGTTCGAAGTCAAAGTTGAAATTGGATTCGCAAGGAGTGCAGCTCTCAATTTTGAAAGATGAAGTTGCCTGTGATGGTTTTATATCCATGACGAAGGAGGGGTTCCGGCTGTAGACGGTTGTGTGGAACTATTGTTTACTAATGCCCCGGAAATCGGAAATATGCGCCGGATTTTAGGAACATCTCAGAACCGACTGAATTGTTGAAGTCGCTTCTGTGGAAGGCAGCCGAGATGCGGGGATCTGTGCGATCATGACGTAACGGGCACCGTGGTCGGTTTCGGTAATTATCATTGGTGTCGTATGCAAGAGAAGAGTCAAAGATGCCGCAACAATGCAGGTTCTTCGGGGATAACCATGCAGCTCAGGCCGGCAGTCAGCATCGCCGAACGAATTATTCGGGCTTACTGCGGATCGGCATGCACCGGGTGGGTCACCGGAAGACGCCCGGAGTTTGCGGGGCTAAGTCCGGAGTCCCAAGGTCAGCACTCGGCTCCGTTGTGGGACGCGAGGAGACACGACGTGATAGGAATATTTCAGCCATAATTCCGTTTCGCTGCATGCCATCTTACTGTTGATGAGCTGGATGTTCAACGGTTTCACATAGCCATGGTTCGGGACATGCCTCTAGGCCCGACATCACTAGCGCAGCACCATAATGTGATGCCTTTTCAGCGCCTTCGGCATTCAGTCGGCTTTACTGATGGTTAAGGTATGCTCATTCAATGACTGTGAATAGAAAAGCTACAAGACCTACTAGTGTACTATCGCCACCACCGCAGACGGTGTGATGCTGCTCATTTCCTGGAAGCCTTAAGCTGCTTGACAAGCTTATTCATGTGGATGATTGCGTCCCGTGCCCCGTCCCAGGTCCGCCTCTTTCCAGTCTCGAAGAACCTGAAGGCATGCGCAGTCTCAACACCGTGGTTGATCAGATAGCACATGTACGGGTCCTTGAACCAACTCACCCAACCACGCCATCCCCAACCGAGATTCTCCATTCCAGTCCCAGCAGCCTTATGGAGGAAACCTTGGAACTCCCACTGCTTCACGGCAGAGGGGTCGAATCTGTTCTCCTGGTACCAACGGCCCGCGACCCATTGCTGATGGCGATCGATGGCGCGTTCCATCTCGGGCCTCGGAGGGATCATGTCGGCGCTGACCCCGCGCCAAATGTTGCTCACAGCCATAGAGGTGACGTCGGAGAAGGAGAAGCCGTTGTTCTTGCCGAAAGCAGAGTATGCTAGGATTGCGATGCTGTCGGCATGGGCCGGCGGGAACATGTTCATGTACAAACGATGCATCGGGGCACCGCCGTAAGGGTGTCCTTTGCCGTCAGTTTCGGGCTTGCTCGTTTCGATGAAGGGAACGAGATCAAAATCTCCCTTGTAACCTGTGCAACAAATGACGGAGTCCACGTCGTCGAGAATGGTGCCGTCTTCAAACTCGATCGACTTTGGGCCAGTGAAGCGTTTGATCCCGTGAAGTGAGGTCACCTTGCCCTCACGAAGTAGATGCAGGACACTGTCCATGCACGACACCAGGTTCAAGCTGAGCGGGGCGATGCCTTCCAGCAACCGGAAAGATGGATTTATCTCGCCATGCTGTCTCATGAGAAGACGGCCGCCGAGTAAAGCGAGCTTATTTGTCAAGTTGGGGAACTTGCTCTGGATGATCAACGACACCTGTCTGCGCCAGCGGGTGACGAGCAAGTCAGTTGGGGCGTTGTTGCGCCATCGGCTGACGATCCATGCACCGTTGCGATGAGAAAGATACACTTCCTGGCTCTGTTTGACAAGCAGAGGAAGGATGTCGCTCAGGGTGGCGCTGAGCCCAACCAAGACGACCTTCTGGCCTTTGAACTCAGATGGGCTGGTTTGATGCCGTCAGTTAACCGAAAGAGATGCGTGCTGAAAATCCGACTTACTTGCGAAACTGCTGAGAGTGAATTATGGTGCCTTCGAACGTCTCTTGTCCTTCGTAGACTGGCATCTTCTTCTTCGTTTGGTACCCATGGCAGAAGACCACCTTGTCGAATTGATGGACCTCGGGCTTGCCAGATTTGACCATCTCGACTTGCCACTTGGTTCCCTCGCCGTTGCGTGTTACTCTTCCCACGTTTGCATCAAATACCATGTGATCGTAAAGGCCGAAGTTCTCGGCATAGGACTCCATGTACTCCTCGAACATTGCTTGCGTCAGGAATGGAGGGTATTCTAGGCTGTATTAGCTCAACTTCCAGCTTGCCCGACCAGACCTACTCACTGTCAGGCATTGGGAAATCTGTGAATCCACAAGTATACTTGCTAATGATTGCGGTTGTGGCTAGTGACAATAGTTAGAGGAACATCGTAACCTAGATTACGGATGACGGTGAAGGAGAGGCACACTCGGGAGAGCAGTCGTCATGCTCTTGTCGTCTGTGTACGACCACAAGCCGCCCACACGACTCCTTCTCTCAAACAGAGTGGCGTTGAAGCCATCTTCGCGTAAGGTTTTGAGCATAGAGATCCCGGTGGAACCTGCTCATCGCGTCAGTTCGGGGGTGTACCGGGATTTCCGGGTCCTTGTCTCCACACTTACCGGCGCCGATGACAGCCACGGAGGCCGCGGACGACGGAGTCTTATCCATTTCAAGTTCGGGATCGCGATCGCACTTCAACTTATACAGCTTCCGCGCCGGAATTGAAGGTGTTTGTTTGGAAATATCACTTGGCCTTGAGAGAATATCTTTTTGGCGATGGCAAGAAGTTCAGGACAACAGGAGAATTTTGAGACTGGAAGGGTGATGTTGCGGGCGTATGTAAGCGCTAACAGCCGGAGTGATGCTGCAAGCACCCTATCCCCTTCCAGGCGACATACTGCCTTCCACTCCTTTGATCCTTCAGTCTCGTACTGTCTTATCTGGGCTACTTCCCTTGCTGATTATCACTCGCTAACGGGGAAGCGAGAGGATGCGGAGCTGTTTTGCTAGCCGTTACTTGCCGCCATAAAAGAAACGCCACTTCACGTAGTGTGGCCCAAGAAGAATCTTACCGACAACAATGTACGATGAGAAAGAGCAAGAGGGTGCTTCATCGCATTCTCATCGACCCAAATGAAAGGCAGCTTGCTGGGTTTGGATGAGCTACCTTAGAAATATCTCTCCCAGGCAATAATCCCGACGCGCCCAAGTCAGATCTATGGCCATCTGTTACGCTACAGAGCAACATCTCTGATTTCATCACGAGTCGCCATTTTCGCGACTTGAGATTAAGTAATCAACACAATTACGTGTAATTTCACCTCGGTCAAGCCCCGATTAGCGTAGTTTTGATGCTTGAACCTGATCTAACACCAATAAGATGATTTATGCAGTATGGCTCATGCACCACTGGCAACTTATTCATCGTCATTCTATTATCATGGGAACCGGGTTTCAGATGGCCAACATTGTGGCCTTTCCATAAACAACACAAGTTGGGTATCATACGTCTACGTCTAATTTCACATGCATTTTACAAGTTCTCCTCCTTGCCAAGAGCCGTCTTGACGGCCTCGCCTCTAACCGTGACCTCAGTGGTATAACCCTTGAACTTGCGAGCAGGGACTTCCTTCATGAACAACTCATCCAGCTCCTCGTAAGTTCTTCCAGCTGTTTCGGGGAGGTTGAACCACAAGTGAACCAACGAAATGACCGACAGGCCACCAAAGATAAAGGCAATCTTGGCGCCAAGGTTCAGTTTGTCTGGGTTGAAGCTGCGAAAGTGTTAGATTATGGCTCAAAAGTGCATGGCAGGAACTCAACTTACAGATAGGGCAGAACAAAGTTCCACATGGTCTCCAGAGCCTTCTGGAGTGCAAGACCGATGGCAACGGTCTTGACACGGAGTCTCGAGGTTGAAACCTCTGCAAGGACTGTGTATGCCGTAGCACCGATGGTGACGTTGTACCACCAGCAGTACAAGAGAATAAGGGCGACGGTACCCTTGTTCGTGGCAAGCGTTCCAGGCATAGCCAACCCGCCGGTAACGAGCAGGATCACGGTCAGGATAGCCAGACCGTTCACCGTCAGGCTGCGACGTCCCATTCTGTCGACCAAGTACCAGGACATAACGTTGCCGATAAGGGAAATGACTTGCTGGACGATCTGGAGCTTGAAACTCTCGGCCGTGCTGTATCCAGCAAGTTGCATGTAGTACGTGCTGTAGCTTGCGGCAAACGTGATTCCGGACAGACTCTGGATGCAGAGAGGGGAGATGGAAATAATCGTGCGTCGGAGGTTGGACTTGCGGAAACACTCAATGTAGCTGGCGCCGGCGGTCTCGCTCTTGACTTGGTCGAGCGTCTGGTTAATCACGGCGAGACGAACTCTGCCTTCCTCTCCGGTGTGTCCGAGTTTCGCCAGACTCTTCAACGCCTGTTCCTGCTTTCCCTTAATGGCAAGGTACCAGGGACTTTCGGGCATAGCCCAGATCATCGAAGCAGCGATGGCGGCAAATCCGTATTGGCCGCAAAAGACGGCCCGGTAAGCCCAGCGGCTGTTGAGGGTTCCGGTTTCGTTGATGATAACGGCAACGATCAGAGGACCGAGAGTATAGGAGAGACCCGTGAGACAAGTGAAAAGACCGCGAAGAGCAAGGGGGGTGATCTGTTGGGATGAAAATCAGTATTCTGCTGATAGAATTGCACATATTTTGGTTTCTCACCTCTCCGATGTATGTGACGGTAACTGATCCGAGGGCACCGATGGCGAAACCGTTGATGAACTTGCCGCCGAAGAAAACTTCATTGGTGGTTGCGACAAATTCCAAGGTGATTCCGACGAAGGAGAAAGCGAGAGCAATCATAATCACGGTCTTTCGGCCGAGCCAATCCGCAAGATTACCGCTACCCAAGGCACCGATGACAGCACTACGCAAACATGTCAGCATAGGAAATGGCAAAAGACGTAGGTTCCTGGAATTAACTTACGAGGCAACAGGGGCACCGTTGAAAGCACCCTGCCATTTCGTGTCCAAAACATATTCGCCGTTGTAGAAATGTCCGAAGTCTTTGCGGAACTCAGGAATGGACAGAATACTTCCTCCTGCTTGGTTCTCGAAACTCAAGACCAAGACACACCATACTGCGTAGATACACCAGAACGATGCCTTCGGGTACTTTCTGAAGGACTCCCACTTTCCCAAGTCGTGCTCTTCAGCGTTTCCCAGGTTGGCCAGTTGAGCCCGAGCCTCGTTGGGGTGTTCGAGGTGGTCGGCGTTGTTTTTTTCCGTGTCGCCGCCCATGGTGAAAATTTTCCAAGTCAAAACAAAAGACTGAAATCACGGTGTTGACGAGTCGTGCAGTGTCAACTTGAGTTGGTTGTTGAACAAAAAAAGGACTGAAGCCAACAAAACGCCAAGTGCAGACAAGATGCAATGTTACACTATCAAGGACTTTGACAAGTCTTTATAAGATAGACCCCCACGACTCGTACATACGATGCCATCCGATGGCCCACGCCGACATCATGGAACAGTCACCCTATTCTGGAACCTTTCGGACAGTATGACGGTGGATCTGGGGAGGTTTCCAGCAGACAGCATGATCTGGGGATGGACCTGCGGGGCCCCGATCAAAAGTCGGAGCATGGAGACTGGTGGGTTATGAACGAGACGAGTCAGGGCTGTCAGGCCAATATCCACCTCGAGTCCGGCCAAGTGCTTCTGATTTCCCCATCCAGGAGTTGTAACCCCCCGCACGACGCCGGTTCCTGGAGTCAGGGGAAATTTGGAGAATTGCGTCGTGTCTTGTGCACCGCAAACGTGAACAGAACCCGGCTATTCCCGGTGCGCGAGCATTTGCTGGCTCGTTCGGCGAGTTGACGGTCGCTTTGTGCGGTGTGGATTCCGCTTCGGAGACGATTTCCGCCTTGGGTCAAGCCTCTTTGTGTACGAGTTGCTTCGCCGAATGTTTGTTCGGTCAAGTTAAGACTGCGCCGTCCGTCGCCAGACGTGCTTGATTACGCATTGCCTAGCCGTTATCCGATGCTGGGCCGCATACTGACTTTTGTACGGGAAGAAACGGTGAGTGGTAAACATTTCCGGTTTAGGTATTTCTAACCACCGCATGAATGAATCGACGGATATTTTTGTTTCTTGCCATTCCGCTAGCAAATTTAAGCATTTATCTCATCTGATTAATGCCTGAAGTTGATCAAGATAGTCGAGTCTTGTCGCGAGATCCGGGTTCTATACCATCTCAGATTGAGAAACCTCCCAGCGAGCTGCCGTATATCATACAATACTCACACAAACACTCAGACTGAAGTTCTTCATGTTCAATTCCCTCAGCCGTCAATGACGCAACCCCGGACCGAGACCTCGGGAATTGGGAACTCATCCTGGAGAACCTGTCCCCACACGAGTCGCGTGGGCGCTTGACGCAACCCAAATTGGACAATTCTGGTCCAAGAGCCCGTCGGCATGCGGGGTTGACACCCTGGAGAATATTTAGCAGCACCGGAATCCGGCCGAGACTACCACGCGATGGTTTGGGTCTCTTGACAGCAGATGAACTTCGCCAAACAAGGAAACCATTAGCATCCCACTTTCGAAGACACGTCGAGAGCGGGATCTCGTCATACAAAGGGACGCATTGCTTGCATGCTGAGATCGAGTGACAGACAAGCAGACCAGACGTCACATCATTTGAAGAAATCAGGCGCTCATTGAGAAACCCCTGGCCGGCAAACCTGTAATTGTCGCCTCATTTTCTGAAGCTCGTCCTCAATTGCAAGCTGCGCAGTACTCGACAGACACTCGTACACCATGGCGCAAACCACCAAACTCCAGACCTTTCCCAACAAGCCCAGAGTGTTTGTGCTCACAGACATCTCCAACGAGCCCGACGACGCCGAGTCCCTCGTTCGCTATCTTCTCTACTCCAACCAGTTTCAGACCGAAGGCATCGTTGCCGTTTCTTCAACATGGATGAAGAACAAGGTCTGCCCTCAGGACATTCACAAGATCCTCGACGCCTATGCTGGCGCAGTCGACAACCTCAACAAGCACACACACCCAGACTACCCGTATCCCTCAGCGGATAGTCTCCGAGCCCTGGTCAAGTCAGGCCCACCGGTATGCGAATAGCCCCCTACCCTCTGCCATGAGTGATGAGACCCTGAGCTCGGAGCATCGGAACATCGCTGACCCTGTGATTCATAGGTTTATGGTATGGCCGGTGTTGGCGCGGATAAGCCTTTGACCGACGGCGCCCAGCTCCTTCTCGAAAGAATCGAAGCCCCTTCACAAGATCCCCTGTGGGTTCTCGTTTGGGGCGGCACCAACGTTCTCGCCCAAGTCCTCCTTACGATCCGCGAGAAGTACTCTGCCGAGGAAGCAGCCAAGCTGCGTGCGAAGCTGAGGGTGTACACCATCTCCGACCAAGATGACACATCTGCCTGGATCCGCATCCAGTTTCCAGATGTCTTCTACATCTCATCCATCCACGGCTGGAACCAATATGGTCTCGCCGCGTGGACGGGTATTTCTGGTGACAAGTACTACGGCTTCGACCAGGGCGGCCCAGACTTCTCCAAGGTCTCAAAGCAGTGGATCAAGGAGAACATTCAGATCGGCCCCCTGGGCTCGGCCTACCCGGACTATCTCTTCATCCCTGAGGGTGACACCCCTACTTTCCTTTACCTAATCCAGAACGGTCTCGGTGACCGCGAACACCCAGAGTACGGCTCTTGGGGTGGTCGATACGACCTTACCGACGCGAGCGATGCCGGCCAGCGAGGCAAGCACTACAGTGACATGTCTGACTTTGTCGTTGGCGTCGACGGCAAGACTTACCGCTCGAACCAGGCCACCATCTGGCGCTGGCGTGACACCTTTCAAAACGACTTCGCCGCCCGCATGCAGTGGTCTCTCAACCCCGACGTGGCAACCACGAACCACCACCCCATCGTGATCGTCAACGGAAGCCAAAGCCTGGAGCCCCTGTATTTCGAGGCTGAGGCTGACAGCACTATCGAGCTCGATGCCTCTCAGACATACGACCCCGATGGTGACAACCTGACATTCAAGTGGTGGCAGTACCGGGAGCCGAGTGCCTCGCAGTGGCTTGTTCAGTTTGAGGTGGCACACCTGGAGGTTGAGAAACTGGATGCTGAGGGCAAGAAGGTCAAGGTCACAGTGCCGCCCCCTGAGAAGTCTTGCTTGGAGTTGATCAGCCAAAAGCCCAAGGCCAAGGGCCAGCTGCTTCACTTGATCCTGGAGGTGACGGATAGTGGTTCACCGGCTTTGACGAGTTACCGCCGTGTCCTCATCCAGGCTATGAACAAGGATCTGAGAGGCGGCAAGGACTTGAAGGATGGAGAGGGTCACGATGCCATTGGTGATGCTATGAAGGACTTCACCGGTTAATTGGCTTAAGACCAACCGGAAACAAATTCAAAGAAAAATGAACATAATGCCTTACATGAAGCTGTTGGGCACCGGTGATGATGAACCAATTCGAGCGACTCTTTCGGACCAGGGGTAAGAGCTTATGTTCTACCGCCTTCGTAGACGGGTTTGCTCCCTGGTGTGTGCCCTATCGAGATCAAATCAGGTCAATCAGTTCTGCAGCGATAGCCTCTTTACCGAGAGGGCGGGCAGACATTGACCTTACGGCCGCATGACCCTTGCCACGTCTCATCGAAGATTTGCCGAGGTCACTACTTTGCACGTTAGCCCAGTCTCTGAGGTTCATGTCTTCTCCTGTTACTGACTACTAAGATGGAACCCAGAAGGTGGTAATTGCAGTACCTTGCGAGCTAACAACTTTACGAAAGAGTAATCTATGAATAGGAATGTGCTGCACTCCACATGCACTATGCAGCCTAGAGAACTGAACCCAACTTAAGCTCAAACCCGTCACCCGATCATGGCGGCTGTCGGCAGAAACAAGCATCCCTCCCAGAGCTACGCGAGGTATTGAACCTGCAGGTGGCTTACCGCACCATTGGTTAACCTGTCTATTCGGAAGATTTCTACTTGTTCCAGACTCTGACAGCCATTGGCAAGCGAACTGCCAAGGGTGCGCTAGTGCCGATTCTATTGCTTGCTCACCGGACGTCGCACTCCGGGACGACCGGGGTTCGGTCCGATCGGTAAGGGTTGTCATTAATGACATTCAAAGAAGACTGGTAGTCAGCACACCCTTCATCGGACGCAGGGAGAAATACTCCGTCTAGATGAACATGATAGATTGGCACGTTGGGATGCTTCCGATGTGGCGGACATTGAAGCTTGGTACACAATCACTCGAACCCCGGTCAAAGGATGGCATGTGTGACATTAGGCGCTGAAAGAAGCAATTTGACGGATCGTGAAATACCGCTTGTTTACTTAGGGTGTTGCATGTTGGTATGTTGCTGCCCTTACCATTTGCAGTCAGCTACTCGTTCCCTCCCATGATGCTGACTATCTCAGAGTTCTCCTGGCGCCCAACTGAGTCAATATGGACTGGTTTTGGGCATATAAGTTGGTAGCCATCGGCAATGACAAACATCGAGATTTCTAGGTCATTGCCTTGTCGTCAAGCTTCATTCACTGTTCGTCATGAAGCTCTCAGCAATTGTTCTCAGTCTTGCGGCCACGGCCTCTGGTCACACCATCTTCCAGAAGGTCTCTGTTAACGGCGTTGACCAAGGTGCTTTGAAGGGTGTCCGCGCCACTTCGAGCAATAATCCGATTCAGAACGTCAACGATGGTGGCTTTGCTTGCAACAACAACATCCAGCACAAGGACAATAACATCATCTCCATCCCCGCCGGTGCTAAAGTAGGTGCTTGGTGGGGTCACATCATCGGCGGTGCTCAAGGATCTAACGATCCTGACCATCCTATTGCTGCAAGTCACAAGGGTATGTTCTCGCGTTTTGTTGTAGTTGTAAACTGGACGTTTCGAGACTAACTAGCGTTGTTTAGGCCCTATTATCGTGTACCTTGCCAAGGTTGACAATGCCGCCAGCACCGGCACGTCAGGCCTCAAGTGGTTCAAGGTTGCCGAAGCCGGACTCAGCGGAAGCACTTGGGCGGTAGACACATTGATCTCGAATGCCGGCTGGCACTACTTCAACCTGCCGCCTTGCGTCGCAGCAGGCGACTATCTCATGCGAGTTGAGATTATTGCTCTTCACAGCGCTTCATCACAAGGTGCCGCCCAATTCTACATGGGGTGTGCTCAGTAAGTTTATGTGAGCCTTGAAAGGCGAGACTATTCTAACATTAGCAGAATCCGCGTTACCGGTTCTGGTACCAACGCCGGCTCGAATACCGTCAGCTTCCCCGGCGCCTACTCTGCTACGCATCCCGGCATTCTCATCAGCATCTACGACAACACTGGCAAGCCCACCAATGGTGGTAAGGCGTATTCCATCCCCGGACCGACTGTAATCACCTGCTCTGGTGGCGGCAGCAGTGGTGGAAGCACTTCACCTCCTCCTGCTTCCAACCCTCCCCCGTCAAGCGGTGGAGGTTCCGGCGCTCCGCTCTACGGTCAGTGTGGCGGTCAGGGTTGGACCGGTGCAACGACCTGCACTTCGGGTTCATGCAAGGCTTCCAATGAATACTACAGTCAATGTTTGCCGTAACTACATACTCGAACGACATCTAAATGGCATGTTCAGATGGTTCTTGGGTCATTCGAAGGATCGATCCGGATTGACGAGTATGTTTCTGTAGTGGCTAAAGCTATGCATCACTTCGTCCAAGTACTTCACTGAGTATGTTGCTGTGCACATTCCAAGTGAAATAATGTAGCCCCTCGGAACAGCAACAGTGGATTTACACGACCTTGATATGGATCTTACAGTCCACGACCATCACATATACAGCTGGTCGGTTAGCTCAGTTGGTTAGAGCGTGGTACTAATATGTGATCTGACATGTTCAGTAATGCCAAGGCCGGGAGTTCAAGCCTCCCACTGATCATTCCGTTTTGCTCCGGCTGCTGCGAATGTCGCGGAGCATATTTTTGCTTCATTTAATCGTGTCTGGTGGGCATTTAGGTCTTAACCCCGGGTTCCGCCGTGATCCCGCCGTGAAATATGGGGCTGGGCGGAGATCTAGGCCGGACCCGCAGTTTCTGTCGGCGTCGTCACCGCAGCCAGTCAGTGTTCTGGCTGTCCTCAGAGACAAGAGGGGGGAGGAAGAGGGGGAACCAATATGTTTCGATACAAGCTGAATAAGGGAAGAGTAGTGTCGAAACTCTTATTGAATACGGCCATTGATGATCAATTTTGCATGCTCATTCCTCTCGGCGCCGCGTAACGCCGGCCCACGGACGCTTCTTGATTTCAATCGACGCCGGCCGGGCGCCGGTGACTTCCGTTTAAACGCGGTGCGGGGGTTCGTCTCAACAATTCATGCATTCCGAATGCACGAGCCAGTCTCTGCTCAAGCCGGCCGACGATGGAAATGCTCATACATTCCTGAGACGGCTTGCAATCGCATTCGCCACGTAGACGGTCTGGCTGGGATTGGTAAGCCCCCGCAGAAGCTCGCCAGGCTAGGCCACAGCAACAAGCGCCAGCGTCAATGATCCAGTCGCAGCTTAGCGACAAGACTAGGTATGCACGATGCTGTCATAGGACCCTTGATCGAAAGCAGAATTCGAAGCTTATTTTACGCCTTCAGCAGCGCCATCATTCCTCATAAAAGGTATCAAGCTGCCGGATCTTGCTCGTCGTGCAAATTGTTAGGACTTCGGATTACATTTTTAATCTCGTCTTAGCTCTCATTTTTAATTGAAATCTTTCCAGTTTCAGCTGCAGCTCCGAGAAGACAATCATGGAACTCGAGATACCAGCCATCCATCCGGCCGTCGCCGTCAAGGCCCCACGAGAACCGCTCATCCTCATCGACGCCCCTACGTACCCGCCCGATGTTGGCGAGGTCATTGTCAAGGTGGAATGGACCTCCTCGACCCCGTATCACCTGCACCAAGCCGACGGAGGATTGCTGATCGACATGTTCCCCCGCATCCTTGGCGACACATTCGCGGGGACGGTTCTGTTGGTCGGGCCAGGCCCCCATCATGTCGATCTCGAAGTCGGGGACAAAGTTCTGGGGTACTCATTCCGCGACGTCAAGGATGGCAAAGAAAAGGCTGCGCAAACGCTTATTACAGTGCCGACGTTTTTGCTCGGAAAACTGCCGAAGGGATTGAGCATGCAGGAAGCTGTGACCGTTCCCGACAACATCGTTACCGTTTTCCAGGCTGCAGTCGCAGACCTCGGGCTGCCGCTCCCGTGGCCTATCCCGGATGGGTGGATACCTCCGGAAGCGGATGCGCCGATTCTTTTGTGGGGCGGAGCCGGCAGCGTCGGCATGTACTCGATTGAGGTTTTCCGCCACTGGGGCTACAAGAACCTCGTCGTCGTCGCCAGCGGAAAGCATCATGAGTATTTAAAGTCGCTTGGCGCAACTTTTTGCTTTGACTACCGCGAGAAGCACGTAGTCGACAAGATCAAGGAGCATTTTGGACCGAAGGGCGTACCATATGTTATCGACTGCATCGGCCATTTGACAGGTTCGCTGAAACCAATCACGCAGATTGCCGAGAAAGGAACCAAGGTTGCTGTTATGCTTCCGGTCGTTATCACCGATCCTACAGAAATCCAAGCACCGGTTTATCAGATGACTGAGCCAGCCGAGGGGCAGTGGAAGGACGGAGTAATCGTGAGAGGCGTTCGCACGCATTTCTATTTGAAGGTAAGCAATTCGTACCAGTGGAGGCCATCAAATTACTAACAATCAGTTGCAGAACAAGCTTTTCAAGGACAAAATGCAATGCGAAATCATCCCCACCTTACTAGAGCAAAGGGTGGTACGGCCCAACCCGCAACGGATAGTCGAGGGTGAGACCTTGTTGGAGCGCGCGCAAGATGCCATTGTCTTGTTGAGAAATAAGGCAGTGAGTGGTGAAAGATTGGTATGGAGGGTTTCAGAAGACGACGCTGTTGTGTGAAAATCTCGTTCTGTTCGAAATTATCACCGAAAAAGTATGGTCATCGCGTGGCATGAAAAAAACAAAACGAGAAAGCTCGTATCAAGCAACACCTTGAGGAATAACTTTCCACATGTGACATAATAGAAGTGCACAAACCTAGTACTCAATACTATAAGGTTTTACACGTCTATGGATATACAAAAGGCCTCCCAGCTATGTTTTCAGCCCATGTAGTCATGAATGGCCTCAACCACAAAGTCAGAATTATTACCTAGTGACGATATTTCCACCTTATATACCCGAGACGTTGTCCGGTTTAAGGGATTGCCGTGGCTACAAGGTACTGGGATTTACACTCGATGTGGCTGAAGCCTATTATTCATATTTACAATATTGACCCGGACGGTACAAGACGTGACTGCCGTGGTCACATTGAAGTTTGTCAAACTCCTATACGATTTACGGTTCAAAATTCAGTTTGGCCATAGAATGAAGGAAACCTTTAAAAGGGAGTGTTTTGCACATTCCCTCAGTTTTCAACATTTCGTTTAGTTTATCTCCGCAACTTCCTCTATGCACATCTAAAACCTCTGGTGATTCCGCCCGAAAACCAAAACATATTTTTACGCTTCCATTACCCTAGTATTCTAGGGGAACAACGCCGATTTCCTCTTCAGTCATGGAACGCTCAAAATCTACCACGCACGATGACAAATCCGGAGGTTCATCGTTCTACAACTTCACAAAACTGCCCTACGACATTCGTTATTTGGTCTGGAGACTGGTATATTCTGAACCCAGGACTTTCGTGATTGGAATCAGTAGAGCCGATCCTAGCTCCACCCGGTGGAACGTCCGCGCCATACCGGAAGAAGCTCGGTACTACGAGTCACTGGACACCGAAGTATGCACAGAGGCTACGACTGTAGCACGCCTGGTGCGTCCAGGACAGTTGTTACCCGAGTGGCAGAGTTTGAAGTCATCACTTCATGTTTGGATAAACCCGCCACAGCTTGTCTTCATCAATTGGCGGCTCGACTACGTCACTCCTTCCAAGTACGAGCCCGGCTGCATGTGGGGATCACCCCAACAGTTCTATCCGTTGTACAGCAACATCGAACATCTGATTCTATCCAAAGAAAATTGGTCGAAGACTTGGGCAATGGCCAAACCAACGTCGACAGGTTACGAACACTGGCTGTTGAGGAACAAAAGGCTACTCACGGGGCTGAGGAGTGTTACATGCTCGAACCCACATGTCGAAGGTGCAACTGCGAAAGAAGACGCATACTTTGAGTTTCCGTTCAAGCAATTATTCGGAAAGTACAACAAGATTCCTGGCAATGGGAAGACTGGCTTTGGAGTAGGAATCAACTACACGGAGTTTACTTGGGTCGGTTGGAACGTACTTCAAAAAGATGCCTCGGTAATTCGACATCATCTCGGCGGGGTGCTAGATGAATAAGACTGCTCAGATCTAAGTAATAATTTCGGCATACATGCAGGCTTTGCTCCATGTAAGTACCCCCAGATTCTTGCCTAGTGTGAAAGGAAAGCACGTTCATTCTTGAGACCGGCAAAGATTCCCGATTACGGATAGCGTTCCACCGGAATGAGATTTTCTCTTAGCAGTAGCCGATGGCAGGTGAAGATTCTTGCTTGGTTCACTGCTGAAGCTTTCACATATAAAGAGCTCTTTCACAAATGCACCTAGTTTATTAGAGACCATTTCCATCATCAAATCAACCGACATCTCAACTATCAAACTCTACCAAGCAATCCAGAAAGACCCTAATAATGGACACCACCAACACCATCACTGTGACCCTGCGTCAGGTCGCCAAAATGATTGATCATTCTCTACTTCATCCAACAATGACAGACGACAACATACTTGATGGTCTCCGAATCGCCAAGCAATACAACGTTGCCACGGCCTGCGTCAAGCCCTACCTCATTCCCTTGGCGAAGAAAGAGCTTGAAGGCAGCGACGTGTTGATCTGCCCGGTTATCGGGTTCCCTCATGGAAACAGCACCACAGAGGTCAAGATATTTGAGGCAGAGGGCGCTGCCCACGATGGTGGCAAGGAGATCGACATGGTCGTCAATATTGGCAAGGTCCTGGGCGGCGACTGGGAGTACGTTTCCGAAGAAATCCGGCAGATCAACAACGCGGTCACCAAGCACGGCGCAATTCTCAAAGTCATCTTTGAGAACGATTACTTGGAGGAGAAACACATCATTCGGCTCTGCGAGATCTGCTCGGAAATTGGTGTCGGCTTTGTCAAGACTTCGACGGGATATGGCTTCGTCAAGCAGTCCAACGGGATGTACACCTACGCCGGAGCAACTGTACCGCATCTGAAGCTCATGAGAGAGCACACCAAGCCGGAAGTCCAGATCAAGGCGGCTGGGGGTGTTCGGACGTTGGATGATTTGCTCCATGTCATGTCGCTGGGCGTGACCCGCATTGGAGCGACGGCGACAGTTGCGATCATGGAAGCCGCAGTTGCGAGGGGAATCACTGATGAACCCACGACTGTCGAATTCAAACCGATCAGTAGCACTGCGACTGGAGGCTACTAAAGTTCTCATGGTATTCGGGGCATGTAGATAGTTCAACAAGAGTTGCCCAGATTATGTGGTACTTGAGACAAATTGCATGACACTTTTTGACAGCACTGAAATATTGCGACCTGGCAGGTTTTGAAAGGCTCGAAGTTGAAAGCGATCACGTTTGAATCAATTTGATAATTCTATAAGCATTAAATCATTTTTCCAGCTTCACCTCTGTACATTTAGGTGTTGGACATACTACGCAGGTTGTCAAATATGCTCGCGACTTGGGGTTATGGGTCGGCTTCAGCAATCTCTGTCCCTCGCCATCCTACACGACAGCACCAACAAGAACCCGGCTTGATTTTGATCTAAGCTATCTAATTATAAAAACACTATTTCAACCGTAGAAATTTATAAAAGTGCATAGCCCCGGACAAGTTGTGACGGGAATGGCGTTCAATGAAAGACGTCATGCAGCTTCCGGCGGAAAGAATTACCGGATACGGCATAACCCCGCCACGGCGTTCCGGCGGAACTCTTCTCACAATAACAATTCCGACATATTCATCCCCTTGCCTCTTTCCACTGATTTTGACTCTCCCGAAGCTCTCACAATCATCCGGAAAATGGAGTCTCCTACGTCCGCACAGGCTCCGCCGGCAAGACCAGGACGGAAAAAGGTATCGGCAGCTTGCCAGCGATGCCGGCGGCAAAAGCTCAAGGTAAGCACCTCGAAGCTGTCCTCTATCAAGCACAAGTGTGGCTAGAAAGTGGAAATCTAACATTACTACTTAGTGCGATGTCCAAAGGCCATGTACACTTTGTGTTAGGGCCGAGGTTGAGTGCATCGATGAGAGGCCGAACCGCTGGAGGATCCAGAATGTTCAGACGCCCCCGAAACGAGCCAGACCACCGGAACGTGACGGAGACAGCCCCCGACGAACAAAACGGGCCCGGAGAGCTCCTCCGTTGGAAGAAAGCTCCCTGCAAATTGAGTCACCCGAGAACATTGTTGTCGCTACTTCGGAGACTTCCTTCTCTCCCACAGCCGATGACGCCCCTCTCGAGCAAAGCATCGCGACTCAGAGTCATACGCCTGATGGGAAAGGAAGCGAACCATGGCCTTCAAACTCTGCGGCCATGAGCTTCCTGGATGAGGTATATCAGTCTCACGAGAAAACTGCCAGCCAAAATACTGATTCTCTCTAACGCAAAGGCATTCCAACGTCAAGACGCGACTACGCCGGGTGAAGCCGATACTTCAGCATTTGCCGCTAGCCAGTGGACGATACGAAGTCATGAGTCGAGGCAAAGTAAGCCACGCAACGAAAGACTTTCAATGCGTGATCCAGACCCCGAATCCGCTGGCCAGCCGAGATTTCGTCGGCACCGACAGCTCAACTTAGCTGAGCAGGCACTGCTGTCTATGCTCCCTGGCAAAGAGCCTGCGACCCTTCTCATCGACAACTATTTCCACAAAATTCACTGGTGCATGCTGATATTCTTTCAAAGCGAGTTCCGAGAAAGATTTAAGCATCTGGTCGCCAGTCCCCAAGAGGACATCAGAAGAAGCCCAGGTGTAGGATTTCTCAGTCTCGTTCTTGCTGTTTGCCTCACAAGTCTTCAGTATACGAGTGAAGAACAAAAGACAAAGCTGCGTGAATTGGGTGTCGACCCGGGCAGTTTACATGACGGTTTGCTGGATACGCTGAGGCTTCGGCTCCTCGACTACGTTTCTTCCGGGTCAATCGAGGCGGTGCAGACATGTATCCTCCTCGGAAGCTTTTACCTATATCACGGCGAACCCGAGCTAGCCTGGCCAATCTGCGGGTGCGGGCTGCGTATCGCCCAAGCCCTTAACCTTCATCGGCGTGCAGCCGTGCCCGAATCAAATGTTCCAGACATCGATAACCCTGCAGAGAGAGCCATAGAAGCACGGAAAAGATGCTGGTGGGCGATCTACGAGATCGAAACATTCTGCTCAATGCTGTACGGCTTTCCACTAAGCATAGTGGACGGCGATTGCGACGTCGGACTGCCAACTGCGTACCCGTTGAGATCAAAAGACCCATCGTGGGACTCTACTTGTTGGGAAGAAGCTGGCAAAGCCACGTTGCTTTCTTTCAAAAACGCCATGGCCCGGCTGTCGATAGTGGTAAAGTCAGCGCTATCTCAATTGTATGGAGCAGAACGAAAGTCAGCCCAGAATGAGGTCCTCGGCGTTAACAAGGACATTTCCCTTCACTCACTCGCCACCAATATAACCGACCTCGACTCCAGACTTCAGGATTGGTGGCACCAGCTGCCTAGAGAACTGCAGTTAGACCAAGTCACTGATCTCGAAAGCGGCAGTCCTCAGGGAGCCTTATCGAATACCGAAACGGTTCTCGGTCGTAATCACCGAGACCACCTCTTTCGAGTACAAGCACTATCCCTCAAACTTGCCTTCGAGAATGCCAGGATTCTGGTCCATAGGCCACTTCTCTCGTACAAATCAACCTCAACTATGGACAGCGCAGCTGGGACACACTCGTGCTTCACCAGCATCCAAATTTGTCGGGATGCTGCCTTGGAGATTGCAAAAGTCGGTTCTACAACGCACTTTCAAGAGGTAGCAGATACGTACGCGGTCTCGTTTGTTGCGTTGCATCTTTTCACTGCGGGCGTCACTTTGTCGATCATGACGAGTCTGAAGCCCCTAAGTCAAGAGTCTTTTGAGGCGAAGATGGGACTTCGACAGTTGATGAACATGCACTCACAACTCAAGACGAAGTCAATCGTTGCAGAACAAGGTTTCGAGATTCTCAAGAGGTTGATGGTGCTCGTCATGTCGAAGGAAACCGAGAGAATGCTTGATTTCGAGCGGCCGATGCCCAGGCAAAGCGACGGTCAGGGTAGTTCTTCAGTCGGTCTTTTATCAACGCAAGCGGCCATCCAAAATGGCAATAACTATACACAAAACTTGCTGGGAGCCCCTGGGGATTTAGATGGTTTACAAGGGGACGGTTCTGGTGCCTCGATGGAAGCAACACAAGGGATGTCCGCAGACCTCGGGTTTCGCGAAGATCCTCTCATTACTCAAGCTCTACTGGACTTCGAACAAGGTAATTTAGTATGCGTCCCAATGGCAAATTTGTGTCGCTAATATTGTTTTCAGCTATGAACAGTTTTCCCGAGGATTTCAACGGGACTGAGCTGGCTGAGTTTGGGGACCAGTTCACGGAAAGTTGCTTTGGCGCCCACGATCAAGGCTGGATTTGGAACCCGCGAAACTCATAAGACTAGCTGGGCTTATGTTTTGATCTCACAACACAAGCTTCTGTCGCTTCATCTTAGATCCCAATCCTAATCCCTATGCTGATAAAGGGTCTCATGCTATCCTGATAGGGAGCGGAAGACATCCGCCATCACCTCGGGAGCAAATGCAAAGTCCCTCTCGACCTTCTCATTCAGACCCCATCCTTCCACTCCGCCGTCAAGCACTGTCGCTCTTCTCATGTCTCTTTTGTGACTTCCGACCACTGGCGTACCCCGGTGCAGTGTGCAAGTGTTATCCCACATCACCAGGTCGCCCACCTGTGTCCAAGGAACGGAAACCACATACTTGTCTTGTGTTGCGTGGTCGTACAGGTATTCCAACTTTTTTCTACCTTCATCTTCGGGAAGACCATCGATATGATGACAGTGTGACGGCACGAAGAGATTCATACGTCCACTGGGCTCGTGAAGCTGGGCGACCTTATGCTTGCTCATGGGATGAGTCCCGGGTTTGAGCTTAGCGAAGAACTCTGGACACGCCTTCTTGCGAGAATGCCAGAAGGAATGGTTCGAGATGTAGTTGCTACGTATGAGCTCTCGTTTCCAGTTGTCAGAGAGATCATCCCAAGCCGTGCGTGTATCGGCGAAATCGGTGTTGCCGCCAGCCCCTTCCGGGGGAATCTCGTGGGCTAAGAGAATGGAGTAGGTTGCTCGTTGCGCGTTGAAACTGCTGTCCACATGAAATAGTGTGTTTCCCTGAATTTGGGTCTACATCAGTCAAGTCAAGAGTTTCGGAATGGTGCAGGTCACCTTGCTGATTTGCGCCCTCGGATCAGTAGGACCGATGATGTTTCCGTTGGCGTCAATGTTGCCTTGGTCTGTCAACTCAGGTAACTGCAACCGTGATTGCGCTCCGGTTTCTTTCCGTCGCTCAAGCTCTCCGAAGTGACGAGCAAAGGCAACGTGACTGTCGTCATCGAGTCCAGTTGCTGGAAAGACGAGAACGCCATACTGAAATATCATTAGTTTCCAACCCAATCGACAGTTTCAAGCCTCAATCTCACCTTCGAAATTGCCTCCTTGATATCATTTACGGTTTCAGATGAGATGGGCTTCGAGAAATCGACACCGTTTATCATTGCCCCGAATGTCGGGTGAAGCTCCTCGATTGACAGCGGCATCGTAAGCAGGCACTTGCAACGGTCGAGAAAAAGCTACAGACGTGTGACCAAATGTATTTGAATGGTCCAAGATCGAGGTGTTCTTAAATTCCACCGGGCAAGTGGCAAGCGACCCCTGATTTCAACCGGTATTATCACGACCTTCCGGCAACGCGTTGACGCGTGACCCTCATTACCCCTCGATATCACCATCGAAGATGCCCCACGCCGGCAGATTAAACTTTCGCCTTATCTCGAACTCCACGAGTCAGGCCCATGTTCTGTATCTGAAGCGCTGGAAATCTGCATCACAAGCTTCTTCAGGACAGGGTATGCCCTTGTATCATAATATGACTTTCAGCTACCGCGACAACGTGCAAGATGGAGCGCATTCCCTCTTGCAACACCAAAACACCAACCATTCTCCATGCGAAGCTGGGTCACTCTCACATCGACTCCATCGTCTCAACGGAGGTGAACGCCAAGATGACGTTCCGGTCGTTGCTCAACCCCGTGCTGGGTCCCGAGCGCCGGCAGCCGGATCGAATCCCGACGGATGCCGTGTTCCAGCTCTCTGCGATGGATAGCTCGTGGATGATGCGCATGATGGTCATGAGCTGGTCCATGTGCTTTCACGATGTCCTTAATGCGGACAAGCTTCATGACTCCCTCACGGAACTTCTAGATATCGGGCATTGGAAGAAACTTGGCGGCAGACCCAGATTGACAGTATGTTTTCTTTCGTCCCTGCCCTTCATCATACACATCTTGGATGAAACCCTGATCATGGACGCAGAAAGACGGCAAAATAGAGCTACATATTCCCGAAGCATTCACTCCTTCTCGACCAGCAGTTCACTTCACGACGGAACCGAATCCTTCGAGCGTGAAGTTCCATCCGCTAGCTTCCACCATGCCTTCGTACTTTACCTCAACTACCTTGACACCAAGGATCATAGACACCCCGGAGAATCTGCATTCCATCCTTGCCGGCCCTGAAGCTCCCACATCATTCGACGATTACAACTTCACAGACCGACCCGCGTTATCGCTTCACGTCATCACCTTCACCGACGCCACGTTCGTTACGATAACGTACCCGCACAGCATCACGGATGGCATGGGGCGGCGCGAGCTAGTAGAGAACTGGTGCCGAGTCTTAGCAGGTCGCAGAGCGGAAGTCACGCCGATGGCGTTTCCTACCCTGGACCCCATGGCCAAGGTCGCCAAAGCACAGCCGCCTCGCTATGATGAACCTTTTGCCTGGGAGCACAAACGTCTCCGTGGCTGGGGCGTTGTTCGCTTCACTTTTGGTATCTTGTGGTATTTGATCAGGAATCGCATACGACAACGGAACCTGTTCATCCCGGCTTCTTACCTAGCGACGCTGCGGAAACGAGCCCAAGATGACTTGGAAACTGACGGAAATCAGACTGAGCGCTTGAGCGATGGCGACATCTTGACCGCATGGCTGTCCCGGCTTGCCTGTTTGCATGTCTCCAAGAGCGATGCCGAAAAGCCGATATCCGTTTCGTCAGCCCTTGATCTCAGAGGTCGTCTGCACGAAAATGATATGCCAACAGACTACGCATACGTATCGAACGTCGTCGCATACAACTGGACGAGCACGAATGCTCAGGAGCTTCTCCATGGAGCTTTCGGAAAAGCTGTCGCCCTCATTCGGAACTCGGTCAGATCTCAGCTCACCGACGCTCAAGTCTACGCTTCGACTCGCTTGACATACAACGCTGTTGCAGAGAGCGGAAGTACGAACCAGTTCACAGAACCCAACGGCTTCGTTGTCTCAGTATCCAACGTCTCCAAGGCGAGATTCCATGAAGTCATCGACTTCAGCCCAGCTATCAAGGATGGAGGAAGCGATGAGATTAGGACTACGCCGAAGGGGAAGATTGTGTGGCAGTGTAATACCCCACGTATGAAGATGCACCCCCCGTGTTTGATTTACATCCAGGGGAAAGATTATTCTGGGAACTACTTGGCGCAGATGCTTGTGTCTGAGAAGACTTGGCGACTGATTGAGCAAGAAATTCAGTCGTCGACGTGATAGATGGCATTTGGCTGAGTTTTAGATTGCCAAACCCAGAATCACATTCGATCCATTTGTTCATGTCTTTTGTGTAATAACTAATAACTACTTTGGAGTTCAATATCTTCAGTTCTATTTTCTCAAGTCGCATGATCATATGATGTATAGCAGCTCTAGTGTTGAACTGTTCCCTCACCATCGGTAACGCTGGAGATCAAAGCCACAGCAATACGAAAATCACGTTCATCGGGACAACACATCAGCAATCAGCTTCCTGCCCCAGGCCGGTCCAGGAGGATCTGAGGGGTAGCACGGCTGCCTGCAAGCTGTTGAGTCGTTGGACACATGCCAATGAAGAAAACAAGCATCATTTCAGCCAATAGGGCCGTCACAACGGCGGTGAGTATACTCGACTAAGCAATACCCGACCATGTCAACAGAACAGATTTATTTTCAAAGATGAGGGATCCGAAGACGGCATGATCGAGATGTTCTCGGCATCTGATGTCCAGTAGCCAGCCGAGCGACGGTAACGTTTCCACGTGGCTGCCTCCTTGTCTCTGAAAGAGCCTCCGACTGCAACCTTGGAAAAATCCACACAGAATTGGCAAAGCATGACAATACGTCACTTGGCAAATGCTTAAGAGGAAAGGGCTGGTGTCTAGTGCCAGCTGAAGATGTTTGGAAACAGAAAAATGTTTCGACGATCGCCGTTGCACCGGAGCTGGATCCGGAGCTACCGAAGCACCAACACAATAGAGTTCAGGCGTTGTGGGGGTTGCTTGCAACGTTTCGTGCGCTCAGAACCAACAAATCAAGCTTCATTTTGCCCCCAATCTCCTGCAATTTTCCCGATCAAAGTGGGCAAGAAGTTTTCTTGTTGCAGACTCGCAATGGTGTTTTCTTCAGCTAGGAACGTGGCAGTGCCAGCTGCCAGCTGCTAGTAGGACAAATGTAATATACTATGCAATTGTTACAACCCATTAGGCATAACCAACAAAGAACGCCCCACTAGGATACTAGGCGGTTATAACAACACTTTTATATATAGGATCACGGGAATAGGGAGGACTCCTCAGAACGGAAGAACTATAGATAAGTCATATAACTAGGGAAGCATAAGCACTAATAAGATAAGATATAAGCTGCTTATAGTATAGACTATAAGCGCTTACCTTAAGTAACTACTAAGTAATTACCTAATAAGTAATTAAGGTAAGAAGCTAGGAGGATAGGACTTATATATAGGATAAACTTAAGTCTACTTAAGAATAGACTTCTATAGCTCTTTAGTAATTAACTTATAATTCTTATTTAAGACTTTTAGCTATACCTAAGTAATAATTACTCTATAACTCTTATTAAGGACTTAACTAATTACTAAGCCCTTTAAAGACTTATAATTACTTAATTAAACCTATAGAATAATAAATAACTATTACTATTATTATTACTTAACTTATTATTAATATAAACCCTACTATTAGTTAGCTAGTTATAATACTTTAATTACTCCTATTTAGTAAGTTACCCTTTAAAAACTACTAATAGTATTATAATATCTTTATAACTCTCTAGAAAGACCCCTAGTATTAGATCCTCCTCTAGCGCTAGGAAGGCCCCTATTAAGAAGAACCTTACTTAAGAACTTAGGGATTAAAGAATAAAAAATAATAGTAATAGTAATAATAATAATATACTTAAGGAATAGCTTAAATAAGCTAACTATAATATCTAATAGATATAGGAAATATTTAATACTAATGCCTATACTACTAAAGAACTTTAGGCTACTATATACCTATCTAACTAATATACCTAGGAACTTAAATAGTAGAACTATACTCTTTAAGCTACTATTAATATTATTACTACCCCTATTATAGAAGAATAAGAGAAGCTTTAACTTAACTCTCTTAATCCTTTTAATAGATCTTTAGGATAGCTTAAGGGATTCCTTATCTAAATTAAGAACTATTAGAATTTCTATTATAGTAACTTTAAGAATAGAACTAAGAAGGTTATCTATATATTTACTTTCCTTAAGGGATAAGCCCTCTAGTAGTTTAAACCTTTCCTTAAGGAGTACCTTAATAAGGAGATACTTAATTATTATTCTACTAAAGTTAGAGATATTTTTAATAGCTTCTAGGGCTTTAAGTCTACCCTAAAGTCTTTATTTTAAGACCTTAATAAGAAATAATAAGCTAAATAAGACTTACTTTACCTTAAGTAAACTAAGTTAGCTAAGGACTATACTATAGAGTTCTAATAGATCTATATTTAGCTAGACTTAACTAATAAAGGTAAGATCTTTATATTCTATAATAACCTTAAGAATAAAATTAAAGATAAAATTATTAAGGTTAATAGACCTAAAGACTTCTTCTAGTATATTAAGCTTACTATTAAGATTAATAACTAACTATATAAATAATATAAAGAGAAAGGTAAATAATAATAACCTACTAACTCTAGCTATAAGTATTAATAATAGCCTAGATACTATAATAATAATTAATATAATAAACGTAATAGCACTACCTATAGATACTATAGTGGACCTATAGACCTTAGTATAGCCTAGCATAATAATAATAATAAGGGTAATAGCTAGAAGAAAAATATTAAGTATTATAACTATAATAAGAATAGATACCTTATAAAAGAATATAGAGCACTTAAAAAAGAACGCTTCTAGCTAGTACCTAAGAAAAGATAAATTAGTACTACTACTAAAGTAATCCCCTATAAATAACTTAATTAGACTATCTACTTTAATAATAACTATAGAGTTTACTTAGACTCTAAGGAATATATAGGATAGTACCCTAAGAACCCTAATAGAATAGGATATAATACTACTAAAATAAAGAATATTAGTAGACCCCTAAATTAATAAACTATTACTATAGGATATAAAAGTAATAATAAACTTAAGCATAAAGCTTAAGAATAACTTAATAGCCTCTTAGAATATAGGGCCCTTAAAGAAAATAGATAGTTTAAGACGTCTAAATATATTAGCTTTAAATAAAAACTAACCTATAACTTAGATAAGCCTCATAACGTTATATAATAATATACTTAGATAGTAGCTATCTATAGGTATAAACCTAGTATTAATAATATTAGCTTTAAAGAGGACTTTAATAATAAAACCACTAGGGCTAGTAAACGCCTTTAGTACTAGAAAATTAATCCTATAAAGGATAAATAAATACTTAAATTTTTTAGTACCTTAAGAGAATAGCGTAATAGAAACTATAAACTAGAGTTTAAGCTAAATAACTACCTATATTTATATATAGAAAGTAATTACTATTAATACCTCTACTAGCTATAGTACTTCTTTAATAACTATAAAGAATATCTTAGAGATAAATATATATATTAATTCTACCCTAGAAGGTATAACTAAGAACCTATTAAGAAGGTCTATTAAATTAACTAAATATATAGATAGGAACTTAAGCTATTTAATAGATAAATTACAACCTTTAGACTAAGCTAAAAATACCCTATAAGATACCTCTATAATACTAATATAAGTTAGTAAGATTGCTAATAAGATAAATATATAATCTATAGAGAAAATAAAGCTAAAGTATAGTAACTTAGCTAGAATAGAGTAACCCCCCCTATAGTAAAGTATAAGGAGAGCTAGCTCTAGAAAGCATAACGTAAAGGGAAATAAATCACCTACTATAGAGATAATTAGTTAAAAAACTAGAACTACCTACTAAAACTAAGGGATAATAATAGGTAGATAAGATAAGGTCCCTATATAGTATAACTAGGGCATACCTAGCTTAATAATATAAGTATATCTAAATTTAGATATAACTTAATAGAAGACTAGCTACTATAATAATAGATAGTAGAGCCTAAGGAAACTTTATATTGCTATAAATAGTGAATAAATAAAAAATAACCTAGAAGAAGAAAGCAGCAAAAGACTACTATAAACTCAGCACTATTAAAGGAGAATAAGTCTAGTATAGTAGAGGACGCATTACAGTAGAGATAGTATACCTCCCTATATAGATCTATAGCTAGAATAAGCAACTAAACTTTAATATTATAGAGATAGGAGATAAGTATAATATTATCCTTAGAAGACTATAGTTATATAATAGCAACCTATAGATAGATTAGAGAACTAGCTAACTCCATTAAGACTAAGATTTAGTCACTAAGTAGTAGCCTAAGAGAGGTACCTTAAATAAACCTTTTAGAACTCCTAAAGTAAAGAGATTATTAGTATACCTATAAATTAAGGATATAAACGCTAGGACGTTATTAGCAATAGATATTAATAAGGAAGATTAACTTCTATCTATCCTAAAAGAATACTAGTAATACTAAAAGCTATTTGCTAAAGAACTTAAAATAGGACTACTAGAATATAGTAACTATAACTATAAGATACCCCTAAGAGAAGAGAAGGAGCTTAAATTAGAAGCAATCTATAGACTTAATTAGAAGGAAATAGAAGCGCTTAACGCTTACCTTAAAGAAAACCTATAGAAGGGATATATTAGACCCTCTACGTTACTAATAGGATATTTAATCCTATTTATACCTAAGAAAAATAATAAACTATAACTCTATATTAATTACTAAAAACTTAATAATATTATAATTAAGAACTACTACCTACTACTACTTATCTTAGAGCTCTAAGATTTACTATATAGAGCCTAGTAGTTTATAGTACTTAACTTAAAAGGAGCTTATAACCTAATACGTATAAAACTAGGTAAAGAATAGAAAATAGTATTTTAAATATACTATAGATATTATAAGTACTTAGTAAT